TCTGATGGCCTCGGAGAGTAGCTTTGATAAATCTAAAATTTGCAACTTCTTTGCATCTTTTACTTTCTCTGGCGGGATAGGGAACGAGTTTGTAACGACAATGGTGTCGATACAGTCACAGTTTTGAAGTTCTTCAAGGGCGTCTCCTCCGAAAAGGCCGTGCGTAGCAATACAATAGACCTTTTTGGCACCACCACGTTTGACAACTGTTTCAGCTGCGGCGATCCAGCTGCCAGCTTTATCAATCATATCATCAACGATGAAGACAGTACGATTTCGAACATCTCCTACCAATGTAATCATCTGCTCGAGACCTGAGTCTTTGAATCCTTCTTCTTCCTCGTCTGATGCATCACCAGCAGCGTCTGCTGTTCCACCGAGTGCGTGTGGCTCAGGGTTAAAGATTGAAGATGCCATAGAAATTGACATGGGATCATCTTCAGGACGTTCGAGAATTAAGGAAGATGACATCGCAGATTGTGTAGGCGAAGGATAGTCATCTGAAACGATATGACCTTGAACTAATCGACCATGGGTGACCTCTCGAGCACGCTCATCAGTATATTGTGCTTCTATCGCTTCATCGACAGGTGTAGATCTTGGTGCGGGGGTAGTGTGTGCTCGCATCAAAGGCGAGGATGCTCCAACAGAATTTCGATGCCCGGATCTGATGGCCGATGGCGCATTGTGCAGACGCTGTGGTGGAGATGGATGGCTGTCTTGACGGGCTCTTGTCTGATGTGAGACTGAATCTCCGTCTAGTAACATTGAAGAGATAGGGTCTGTTTCTCCGTCATGTTTAGGTTCTTCAGCCGTCTCTTCTCCCATTGCAGGGGATGCGTCGATATGTAGCTTATTGATATCTGCATGCAAATCTTCGCCTGTAGAGTTTTCAATTTGATTCATGATCATACTCATTGACATATTCGCGGGGGTTCGTCTTCTGTCTGTTGTGACCATTCCGAAATTGAGTTTCAGAGAATCTGCTAGAGATGTTACTCTTTTGGTGCCACCAGCATTCTTGGAAACGCAAACAGCTTCATTCCACTCCTGCACATTGCGCCGAATCCAACGTGCAATCAATGGTTCCGCGTGAAGATTATCAACGGGACATTTGAAGAAGCCTTGCATTTGTGAAGCGTGTAGATCGACGGTGATGACATGATTGATTCCGGCAACATGTAGAAGATTTGCGAGCATACGAGCAGTGATAGCTCCTCGGTGTGACTTCTTTTTCGACTGCCTACTATATGGGAAGTAGGGCAGAACAGCTGTAAAAGTTAGCAATTGTGTCTTGCGATGGTAAGAAATAGAGAATCGGCGCACGAACCTGTAATTTTGTTCGCGGATCCTCCTTTGCACGCAGATATCATGATCAAAAGCTCCATGATACTATCATTTATCCTCGAACTACCCGATTGAACGACGAATACATCCTTCTCTCGAATGCTTGTCATGATCTTGACGCTCGTCTCCCCCTAGAATTTATTAGCTGAACAGCTTGCTTCTTTGGGAGGTGAGAAACAGTACATTTGCGAACTGAGTAAGCTCGACTGGGGCCGAAGCCATTCCCAAGTTCGTACATATTTGATCTGTGAGCTTTGGACATGAGCTGCCGGCGAAGATGAGTGTATTGCGCATCTTGGTTGATGATTTTTTTGGTTGACGATGCTTTTTCAATGTCAAGAAGAAAAGAAAAAGTTTTGGCGAGAGATCCAGGATATGTAGTGGGGTTGATTGCGCTAGCGGGGGTTTGGGGCTGAAATTTGGAGAATCAATCAATGACAATGAAATCAATTGTTCATCCCTTCACCAAAATTTATCGTTGCTTCACGCAAACTTCACTCAAACTTCACTCTGAACAGGGCTCACCTCACTCATCACAAACATCTTGAGCCACGTCTATCAATCAATCAATACAACAAAATATCACAAATGTCCAAACATTGTTGTTGCCATTAAAGCAATGGGGATTCCACATCTAATAACATTCTTACGTCCTTATGCAACTCTCGATTCGTTAAAGGGCAAAGATATCGTGATTGACGGTCCAGGTTTGGCATATCATATCTATCATATATGTTTAGGTACCAAAAAGTCTGCGGGAAACTACTTTGAAGCAAATCCATCGTATAGAGAGCTTGGGGATACTGTATTGGCATGGTTAGATGGCCTAGAAAGGAGTGGTAGTGTTGTGTGAGTTCAACGGGATTATAGGCTTCTCTTCGTTGTGTTGACTCGCAGCAGGAAAAGGATATACTTTGATGGATATCTGCCCCCAGCCAAATTGGATGTCCGTTACCAAAGGCTTAATCGAAATACACAGCAACTAGAAAAATATCACAAAGAATATGCGTCTGGTTTGAGGTACCGACTTGCATCGACAAACCGAACTATACCTGCATCATTTCCTTTCGCATTTTCCCCCCAGCGTCCCAACTTCACAAAGCTTCCCGCATCATCTTTTCTCGTACCTGCAATAATTGAAGCTTTACAAAATGCTAACAAATACAAACATCTCGTTACGATCGTTCCGGGGGAAGCAGATACATATTGTGCCAGCTATGTTAGCCGATATGGTGGAATCATTCTCACTGGCGATTCCGATCTTCTCGTTCATGAAATTGGCATCGACAGCTCTGTGAGCTTCTTTCAAGATGTTGAAGTTTCATCCAAGGCCAATTCATGGATGCTACAGTCCCAGATATTCCACGCTGGATCCATCATCAAGCGATTAGGCCTTCCATCTTCACATGGTATTCGTGCTCTTGCTTTTGAGATTTTCATGGATTGCCATGGTAGCTTTTCGAAGTTACTAAAACAAGCAATTGCGTTAACCGCCATCAATCAGCACCAAAAAATGTATAAAGACTTTGTCAAGGAGTATTTACCAGTGGATATTGATGTAGCCACTCTCAGTTCGGTGCTGCTCAAACCTTCTGTAGTGAAGACTGCTCTGCAAGTTCTTGATCCTCGTATTTGTGAGTATGTTCTTCAGTTTCCTCATTTTATGAAATGTCTTGGCCTTTCCCAATCTTCAAGCAGCTCCCAGGATGGTGCAAACAATATCAACATCTTTCTTCCATTGCTCATTGATTCCCCATCTCGAACCAATGCTTGGGAGATGTCCACATCCATCCGACAATTGGCATATGGTTGCATCAATCTAGTACTTCCAGTCGAAGAGAGGAGGACCTCTGTTTTTGAGAATAAACGACAAGCCAATGCTTCGCGCGGGAGGGCGTGGGAAATTCCAGGTGCTTCAGATATTTCAGAGGCTTGCACTGAAGTTATAAACTTCCTCCACGAGACACGGTCCAGGGTCAAGGGACGAAGCGCTGCTGATCACTGGACCTTAATCTCATTTACACAAGATGTGCAGTGGTCAGAGTCGATAGACAAAGTAAGCCTGGGCAGAAACGTTTTGGCTAGACTCCAAATCCCAGACCCAGGTGACACTATCAGTAAGACAAGTGAGTGGGATTGGGATATGATACATGTCATGGCCCAAATCCAAGGATCTCATTACTCTTTCAGAATTTTGAAGCAGATGATAACCTTTTTGACCCTGATTGGTGGCCGTAACTCAGTCCCTTTATCACTGTTGGAACTAAATGATATGCTTCAAGACCTGCCATGTCTCAGTGATCTCAATGGGTTCGAAAAAATGGACTGCATCTTTAGGAAGATGAAAGAAACGATTCTTGGAGATTTGAGTCGAACGATTGAAATATCTACTACCACTTCTGCGGAAGCATCTAAGCAAAAGAAGAAATGGAAGCGGGACAACTCGAATCGAACTGGTACAGCAAACAAAAAGCCAACAAATCTATTTGATGTATTGGGTACTGATTGGTAATATGGTCGTCTTGACAGCTTCCACTTCAAGTATGGCACTGGGTATTGAATCGAGTCAGCTGCCTTGATAATTGTATGACTGTCCACAAAATCTTGTTCATGTCATGTAGATAGACCCCTTATCCTGCACCATGACAGACATGACAATAATCATACAGACTCTGTATCTTGTTCACGAATCAAAGGGTACACACCACTACTCATGAGAAAGCTCCTAGCCATCCATGGATCAAAACGATTTGATAAAATGGATTTATGTTTTGGCACTTGATGGACCAACAACCCTTCAAGTCTCCCTAGCAGAAACTATAGCAACCTCAGCAGTCTCACTACCATTGTTGTAGATGAAGACATTTTGGGCTCTGGTGTGGAATATGGAATTTTAGGAAAGATGAAAGAGAAAAGGGACATGGGATTATTAGACTGAAGGGCTGTAGAGAGTGGAGGCAAATAACACAAAACTTTGTGAGTAGTGAATTTGATCAAAGATCCGTGGTGAGCCTTTGTAGATCTAGTAGAGATCTGTGTAATGCAATAGTAGCAGACAAGCACAGAGCGTATTCTATTTCATGTTTATATCATATGCTCATAACAAGTTCATCGTTCAAAAGTCAGTTCAGAAGTCACGTCTGCGATGGGAAGAATGTTTTACAGCAATGAAGAGTTTCTTTTGCTGATAGGTGTGAGTACAGTAAATATATCTTTCAGAAGCTTTTTATATATCCATGGAATTAAAGTGTATACGAAATTGACGCCAAATATTTCTCACAATTTTCACACTTTATTCATGTAAACGTTTTCGAACTAATGAATCTTTTATCTCATTTTATCTCAATTTATCTCAATTTATCTCAATTTATCTCTTTGCTCATTCACTCTTTCCTTTCTAGACCGCAGCAGCAGGTTCATTTGATCACGGGACAGGAAGGAGAAATTCAATAAGAAAGTGAATATTCGGTCCATTTCGGACCACACCGACCTCTTTACTTCCGACTTCCGAGTCCCGACCTCCCACAACAATTATTTTGCCAATATCGGTTATTGTTTATTTATTCTCTTCCACAACTAATAAACTCTACTTCCATTTTCAACCTCCAACCTCAATTTCCTACCTACCTCGACGTTTGGTAACACCTGCAATCATGGACACAACTATGAAGGACAAGGACAAAGACACAATCATGAAGGACACGATTATGAAAGACACAAACGATACTGCCAAACAATGCGTTCGTCACACAAGTGTTTTGAAAGAAGCTGCAGCTGCTCCAAAAACTGCTATCACCTTTACAGAAATATTAGAGATTTCTTCAAATGAAGGATCTTTCGAAGAATCAAATATTGGCGATAATGATCAGGAGAGTGTTGACAGGAAACCTATCAATAATTCAAAGGTTGGTGTTCGTCGCTCAATATTTATTCAATGGTAGAGTGCCTTTTATTAATCATGAATGTTACAGCATTCTAAAGCAGATGACCTGAGTCCAGTTGACGGGTCTGTGGATAGACGGGCAATAAAATCCTTCCCAAGAGTTCAAGGGGGGAAGATCTCAAAGACATCTCAGGATGCAACAAGTGTCCCAAGCATGGTTCTCTGTCGCCCAGATTCGTCAATCGTACCAACTAGACCAGATCAACTTCATCTTCCAAAACCTCAATGCAAAAACGATAAATCAGGTCGAGGCCAAATACCTGAATATTATGGATCAAGAGAATTGAAACGAGCCCGGTATTCTGACAGGAGCTTACGTTCGAAGGGTAGGATTCATATGGCCCCTGATTCAAAATCTCTTTGTATAAAGCTAATCTGAACGGTCTCATTCTAGTCCGTCCAAAATTCAAAGACAAGCCTCATGGTCACTATTCCCAGCAAAAGTCCGACCTCCCTTATTTGCCCTTCATACTTCAAATAACAGTACTTCGATCTTTGCAAACTGCATTGGAGTCAATGTGTTATCGATTCGTACAAAAGTGGCTTCCCGATATGCTGAATGCGAATACATGGGAATGTCCCGAGAATGTAGAGCTGAACTTATGGTGGGGTGCAATGAGCGAGTGTCACATACCAGTTGAAGCCATTGGCCGTCAAGCACGTTTTTCTCTTGATTCCCTCTTCCTACGGGTGAGCGGGATACGCCATCTTGCGGTACATAGACTTACACAGGTCGCAATCGATAGTATCAGGGCAATGATTGAAGATGCTCTGGAAATCGCACACATATTTCGAGATGATATTTTCGTTCCAGAGTTCGAACTCTGGAAAGAGAAGCTCGAATATTGTTTGGAGATTGATCGGAAGGCATCTGGTAAGCCAATCATGGTCCGTCGGCTCGATGCCATCATAGCCATGAAAGAGGACAATGAGATTTGGCAGGATAAGCTCCAAAAAGAGATTTTTGCGCTCACCGCGGAACTTGAGGGAAAAAAAGAGAAAGTCGCGCGACTACACCAAGAGTATAAAGTCCTTGGGATAAGTGAAACTGATACCATAGAACTTGCTAAAAATGGCGGCAAACTCAGCGATGAGGAAATGAAACACCTTGGGGATTTCAAATCGCTTGAAAAATCTTTTACGCTGAATTTCGACAGGAATGCACCTAATCCTGAGCCAGCAGAAAACTTCTCGGGCGAGCTTATTATGTTGTCACAAGTCGGTTCGCCGCATAGGCCGGGTAGAGGTGGTGGTCCCATGGCGAACCGGGGTACTAGGCGTGATAACAATGCTAGGTTCATGCGTGGAAACAGTAGGGGAGATACGAATGGACCCATAAACGATCGGTCTAGTATCCACAATCCCACTGTCTCTCACGGAACTGGTATCAATGGTCTGCCATCGAAACCCAAATCTATTGCTAGGAATGCTTATGGTACCCCGATGGCCATAACTGACAACCCTGGTTTAGACCAAAAACCCGCCAGTGGTCCAGTCTCTACATCGCATACCGGACAGACAGTTCCTGCTGAAGCGATCGTTGTTGATCTTACGGAAGACGATGATGACGTTATGGTTGAGTAGTGTTTGTTTTGGTGTATATTTTGTTGTATATTTTGTTGCGGGGGTTTAATAATGAAGTATATCATGAGAGGGTTGGAGAGAGCGCTGTGACTTTAGTTTATTATCGTCAAGTCGAGATTATGTTACGTAGCAATGCTAGACTCTGAATACAAACACATACTTTGGAATTTTACTCTATATTTGGCGAGCATCTGGGTGCTAAAATGAAAGATAAGTTTCAGCTATGTGAGATGGATCTTGGAATGGGTGCTAAGAATGCTATGATTGAAAATTGTTGTAGCTATTCCAGTCTATGTATGCGGTCTGCGGAGTGCAGCACTTCGTTGACTAAAATGGAAATGCTTCTTAATGTCACATTATTCCAATCTTTACAAATCTTTTATTCAAATAAGATCCTTCCGTTCCAGGTTCAGATATCACAATGAATAGTACAGGACAAAGCCAATTTCATACAAAGCTCATTCCAGAGAATTGGTTTCTAGCATCTTCAATCGCTTCCCACTTTGGTAAGAATAAGAATCGAATTTATCACTTCTTCAAAATACGCTTTCCATTTCTGTTTCCCATTGCATCCCAGGCAGAGGTTCCTCAACTCGGCCACACAATCATGTCCGATTCATCAAACTGGAGAGTTCGCGCTTCAGCAAACACAAGCTCTGAATCCAGACCAACAAACTGGTCCAACCAAGCACCCAGAGATGATCACCGTCAAAGACAACCCATCGTGTCTCTCGCCGAACGAAGCCGGGCCGAGGACGTGAAAGTCCACAGACCAGAACGACAAAATGAAGAGTCGCCTGAAACTCTCCAGGCTATTGCAGAAGGTCGTCGTGTTTATTTGGGGAATTTGCTTTATACCACTACACCAGATGTTATTAATGAGTTTCTTACCAGGAACGGTATAGCTTCTGTTAATAATGTTCATATATCTATTGATCCTTTCACGGGCCGTTGTCCAGGATATTGTTTTATTGAGTTTGCGGAGAAGGAGGTCGCAGATAAGGCTATGCAAACTCTGGAGGGCCTTACAATATCTGGTCGTCTGGTTAAATGTCGTCCTTGTCGACCTAAGGGGAATGTTAGACGTGGTGGTCCGGATCAAGAGACTGGTAGCGAGAATACCAATTCTAGCTATAATCGCTGGGGTAATTGGGATTCCAGGGCTAGAGACACGCAATATGATAGACTTGCGGGACAGAGCGGACCAAGTGATGCGTTGAGACATTTCCAGGTTTCAAAGGCGAAAGGAGAAGGTAGACAGTTGTATGTGGGTGGGTTGCCTAGAATGCTGGATCAGACGGAGAATGAATTGGAGATTCGATCAATCTTCGAGGGTTTCAAAATGTAAGTTTATTTTGAGTATCTAGAATCGGACGACCGTATGTTAATTTTTTCTAGCGATGGAGTAAGCAAGAGGGTAAGCCCTCGTGAAAATAATCTGGATAATAGATGAAACTTTTGTTTTGTTGATTTTGTCAGCCCTGAGGAGGCTGAAGAGGCTATGCGAGCTATCGATGGTACATCCTACAGAGATGCCCCATTGAAGGTCTCGATTTCGATTGTGAAGTCCCAAAGAGATAGAAATAGCGATAGTGGAATGGGAATGGAGAGGAACTCGCGATGGGAATAGATCAGTTGTGATTGCGGTCATTTGAATGCGTGAGTAATCGCCGGGAGTCAAAAAATCAGCGTTCTGGGTTTCGGTAACATAGATACAGCAAGTATACTCTTATTTTAGGACTGGATTCTACGATGTAGCGAGAATCACTAGCTGGAATAGTAATATCTAACTTTCATCAAGTCATGGGCTGGATTGGATTACTAGGTAGCCAATATGAATATGAGGGGGGTTTTAAAGTCTGTTGAACCACATACTGGGCTGATTGAATATCCCCTCTGGTGGACCTGGATTGAAATATGTATAGACTGTATTCTTGAGTTAATCGAGAGTGCTAATGTTACAAGGGTGTATGAAGGACTATATTTCCTTAGAGGAGTTCGAACGTCTTCTTCTGTTTCGCTTTCATTTGAGTATTGGATTGCAATACTTGACACAGAAGAACTCACATCAGACCACATAACTTTGCGGCTCTTCGAGTTCTTAATATGTCACACAGATATCACATTTCAAATACTCGATGCGATGTATGTATGACATTATAATATCAAAAATGTCAGAAATTGACATAGATGCGTGTAAGGATATCTGATTGATATCAGCTCATCGACTAGATTCTTGGATGACAAAGACTGGTAGCAAATCTGCACAATAGAAGAGGATATACTGGCTTTTCAGAAGATCGAGAAGCCCTTGGTGTTGAAAAGAAGAATATTGAGATGAGATTTTGATGGGAATGGAGAGGGAATGGTGTATGGAATAGGGGATCATGCGTGGGGATAGGTAGTTTATAAGCGATCTCTGAAGAATGTAAAGGGTGGGGGGGGTATTTTAATGTATGAGATATGAGGATAGATTATAGAAATTACATGAATCACAATCATTATATGGTACCTAAATACATAACTATACCTCATTCCTCTCAAGTAAATCCTAAATATTACTGAGCAGTGAGTAATCAGTATTTCGTAATATCTGATGTAGTGTAGTACCTGGTATCAGAGATCGCGTAGACTTCTGTAATAATCCTTACTACCCGCTTCTCACTCCCATCTTAACCACAAATATCCCTCTGCTTCTAGATCTCTACTGATTGTGACTGTAGCAATATGGAAGTTTCGTGTGTCTGTGGGTCTGTGACAAGACTCATCAGTGCAGACCGCACTTCGAAGTTCGTGCTAATTTTGATGATTGTTACAGTATCGTATCTCTTAGCTAGGGATTCAAATGGGTAAATGAGAGGTAGCGAGATGATCATGTTTCTTATCCATACGCAAAGAGCCTAGGGCGAGACTTGAGTATCGAAGTAGGAAGAGGATGTACTCATTTGCTTCTCGATGTCCAGGTATGGAAAGTTGTCGAACAATGGGGACTAGATACAGACCTTCGGACCTGAAATAGGAATACTTGTAAATGAAGTATTCACAGAGGTTAATTTTACATGATGAGAACGGTCAAAAAAAGCCGCTGGTAGAGCAAAAGTCTGAACAAGCTCCCGGTCTGACTCTTAGCCCTTTCATGGACCAATATCTTGCATCATACTTCGGAGATATGCCTATGTGGGATGAAAAAGCAATACCGAGGATACTGCACGTACTTGTTTGCTTCACACAAGTTCCATAACGCGCACTCAATTTCAGTGGATTGTTAAGTCCTCGACTAAAAACAAACGTTTCTTTGAAGAACTTATAGATGGAGCATCACTTTATGCTTTCCATGGGTAAACGCTCAGAACCATCATTCTCCAAATCATCATTTCCAAATCGTCATCTCCAAACTATATGCGTACACGGCCAGAAGAAGTTATTTGACACTTCAAAAGTTATTACCATGTAGCCGTTGATATCGCGAATGCATGAGTAAAACGACCCACCTCCAAAGTAATCTCTCAACAAACATTCATCCATCCAAGACAACCTATAACATTCTTCTATCCGCTTCCCAAGATTTCCCTAACGATTTCCCAATCATTACATAAAGTACAAAGTACAATACCTAGGTATACACCCAAAAATTTCTCCATCCCGTGATCTAGGCACCGCTGCACCCCGATTAATAACACACCTCTCAATTCACCAATCTGCTTACCATACTTAAGTAACCCATTTGAAGATTCTTACCAAACGATATCAAATCTCGCCAAGCCATATTAACCTTACATTATAATAATAAGTTAATGAATGAACAACGATCAATCATTGCCAAATGCTGACATCGCTTACCCTTCGTTACTCATCAGAAATTATGGAGCACTAGCACCATACTAATTCCCTATCCTATCCAATCAACTCCCACATTCCATGATAGGAAAATTGATTATTCCCAAAACAGAAAAATTACCGTGCTAGTACATTGATAAAAGAATAGTCCTGAATTGCATTATACTCCACACTCGATTGGAGATGGAGAATATCTGCTTACACATTGAGATGCCGTTGCATGAAGCATGCTTGTTCCGCGCTGAGTAAGGTCCTTGCATGAGAGTTCTCCACACGATTAATACCCACGGACCAGGTGCCCGGAGGGGAAATATCTCGTTTGAAGCGAGCTTCTTCACAGTATCGGAGGAAAACCATAGGTAAGTAGGGGTAATATTTGATTTTGGGCGTTGATGGTGGTCGCCTAGTTTTGTATGACGGTGAATTTACCGTTGGTTGTCGGGCTGACCGTTAGGTAAAGTTGTGGAAATCGTAGATATTGCTAGAAAATTGTAGATTGTGCCGGAGGTTAAATCGTCTAGTTGCACAGCTGGGGATCCGGTATTCTGATTACTTCCTTGCGAGTGATGAGATAGGTGGATCTAGATCGGTGAGACATATCGAGATATTGAGGTGCTAATGTCGTCTCGAGATCTTTTGGTAGTCAAGAGGTTGTGTATAAGAGGAAGAGAGTTTCCGACCATTTCGATCATCATCCTCATCACTCATCCCATCATCATAGACTCACTTCAACAATTTAAAGTTAAATCTAGATCTTTCCATCAACACCATGAAGTTCTCTACCTCCATGATCTTGGCGTCTGCCATTGCCGTCGAAGGTACATATATCGACTGCTATTTTCAATTCTGCAGCCAGAGCCAGAATGCTAACAACCCAGCAGGTTTTACCTTCGATCGTCTCAACAAGAGTGATGCCGCTCTTCTTGTTATTGATCACCAAATTGGACTTTCCGAGCTCGTAAGAGATTATGATCCAACTGTCTTTAGACAATCACTTCTCGGTCATGCAGCTCTTGGAAATCTCTTCGATCTTCCAACCATCTTGACCACTTCTGCTGAGCAAGGGCCAAACAGCAATCTCCCAGAGGAGATCATTGCCGTGAGTACCTATGACCTGCATCGTTCCGAAATGATGCTAATGATGATAGATGCATCCAACTGCCCCTTACATCAAGCGCCAAGGAGAAGTTAATGCCTGGGACAACGCTGAATTCCGTGCCGCTGTTGAAGCCACTGGCAAGAAACAATTGATCATTGGTGGAATTGTCACCGAAGTTTGTAAGTTTGTCCTTGACTCAAAATATATCTCGGAGTCTTATTCTGATGGAAACAAACAGGTACTTCTTTCCTTGCTCTCTCACTTATTGAGGCAGGCTATGATGTTTGGGCAAACACCGAAGCGAGTGGTACTTTCAGTGATAAATTGGCTTCGGATGCCAATCGACGCATGGAGCAAGCTGGTGTTCATCTCATGGGATTGTTTGGAATTACCATGGATTTGATGAGAGATTGGAGAAACACCCCTGGTGCTGCAGAGGTTCTCCCATACCTTGACAAGTAAGTTAACAGATCACCACCTCCAAGGAGAAAAGCGATACTAACATATTATAGATACTTGGTTCCATACTCTTTAGTTGCCCGTGCCCATGGTTATGCTATCGGAAACGGTACCATCCAGCCAGGAGAAGCTCAAATCCTCCTTTAGATGATTTCCCGAAGAAGCCAAAACTCAAAGCTGGATCATTCCTACTGTTTAGACAAACGAAGTCTCCCAATGTATGTTTTCTTGTCCGCGTAGAGGGAATTACATTCGGGCACTTGAACTGCATCAGCTCTGCGATAAATTGTTAGATCTCCTGGTTTTGATCCTAGTCATTAATAAAAAGCGTACTTTCAAGTCATATCAAATCCCTCAGTTCTCTTTTGGGAACAAAATTCTTATGTACACTTCCCTTTTGATCACGATCCCATGCCCATCGTTTGAGAAGATTAGCATCCAATTTGTTGTCAAGCATCTGCACAACATAATCTCCAATAATTGGTAGGAATTTCCACCCATGAAAAGAACCGCCTGTAGCAATATGCAGATTCTGACATCGTGGGTGTGCCGAGATTATAAAATCTTGATCAGGGGTAATTCCATCCCTAATTACAGGATTAGCTTTGAGAATAAAAAAAGACCCATGATTCTGCCTACCAGCACATGCGAAAAGAATCGAATTTCATATTTTCAGCCAATTCACTGTAAATCCCTCTCATTACTCGGTAGCACTCCTGAAGCTTTTTGGGAACGTTACGTTGCGCTTGATCAGCTTCGTCAGGCGGGGCTGATATCATATGCCCTGAGCGTTCATGGAGTGTTGTATGTTTGAGAGTGACATCCAGATAGAATTTGAGAATCCCATTCGTAGGAGGAAGTACGGCACCTATTCGAGATTTAATATCGTTGTTTGACCTTCATTTTAGTCACCACTTACCTAAGACATTTCCAACTGCATGATCGAACACTGGAGTATTTCTGATCCCATCGTACTCGGTCTCACTCAAATGGACATGGCCAGACACAATTGCAGCTGCAGTAATTCGATCCTCAGCCAGGATGTGGTGCATCTGCGGTGCGGAATCTGCGAGCAACTTCGCTGTACCTGCTCCAGTTGACAATATGATCTTGTCTGCGCGAAAGGTCCTACCATCCTTCGTCATTACGCCAAGACATGTTCCATCTATTGTCAAAATAAGATTTTCCACGTCTCCTTCGATAAACTTCACACCATTCGCCATTGCCATTTCGGTCACCTTGCGAACTGCTTTTGTAGCCTCAGCCCATCCACTACCTTCATTGACGAAGACTTCTTTCACGCCTCTCCAATCGGTTCCTTTGAATAATCCTCCATACAAAGTTTTCATTTCATCCGGTCCAGCAATCCTAGCTTGATGGTCGAGAATTCCCAATTTTTCATAATTATCAATGACTCTGCGTCCAAGACCAGTATCATCAACGATAACAAAGCCAGACTCATGATAGTATGGCTTATATAATGGATCATTCTTCCACATTTCACGGGCTTTGAGGGCTAACTCGCAATAGAATATATCTTCATAATCAGCACGAACAATCTTGTTGCAATCATGAGAAGCAGCAAGCGAACATGGAAAGGAGGATGAACGATCCAAAAGGGTTATTGATGAATTGGGATGTGTAAGTGAGATATGGTAAGCGGTTGATGTACCAAAGACTCCTGATCCCACTATGAGATAAGAAGTACCCATGGAGGTTTGAGAGGTCATCGTGAACGTTGTATCGTGAAGTATGTGCAAGTTGACAACCGAAGCATCAAGCAGCGATCTAAGCAGCGATAGTCATTCACAATGAACAATGGGAAGACTATAACATCTTTTCCATAAATATGTAGTTACCTGGTGTGAGGTGTTTGTCTCTCAATATATCACGCACGAATGGTTCGTTTTGGACAATAGGATGAATTGAAGTATGATTGCTTCCCTTCACCTGATCAACATAGATGGGATGACGCTGATTAATAATTGATCAATTATATCAGGCATGAACTATTTCTACTAAGGCATGCTCAGCAGCACGTGAGGCACTTCTCGAGGCACTAGACATTTTGGCGGGGAAAATCCTTATCTTAGCTCCGGCAACCTCCACTAAATATTTTTGAACATTTTCAATTTTATCAATTGATTTCATAAAAAGAAATTCCGTCCGTCACCAAAAATTCACAAATCTCTCCAAAACACAAAATGCCCAAAGCAATGAGCCCAAAAGAACTCGCCAGAAATGGAAGAAGGCATAATCCTCTTGAAGCAGATTTGACAGCCAGTGGTCCACTCAAAACTAAATCCGGGAAGAGAAAATCTAGAAATGAGGAGGAGGAAGAAAAGTTCGTGGATTCGAAATCTTCGCGGAGGATTTTAAAGATAGGTCAAGAACTTGCCGATGAAGACGAAGCCGAAACCCAAGCAGCAAAACCGAATGCAGCCTTTAATTTTGAATCAAGATTTGAGAATGAAGTTGAGGAAGACGAGCCAGAATTTGGAGAGGAGGATGGAGAAGAATGGGGAGATGACGATGAGGTTCCAGAACTAGTCGAATTGGCGCCAGAAGACCGCGATACGTTTGGAAAATTCTTCCCAGAGAATGACGAGGATGACCTAGACCAAAAATTAAAGGAAGTTGGTTGGGGAGGGGAAAACGACGAAAGTCGAGAGGGACAAGGCACAGATCTGACCGCATTAATTCTAGAGAGGATTGCTCAGTTTGAGGCAAAACAATCGGCACAACCTGGAGTTGGACATGCTGCACCCAACGATGATGGATTCTTCGTTCATCCTAAGGTTATGGAGGTTTACACAAAGTGAGGAGTACCTTCGCCTTTATCCCGCCCAAGTACTAACAAGAATATAGAATTGGGTTGATATTATCGCGATACAAGTCAGGAAAATTGCCGAAACCATTTAAGATTCTACCTACCGTACCAAATTGGGAAGATATTCTCGTGATCACCAGGCCGGACAAGTGGACACCAAATGCTTGTTACGAAGCAACAAGAATATTCGTCTCAAGGACACCAATTATCGCACAAAGATTCGTGGAAATGGTTCTGCTCGAAAAGGTTCGGGAGGATATTTTCGAAACCAATCACTTGAATGTCCATCTTTTCAAAGCCCTGAAGAAGGCACTCTACAAGCCAGCCGCGTTTTTCAAGGGATTTCTTTTCCCATTGATTGGAAGTGGTACCTGCACACTACGTGAAGCAAGAATTATATCAGGCGTCCTTGTGCGAGTTTCGATCCCAGTCCTACATTCCGCCGCTGCCATCAAAGGACTTTGCGATATTGCAGCTCAAGAATCATCAGCCGGGACCGAAGGTGGTGGAGCCACAAACATTTTTATCAAGGCTTTGCTTGACAAGAAATACGCACTTCCATACCAAGTCATTGATGCGTTGGTTTTCCATTTCCTACGATTTAGAAGTGTCGACCCAGCCGGTGTTCGACCCGAAGATATTGGATCCGGAATGGAAGGTGTAACCAGTTCCAAGGATGCGAAATTACCAGTCATTTGGCATCAATGTCTTCTAGCATTTGCACAAAGATATAGAAACGATATTACAGAAGATCAGAGAGAGTCGCTGTTAGATTTGATTAATGTAAAGGGACATTCACAAATTGGACCTGAGGTTAGAAGGGAATTGCTCGCCGGACGTGGTCGTGGTGTAGTTGTTGAAGAAGCAGGACCAGCTGTTGACGGTGATGATACTATGATGATAGACTAATTTGTCAAGGAATTAAAAAAGGAAGATAATACCAATTACCCATGAGCTATGAGCTATGACCCATTCTCGTTTTAGGATAACAGACCTGCGCTTTATTTTCAAATACTGTGATGAATACCTACCTACCTAGGTAGGTAGTGAAAGAAAAGCCGCCTCGTATAACAATAGTTTTAGCAGGCAACAAAAAAATGCAAAGCCACAACTATTCAGCTAGTCATCTTCAAAACCACGAACAACTGCAAGAAAACATCCAAAACTTCTTTTGGGTGATTTAAATGTTTAACTATCTATTAGCATACGCATAACAAGTGTAATTGCAATTGCTTGATAGTGTGTTCATATCTACCTAAGCAGTTTTTATAGACATTAACCTTACTAGAAACCACCAAATACAAACCCCACAATGTCCAACGAGAAATCATCTCCATCAACCTCCCACCACACTCCCGGATCATTCGGGCCCAGCAATCTTACATCTGAAGCCGATCCCTCCACCTCCCGCCAACATCACCTCAATACACTATCCGATTCAAATCCCCTCAATCACAATCACAATCACAACCACGATGACGACTCCACACCCCCCGCCTATTCCGCCGCCCTCTCCTCTCCCGCCCCCCTCCGCTGCAACCCCCATCTCCGCTCCCCAGACCTCCCAAATCTGTCCTACAACCTCTATCTCCCCCCTTCATTCACCCTCTCCAGCGATAAAACAACCATCACATCATCCTCCGCTCATCTCTCTAATCCCGGGACTCTCCTCCCTCTCATCACCGCTCTATGTACTATCCCCCCCAAACCCATGTTGAGAATACTAGGGCAGCGTATGCATACCCCGACTCCAGATTTCGATATCAGGGTTAATTTAATGGGATTGCTTGTCGGGGACGGAGAGCGCAAAATGAATTATATGAAGATTCTTGGGAGAGGCGAGATGGGATGGAGAGGGGGTGTGAGGGAGGCGACGGAGCCTGATTTGGGGGAGAAGGAGGGGAAGGGGTTGGAAGGGTGGGTGAGAGCTTTTTGTAGGGATGAAGCGGGGGTTAAGGAGTATGTTTTTATTATTATTGTATTTGATATGTCTATGTTTGGAGAATTGATGATTAACTGGTTGAAAATACATAGATTCATACTAACCCGACAAATCCCCAATTTCCCAACAACACATCTCCAGGGTCTGATACTTGCGCTCATAGCGCAGACAGGATATCCAGGACACACCACTATCAGTTTTCCAATCACGCATTCGAAAGTTGTGGTCAGACCGCCAGATAGAGTGAACTCGTTTTTTAGTAGCGTGGCGAAGGTTTTCATGGGGACGAAGAGATATGAGGTTGTGAGTAGTGTGTGGCCGTTTGCGGATGTGGGGAGGGGGGTGGAGGGGAGAAGGTGTGTTGTTATGGGGGAGGAGGAGTGGTTTGATGAGTGAGTTTGGGTTTTATTTTTATTTTTCTTGGGCGGAGGGGAATCTTTAGGGTGTGGGTTTTTGGAGATGCTAATTAGGGGTATTGCTAGGTGGAAAAATGTTATCGGAAGGGCGGTTGTAAATGGGAAGAAAGGATGGGTAACAGTTGAGGATCGATTGGAGTGGTTAATGGAAGGACAGGGGAGTGTTGAGCAATGGCGATGGAATGGGCAAGGGTATTGATAATATGAGGTCTAGATAGAGTTCGCTTGTGGTTGTAGAAGTTCGGGTTGGTTAGATAAGGAATGATATTGTACTCGGGTAGGTTCCGGTACCAAGACTTCAAAGCTAATAATAATGGATGGCATTTTCAAGCATATCAAAGGTTCGGAATATTGGTGCATATAAACATCTCCTGCAGAACTACTAGAATCGGTCAGCACTTTTCATTCCGGTCCCAAACGAACTCTAATTTCTCCCCCTTCACACTCGAATTAAACCACTCAAAAATCTCAACCTTTTCTTGGCAAACCCTCGCACCCCTCAAAGCATCACTTTCCACGATTTTTTCCACCGCCATGTAAAGTTCCACCGTAGCAAGATTCCTCGCAATACACGCTCTACTACCCGCACCAAAAGCAAACCAATGTTTATTCGCTTCCGGGTTGATATTTCCCTCCAGCCATCTCTCAGGCTGGAATTCATGCGGATTCGGAAAGACATCTGGATTGAAGTGCAGCTCATAGGCGGAACAGCCGACGATAGATCCAGCGGGGAAGTAGATGGATTTGAATGTCCATCCACCGATAGGGACAACGTGAGGTAAACGAGTGGGATTTGCCATGCTGGTGCGTAGACCTTCTTTGACGACAGCGGAGAGATAGGGAAGAGCTTGGATTTCTTGTTTGGTGGGAGAATTTGCATTTTCCATGATTTCAGTGCGAAGGATTTCATACCTTCGAATTTGTGAACACCTTTACCACTAAGATTGTCAAGGGGATGTTGACTTACTTTTCTGGACACAGCACTAAATATCGAAAAATAGTTGCCATATTCATACCTGTCGAATCCGTTCCCGCAAACATAAGATCTTTGCACGAAGACTTAACTTCCGACTTGCTGAACCCTATATCGAGTAATCGACCAGGATAATTCTTACTTTTCTTTGGCGTAGATTCCACAAGATTGTCCACAAACTGGTCCACCAACTTTATGGAATTTTCAGTATGTGAATCCATCACGAACATTTCCATAAACCATGATAACCAAATAAAGACTTTATTTGGCAAATAAAAAAATCTTCCCACAGCTACAAACGCATCCACAAATGCCGAAGCCGAAAGTCTTTCTCCTTTTTCAGAGGTTCCATTGTAATTCTCCGAGAACAAATGTGTAGAAATAGCATCGAGTGCCAAACTCCTTGCCAAATTCAGACAATTGACAGGTTCCCCTCCTTGAGCATCCTCCTTCATTCTCCGCACCATATTTTCCACACATCCATACAACGCAATCTCATTATCCCTAATGCTTTTCGTGGAAAACAAAGGCATGACTGCTTTTGCCCTCGGAGCCCTAAACTCCGCATCCGTAGTCGAGAATATCGTCTTGTGACCATCGACATCAAAATTGGCATAGCAAGGAGCTTTCGGGAATCCACCTTTGGAGATATAGATAGGGGTTATGGCATCTGCATCAGCGATATCGATTTCAGACGGAGAGACGCGGACGATGGGTCCATATTGGTTGTGCAGTTTGTGGATGCAGCTTGCTTCGTCGCCGATGTAGGCGTGGTAGTGCAGCCAGAGGGATGTGAGTTTGGGGAGGAGGGGACCGGGAATGTGGGAGAGGGGGTGTAGGGTGCAGCGGTAGGTGCAGCGGAAGAGGAGGGAGAGGATTGTAATTGTTATGAGAACTATGAGGGGGTTTGTGGTCAGTTGACCTAAAACCTGCTCGAGGAGAGCCATGGCATGTGTGATTTGAAGAGGATGGACGAAAGGTCAATTGAGTAAGGTAGGGTCTGCGGGAGTTTAAGTAGGAAGGACGAGAGAGATGGATGACTGATATCGATAACAGTCGAGGTGAGTTCTTGGATACTTCGATGACTCAATGATTGATATGACTGGATATGCCCACCAATGAAATAATCGCCATTTGTACCGCGATAGATAATACTATCTAGGAAATTTAAGCCATTTTTCTGCATTTCATGCATGAAGTTATCAATACACATACATGTAGGTACGCACTCCATGCCCAATGGAATGACGGGTAATATGGTCCAGAATGGATGACAAAATGTCATCACACCTCACATAGTAATGCCTAGCTTGGAATCGACATGAAATCTTTTTCAGACTTTGTTAGTTTAACTCCAATAGCCGTCCTTCTCGTGTATTGTCATGGCATAATCATATAATTATGATATTGCTTTGTTTTGAGCCTGTGTACATTTTGGGGTCTCTTCAAGCTGTTTGGCACTGTGGTTCTAAGACGCGCATGCTGACAAATACCCTGGAGCCTAGGTCTACAAAGAAGAAAAAAGAGTGATCACCCCAATAAATTCTATGGTAAATCAACCACTAATAGAATTATAAAAGTTAATAACATTAAATGAAAATCCTTGAACGATTTTCAACTCTAAGATTATATAAACGTTTAATTTTCATAATTGAAATGGAACAATTGAATTATTGAAAGGCTTTGCCAGTGGTCAATTCCGGCCTGTTCGCTTTCCACAACTTCTGGCGACGTCAACGATCTTGGTATAATCAATACAATTGCTGTTACGGGGCAACTCGAATTGAAATGATTCCAATTGGAGCTCATCGTGTCGTCACTTCGACGATAAGATCAGCATCAAAACAGCTGTTGTATACACGAAGACTCTATCAGTCAAGGGGTATAAAATGTGTGAAATTGTGTCTTAAGATCCCTTTGTCCTTGAGTTGCCAGATGCAATGCTCTCTAACAGAGAAAATCATTGATCGTCGTATGGCTATCAACCGAAAGCTACAGCCCAATATCCACAATAAGAAGTTCTATCCATCACTTTCCTGCCTCCCAAATCATAATATTTCTCACAAAGAATTCGTGGCCTAACCGTTCCCTTTATCACCCCCTTCTACCCCTTCATTGCTCGCTTACTTGCTTCGAATATTTGTAGCTGTACACGTACAATACTACCTAAAGCTTTCGATGAACAATCCTGAATACTCAACATTCTTTAGCTGCGTTTATGTACTCTTGAAGTTTGTCTCGTTCCTCCAGTGCCGACAGCTTTTCTTCATCTGACGCCGTCGGATCCCTTGTTAACCAGAGAAGTGCTTTTCTCGCTCCCCGCGCATATTCAATTAATTTACTTTTGTAGAGAGTCGTGCATTTCGTTAGCAGTATGAAAAGTTCTGCTCTCAATGCTGGTCTCAGAGTCGCTCCAAGATCATCATGGAGCATCTGATTACACAATGGCTCAAATGAAGCGACGTCCATATATGCCAAGGGCGCTCGAGCTCTTTGTAATTTTGCTTCAAAGACGGCTTTGTTCTTTTGTGCACTCGACGCATTGTTCGCAACGACAGTCGCGTAATCGAATTCAGGAGAGAGCTTTCTGCGACTGGCCCAGTAGGCATCGATGCTATTATTGTAGTACTTTTGCAAATTTCTATCATTTTCTCCTTCTATGAATTTAAGTGATTCGATAAGCTTCAATAGATTTGCCCCGAAATTTTGGAGATTGATACGTTGATTGATTTCCTCTTCATGGTATCTGTGGCTATATAAACTGAATTTAATGGCTGCTTCCCAGACGATAAGTCTGTGAATGCAAATGTCGAAATTTTGTAAGCACGCATCCAAGGCTTCAGTAAGTTTGCTCAAGGACTCGGTCCATTCATCAAGCCATTTCTCAAAATCATTTTCACACTCTGCTTCCTCATACTCTGGCTCTGGTGGTTCTTCAAAATATGCAAATAGCCACGCGTAGTCCATGAGTGTTTTGGATTGTTGATGCATAGTTGTGTTGATTTCATAAAATGAATCGCGAAATCTTTCGAGGCGACTTTGAAGAGTTTTGGCTTTTTCCATTCTCCCATCTTGATTTAACAAGAGATATTCTGCATACGTACGTTTACTCGGTTTCGAAAACCCATGCAGGGTGGGGGTAATAACTGACACTGGCGATAAATATCCGTTGAAATCAGACGGAAGAATAATTTTGTATTGGTAATCAATATCTTTAGCATAGTCATCTTCAATGGTGATTGCATGTGCATAGCCTATCGTACTTACAGGGTGGAATAACCCATATTTTCTGGTATACAACGACCAGAAGTCCTCTGATCGAAACTGGGTGTGCATATATATAGGCAGAGGAGATGCCCATGTTGAGCCCAAGGGTAGTACAAGCTGAGGTGCATCGCCATGCCTTGCTGCGTCGTATTCTGGCCATGGATCTAGAGTGCTTCCTAAACCAGGTCCATCCGTTATTTTATTGTACAGTATTTTGGAGTGTGTGCCTCCAAACACCTAAAGTAGGTCCGATTAGACTGAATACTTTAGATTGCGTGGGATTTCTTACGGAAGCCTCGCCTGCCCATCCAAGTTCAGACTTTTGTTCTCGACGCCACATTGGCTCATAAAGTGCACCATGAGAGACCGCTTCCTTTATTTCCTCCTTGAGAGAGTCTCCATCGAAAGTGAATTCCTTAGCATAGCCAAGTACATGCTGGTCGACTGTTATCAAATGATAGAACAATGAAGGGTGGAAAATCAAACCATAAATTCATGATACATTGACGTTGCCACATACCATTCCTCAGAAAGCCTTTCTGCGTCAGACAAGTTGGGGTTCATTAGCACTCGAAAGCTGTATACATTGTACTCAGTGACTATCGTCATACTTTGACGGTTGTATGTGGAAACTGCGACGAAGCTTTGTTTTGGAGGAGCAGACGATTCCATTCCTTCATCACCTTGACTTTTGGCAGACTCATCAACACCAAATGCCAGCGTATAATGGCGCATCAGGATTTTTGTTTCAATACGATTTAACTCCTGTCTTGTTCGAAAAGCATTTGTCGAATCGTATGGCAGGGGATGAAAGCGTTTGAAAAGTTTTTGGATTCCAGGACCAAAACGAAATACATCTTGAGGCTTGAAATCTTCGATCGGAATTGTCTCAGTACCTCCAAGTAGTAGAGCTTGAACCTGTTTTCCTTAGCGCCCGATTGGAAACCATGGAGAGCTGGGAATAATACAAAAGGGTCTAAATGCATTCTCGCCAATAACCTCGAGGCGAGTTTTAGACACGGTTGAAGATGCTCCCAAATGAGAGGATTTTGCGCTGTCCACGAAATTCCTTCTTTCTCTGAACTACTCATTGGAAGTATCAGGCCACTTGATTTAGCCCACCTGCTTCTTTGCATTGTTGGATCGATCGGATTTGAATCTTTTGGAATGGTTAATGATCTCAATGAGACAACATCAAGATCGACTAGAAGTCGCGATGTGTATCCACGTAACCTGAATTGTTGATACGCTGTTCTTTCTTCATGGGAGGCATTGGCAGACGGATTGGTAAGGTTGTATGCAGATATTGGGGTGAGTCCGCTGCGATGTGAGCCGATAATAATGGCTATAGGAGTCGGAGGAGCACCATACTTCTTCTGATAAAGGGTCGGTGAGATTAGCATCTTTGGTACAATTTGGAATCTCGTAGAAGTTTCGCATTCGTGTGGTACCAGCAAAGATGCTGCCTCTAAGCACGTAGCTCATTTGAAATTTATAAACATAGAGAACAAAGCAACAAAGACGCTAGATAAATTCAAACAAAATCGCATTTTTGCATGAATGTCTTTCACTTTTGAACAAAGAATTAGCACGAAAATCACAAGCAGATTATTCCATTCCCCAAAAATCTTTATTCAAAGAAACTCATGAAACCGGTTGTGATGATTTGATCATTCAGATGATAATTATGCTTAAGGCTTAGTACATAATAGGTTTTATGATCGGTGATGACTCTATTATGAAAGCATTTCAAACATTGGCATATATTGGAACCTTTTACAAGTCATCTATCAAGAGACGGTAGTCCATTGGTACATCATCGATACCGCGAGCTCAAGTCAAATTTTGCCAGCCCCTGCACGCTTTACTTACCTATCTACAAGCCATGAGCTTCTATGATCACCTGGTACACCGCATCACTTGCATCTCCTTTTATACATGCTCAGTCATAAAGCTGAGAATAGAAATAAGATTATTTAAAACCCAATTGGAAACAAACTTCCACTGAGAATCAAATTTCTAGTTGGAATCAAACTTCCAGTAAGAACAGAGATCTGTTTCATATCTACAGAGTAAAGATGAAAAGTCGCTAATGTGTTTATTTTGAACAGATACTTTCTCCCATCATAATAGTTCCTTCTCAGTTCTCATCACTGAGGATTGATCAAGATATCCGTACTACCCCTTCACTTCTTGCTTCAGGTGCACGTACTAGTTTGGCTTCAGTTGAATATACTTGAACACATTTTGGAATATACAGAATCCTGCACACATGTAATGGAGTGACTATTTTGACAGGCATATCAAGGTGACTGTACTTTCGATTATCAGGTTTCCCCGAATTCAGTGGCTTCTTGTTCTTGGAGAATTGTCATTGCTCTGGATATCACTTTTTGCAGCGACTAGAAATCGGCAATATAACCCATTGATATTTTTGAGATTCTCATACTGGGAATATAGGAGGGGAGCCTGCGAATTTCCGCAGTAGGTTTTCATATGCTGGCACTGCGAGTCTAGATGATAATTTTGTTTTCAACAAGAATTCGACCTTTCATCAGCTCTTACTCGGATAATGACCATATCATCATTGATCGGGCATGCCGGGCACAAGATCATCAAAAGTCGTCCACCAAGCACATAGTAAGCCAAACAGAATCTCAGATCAATAGTGCATACACTAACACAACTATCTTCTCCAGAATGGTCAGCAACTACAAGTCATATGGCAACATTCGAAGGCGCAACCCAAATTCTATGTAGTTTTGCTTGAATTAACGAATTGCTCCAGTCGATATAGATTCTTTGAAGGCCTCTTTAGGCGAGATCTCAATGGCCGAATCGCTGAATCGCCTTTTGTGAAGCAATGGAATACAGGAAATGCTGTCAATGATTCAAATATCGAGGACTCTGATACAGAAGATGGAATAACAGGCCCCAGTCCATGTATCATGCATAATATGCGGGCACGTTTACATACTAGTGCCCTGAATAAGACGAAGGTAGATTGGTAGAACTGATTTAACCTAATAAAAGAAAAGATCCATGGATAATCTAACTCCATAGCTTAACATTAATGCAAGGGAGGAAGTCGGCATCTTCCTCAGTTTCTCGTAACTCACTTGAGGTATGCTGTAGACGTGTAAAGGATACGATTTAGACGATGCTCTGTTCCAAAGCTCTCAATCAATAACTACTGATCTGATTGCTCACGATCTCATTGTCCAACGATTATATGCGTCGAAATAGCTAGACAACAGCGGCGATGGCAAAATATAGAGTGAGTGTATAATATCAATTTCTAGGATCGGTATATCAAATTCTTCGTAATCCATTGGCTGATAAATCACCCCACGCGTGGTAGGGGTGCGAATTTAGTAATTCACACCTCAATGCAATATTTCCAAAAAGTTCGCAGGTAAATATTTATGCGATCAAGGTTAAAAACAATCTTTCCGAAGAGTGTTTTGTTAATCTCAACATTCAAACACCAATTAATTATGCTCACCGCACGTAAAGTTCCGAAGGCATGCCAGTCATGTAGATCTCAACTTCTTTCCCTTTTCGAATATGGATTCACAAGACCCATTGCTTCAACAGCCTCTACACATTCAAGACTTCGCGACATCCGATATCGATCAATTCAGCCTCGCCCTAATACCTTACGATTATTCTCAACGACTCTTATTCGATCAGATGAAGCTCGAACGACCACAACTACACCAGGGCCCGAAGTGAAAGCTACAGAAGCAAGAGCAGCAGAAATTGAATCGTTTGTGAGGCAGGCTAGGCAAACATTTGGAGAAACTCTGCCGAAGGATTATCTATCTGCTGAGGAGTATCAATTATACGAGCGACTGTATGGTGCACCACTGCGAGACACTAGGCCGGAGGACTTAGAATATCTGCAGGTTGAGGAAGAGGATATTGGAGAAGATGGGCCATCCAGGAATGTTCTTTTGAGAGAGAACGCTGATGGTGAATTTGAAGAAGTTGAATTTGATCCAGAGCTGGGGTTTAAAGTTGTCGAAGATGGCACTGACAGATTTGCTTCTGCCAGTGAGGGTAAAGAACTAGGGCTTGAAGAAGAAAGCGAACCTGATATGGAATTGGAAGGTGAGGAAATATCAATGGCAACAGAGACTTCTGCGGGAACGGATTCTACCGATTTGACATTTCAAGCTCAAAACCAAAGAGAGGTAGATGCTATCGCACGGTTACAACGCGATATGGACGAAGCAATGGCACGAGCAGCAGAGCAAGAAGATACGGTATTTGACGAGGACTATGAGGAGGAAGAATCGTCGGAAGAATCTGAAGAAGAATTATTTGAGGGCCCCGAAGAATTTGAGGAAGACGAATACGATTCATATATTAGCTCGGACGAAGTTCGCACACATCCGCATACTAGGACCGCTAGATCTGGCACATCCCCAAGTACCATATCGTTACCAAAAGAACAATTTGTTACACCCATTACCGAACTGCTAGAGAGAACAAGCATGAAACACGTCACAGAGGCTGCACAGAAAGCATTTGGTGGAAAGTGGTTGCCATATTCTTCTTCTACTCCAAACGTAGGAAAGCTCAAGCTTTTACCACAAAAACATGTTGGACTCGATGCTTCACAACATAGGATGAGCGAAATCGAAGCAGATGCATATTTGGCTGGAGTAATGTCAGGTACTTATACTTCCGTTATGAGTACGCTGGTTGAGGTACGCAAACGATTAGGGTCTGAATGGATTCGTGAAATGTTGTTCAGGGAGGGTGGCCAAGGTCCACGAATTCTCGATGCTGGAGCTGGTGGGGCTGGTATTGTAGCCTGGCAGGAAATCTTACGAGCCGAATGGGATGTATTGAAAGACGACGGTATTGTCGAAGGAAACGTGCCTTCATCTGGAAAGCACACGGTTCTTACTGGAGCAGATACATTACGATACCGAATTTCACGATTTCTCGACAATACTACCTTTCTTCCCAGACTGCCTGATTACGTCCATTCATCCAGTGGCGAGGCCCAACTTGATGGTGGACCTGCACAACCTAGGAAAATGTATGACTTGATTATCGCCCCACATACTTTATTCCCATTGAAGGAAGATTATCGCCGAAAACACATGGTACAAAACCTCTGGTCCATGCTTGACCCCAAAGGAGGTGTACTTATCCTGATAGAAAAGGGATTACCACGGGGATTTGAGGCTATAGCAGGCGCTCGTTCTCTTTTGCTCGATTCACATATTTCTTCACCTGGTGACGAAAACGTCGAAAAAGAACTTCAATCCCTTTCAGACAACGAATCACGGTTCGCGGAAAAAGAGGAGGGTATGATTATCGCACCATGCACCAATCATACGAAGTGTCCAATGTATCCAGTCCCAGGTCTTACTCCTGGTAGAAAGGATTTTTGTCATTTTGAACAACGATATCTCCGTCCACCTTATCTACAGAAAATTTTAGGTGCTTCTTCCCGGAATCACGAAGATGTTAGATATAGTTACCTGGCGGTACGAAGAGGTATTGATGCTAGGAAAGAAGAAGCCATTTTACAAGGAGATGCTGCCACTGACCAATCTTTTGCTGGCTATGAAGAGCATAATTTACCGGATGGTCCAGAAATGCCTGAAGAGGGTGATGTACCATTTCATCCATTATCACTCCCACGATCTATGCTCCCACCTCTCAAACGTCGTGGACATGTCACCTTGGATGTTTGTACACCATCCGGTAAGTTAGAACGATGGACAATCCCTAAAAGTTTTAGTAGAGCAGCGTACCGCGACGCTAGAAAATCCAAATGGGGAGATCTTTGGGCACTTGGTGCTAAAACGAGAGTCCCTCGGCAACCTAGATTAGGAAGGGGAGGACAAGGTGCAGTCAACAGTAAGGGTTCCAAACCTGGAAAAGTCCTCAGTAAATCAGCGGCCAAGAGGAAGAAGAACAAGTTTAATATCATTATGGGTCGTGATGGTATGGAGGGTCTTGAGGAAAGTAGAGATTCGAAGAGAATATTTAAGCCTGAGAAGAGAACAAAGGGGGGTCGATTTGTCAAACCGAAGAAGCCGATTACCGAGGATGACATATAAACGTTTTCTCTCTTTGTACTCGTGCGGCCAGAAAGTAATATGGGCCACCAATCACCTTGTATTTTACCGCCTTATGGGACGTGCTTGTGAGTGGAGTGTGGCATACTTTTCTGGCCGCACGAGTACGATCTTTATACGAAATTATACCTTGTATGCATAGTTTGGGCAATTTTAGGGACGTGTGACTATGGTTCTCTGCTCCACAATTTGATTATAACTTCACACTCTAGGCAATTGAAAGCTGCTTCCATGACTTCTAGAAAAGGAAAAAGCCATCGTTTGTGTTTCTATGCACTTTGAGTTGTTATACGAGCATCCGCCTCATACGTCGGGAAAACTTCCAAGATATCATCAACCTCAACCCCTGAAATACGGATAATTTTGGCATTCAATTTCCAATTTCAATTCGATGTTCCACCATGGATGAATGAGTGGGCGAATCGATCAACACCGCCGCTTGGTCTGTGAGTTTGAAGACGCTCGAATTGAACGACGATTGATTGAATGCGATACGAAAGTCAAAGGTAATTTTGGTAGAATTATTCAAATACATGTGTTTCAGTATCTATTTTGGAGTGTAAATGAAGAGGATCTATGAAGGGTTCTGGTTCTAACTTCTGTCACACAGCAGCGTAGTAGAGCGTTTAAGCATGGATCTCAAAATATGCATATAAAATTATTATCTAGTGTAGTGTCTATAGTTGCCCCTTTTTCTCAAGGCCAAGCTTTTGTCCAGGCACATAGTCATGATCCACCCAACCGAAACCAGTTGGGACGTTCACATGTATAATAGTCACACGTATAATACTCACACCTTACCTACCTTACCTACCTTACCTTACTATAACTTATACAAACCCTTAAAGCAATCAAAATAAATATGGTTAAACTAAGCGAACGAATCTCATCAATTCTCTTCTCCTTCACTTGCCCCCATAGCCACAATTCTTATCTTGTTTGCGGCTAGTTAACCAATAGATCCCCTTCATTCTTGAGTCTTGACATGGTCATCGACGGTTTAGAAAAGGGTGCCGCTGCATAGATCCTCAATTTAACCTCATTTACTACCGTAGCACTACGGTACACATCCATCCATTTCTCATTCCCGTTTCCATATTTTCCATCAATCTAATAATGATCGAAAGGCAGGTTGGGGGTCCGAAGATTAATAATGTCTTAGCTGCTGCTGTCAATGCTTGGGATGTTTTTTCTTGGTACCAATCAACATCGGGGGTTTTGATTACTGTCTGGCTTTCAATGTCTAGTCATCCTTCTGTATGATATTGATTGATATATTGGTTGATTAGCAATTCACCGCCATCATCGTCTATCTTTGTCATTCATTTACGAGCACCGAATTATTCGGTCTTCACTCTCATTAATACGATTTCTTTTCTCAATTTTTTACTCGACTTTCATTCTTTCTGACCAATTCTTGCAGATGCTCTTTCGATTGTTTCTAGGGTGAAATATTTTTCTTTCTTTTGTTTATTTGTTTCCGAGGAAAAGCTGCTGCGTGCGCACGAAAAGTGCAGATATACCTAATTAACATGGAATACCTTCTCTCCTTTCTTTTGTTGCCGGCGGTGAGCTGGGCAGCTGTAATTCCAGCGCCTGCTTCTGCCGAGAGAATTGCTGATGTCATTGAGTATGTACTACCTTCCGAGATTCAACAATATCCATAGGTACCTTAACTTGCCTTCTCAATAAAATGCTAATTATGTATCTCGCAGGATCGAATCCAGCCCCAGATCCTCACCAATCTGTACATCAAACTGCAATATCCCCTCGTCATCCTCCCCTCGGACTCTCGAACTCCGCGACTACGATTACCACAGCAACACACATTCATTCCACCATGCTAAATACGACTCGGATCCCCCATCCGGTCCTCACATTCCCACATCGTGGAAAGTAGCTATTGGCGTTAATGCTTTTGTACTCCTCATTACGGCATCGATATTAGGAATGCTAGTCTGGATACTCAGGAAAGAATACAGGAAGAGGAAATTACTACAAGGGGATCCGGGATTTGTAGGCGCGAAAGATGGATTTGGGAGGAGAATGAAGAGCGCGCGGAATACGAGGGGCATGGGAAATGCGAGGAGTGGGAGAGCGAGAGCTTGGAGTTATGATCCGATTAGAGAGGAAGAGGAGGAGGGCGACAATCTGGGGGAGGGGGTTAGATTGGGGGGTTTGGGTGTGGGAGTGAATGGGCAGAGACCAATGTCTATGCCGCTGGGTATGAATAACACGTTAACTATTCCTGGGAATGGCATCGAAAAGGAAACTTTAGAGAACGCGAAAGGAAAGGGAAAGGAAGGCACGAAAGCAAAAAGAGCATGGAAGGGAAAACATGTACGATTTTCAAGCTGGGGAGGAGAGATCGATGCGGGGGATACGCTTGGGGCTGTAGCTGGAAGTAGCGGGAAGGAAAACGGCATTGCGGCTTTGAGGACGGAAACGCATGCATATGTGCAGACGCCTTAGATCTGTGGAATTGGTGTCGAGAGTTGTGTTTTGGAGGGGTACCCCACCTTACATATTTTTGTTTCTATGGAGGGGAATTTGTACAGGTGTGTGTGGAGCGGAGCGGAGTGTGTATATTGGGATGCGCAGCTAGACAGAGGAGGAATATGTGTGCATTAGTGGCGTTCAGCAATCATCTATTCATTCAAGTCACTCAAAAATTAGCGGGAATGGTGGGAGTTATCACAGTAGTTGTTTTCATTTTCGTTTGAAAGATTCAGTTTGCATACATATCCCACTTGTCCACTCCGCTCCTCTCGTCTCTGTACCTATCTCATTCCAGACAACATCACCCCTTTGATCAAACAATCTCGAGAAATAAATTCGCCACCTCCCTCTCTGGTGCCTGGAAATACCCAATTGTTGCATATCTACAAATCGGTCCGGAACGCCGGGGACAATTGCCGGCACACTACTTTTTCTTTGTTGCAAATTTCAGGAAATGCAAGATGCCAGACCAGAAAGTCGATGCGCCGAACAAAGAAAATGCTTGGGGTTTTGCGATTGTGGGCTGATGTGCGAAAGATGTCACGAACTTTCGGATATTCCTTTGTGGGCGTGAGGATAGGAGATAGGGGGAGGCGAACAGTTGTTCTCCGTCAGGGAGTATGGCTTTGTGGTGATGGCTACTAGTGTACTGGATGTGGGAGCTAGGGAATAAGAAAGCGATGTTGGAACGTATGGGAAGTTGTGATCGAGATGGCTTCTAGAGCTTTGTTCGTTGGGGAGAGGGGGAGGGGAGAGGGGAAGTTTTTGCTTTTTCGATGCATGGATGGATGGATTGTGTGGATTGATGTTGGAGGTGGTTGATTGGCAGTTTGTTTCATACTATCTCTTTAGAGAACAGAATTGATAAAGTAGGTTTGGTGAGATGTGCAACAGAATTATCGGATGGTTTGTTTCTTTGTTTCTTTTTTTGGGGGGGGGAGGGGTGGGGGGGGGTTAACTGAAATGAGCTACTGGGTCTTAATCTGGAACACTAGCTTTATTTCGGGGGGTTTCTACATGTATGATCATCATCATGAGAGTGCCCCTAAATATGGGATGTGGTGTGTAAAAGTCGTTCAGCGTAGGGTACGGAAGATAAAGTATTGGAAAGGCCATGTGATTTCTATTCTTTATTTTACAGTATTACTCCTTGAAGCAAAAGATCCCAAGACAAAGCTGTCCCTATATCTTCACTACTTCACTCCTATCTAAACATTACTCCTCGCTTTTGAACAAAGCAATATGATCTACAAACCCCGCAATATTATCATAATAATTCGCAATATCTATCCCATCAATAGTGATCATACTCGTGATACCTACTGTATTCAGGTTGTAAATACCGATATTCGAGCTATCTCCCTCAAGACTGAAGATTCTAGCTTGACAAGCTTCGCCATTTCCTTGGGCAGAACATGCTAATCCAGATGTATTAGCAAAGTAGTCCATTGAGATAGATTAAAGGAAACTTACAAGTACGGTAATCATCAAAGAAACTGTACATTCCAGCGCCATATACATAAACATGCTCGCTGTCAATGATTCGTAGACCCCATCCTTCCGCACAGTTTTCTCCCGTTGCATTTCCACATGAGCTGGCAAAATCAGGATCGTTCCATTCATCCAATGATGGGAAGGGGTAATTCGCAATGGGGTTCGGTTGATAATAGGCAGTCTCCGTCTGAATTTGCCCCGCAAAAATATCTCTCGTACTATCAAATTGATATTGGTATAAAGTATGATGCTCAACAGCAGTTCCAATAAGCCATATAGCTCCTTTTCTAGATTCGCAATAAAGTCCACGGCCTGCGTAAATTGTGATTTGAGATAGATTAGGGTCGTCGATATCGTGATCGGCAACCCAAAACCAGTTATTTTCTAGGTAAAGACCAGATGCATGCTTGGTGATGTGCATTGACATGAAAGCAGCTCTGCACTCGAGAATAATCCCAGTGCTATTAGCGGTGGCGGGACAGCGATCCAACTGGAGGTCAGAACCCACGAATCCGCCAATACGCGTATGGACATCCCAAAGTCCGGAAGGAGACCACGCTGGACTGGCTAGATTCCATTGAATCAAAATGGCTCCTCCCATATATCCCTGTGTCGAAACAATCGTATCTGACCATTCAACAACACCTCTCTCTAAGGGGAGGCCAACTTGGACGACTGGTTGAGGATGAACAATATCTGTGAAAAATGATCCTGATCCCATGATGACTGGATATGATTCACCGACAATCCTCGAACGGGATGGAATATGAATAGTCGACGTGACTCTATAAACTCCATTATCGATATAAACAATCTTATTGGTGATGGCCGCGAACGCAAACACATGATTCAACGCCTCCGTGTCATCAGTGACTCCATCTCCAGTAGCACCCGCTGTACGGACTGAAACGAACTCAGAAAGCAGATAGTCTTCATACTGAGGTTTGGAACGGGCGTAAAACTTTCCACGGGGTGAAAGAGACTCAGAGCGAGGAAAGGGAACAATATAACCCTCAAAGCGGGTAGAGTTATTTGGTGTATATTCGTTTCCTTCTCCCCATCCATTGATGATCATTGATTGGTTGCCAGTTCCAGCCAAAATCGTATTTTGCGATTCCTGTACGGCAATTGGAACATTCGTCAAATGGATATTATCAAGAATAAGATTTCCAGCAGCCTCTGGTAAAGATGAATTTTTGTAAGCTGTGATGATAGCGACATCAGTATCTTTGAAGCTACTATCAATTAGCGTGACAGACACTACAGCTTGGTCTGATGATCCGCCTGAGGACATATTTAAGCCAGTAGTGCAATTGTTGATACTGATCCCCATGTATGTCCATCCCCAATCCCAGATTTGGTCAATGGCTGTTACAACATTAGTGAAGGTTAAGTTTCGAACTGTAAATTGCTGGTTGCCAAATACTGCCCCCGTTTTGCCACCATTAAAAATCAAATCATTCATAAAGCCACCGGAGCCTATTTTTTGTAAGCGTGGAGCATTGGAGTGTATGACATAGACGAAATGGGTGGCTATAAGGAGTGAGAATCGTTAGGTTGCCAACATACCTCCTTCGATGAACAAGCCTTGCTGCTGAGTTCCAATTGCATCGCTCATTTGGAATACAATATTTTGTAGACTGGTGGCCTGTGCAGTAGGCCAGTGGATTCCATAGGCTGAAGAATTAGACGGGATTTCCGTCAGATCCAACACCAGATTACGAATTTGACGATAGAAGACGTTTGTGGCTCCAAAATTGAGACCATTGGGGCCATATGTATCTCCGTCAATCAGCCCAAATCCAGTGAATCTTGGGGTAGCCTTAATTACTGGGAGTTGGTTTGGATCGCCTACAATCTGAGTGATGTAGTAATCAATGATGGAAGATGAGATAATATATGTCCCAGCTGGAAAGTAGACCGTGGCAGGAGTTGTTGTTGTAGATTGACAGTCGCCAGGCTTGCATCTTCCGCCAGAACTGATGGCTTTGTTGATAGCAGCAGTATCATCTGCTATACCATCCCCTTGACGATGTTAGAAAGCACTAATAAATGGGTATAAGATTATGATTATATCAACCTTTGGCTCCAAAATCTTTCACATTGCGGAACACTTGATATGAGGTGTTGTTAAAGTTGACAGGGGCAAGTCCGTGGTGAGAGATTTCCTCGAGCCAATATGATGGCGCAGAAGAATTCCTTGTCGTGGTGACATTATTAAGTTTCCCAAGCGAACTGGTTACAGCCAATGATCCCTTGACTGAGGCAAGCTGAATGGTAGTAGTAGAGGTGAGAATTGAAATCCCACTCTTAAAAACTAGGTTTAAAGACAGAAACAGAAAGAAATGATAGACGCCCATATTTGTAAGATGTTTCGAATGTTTTGAAAATTTAAGGAAAGTTCATTCTGTGAGCGAATCGGGTATGAATTTGAAAAGAGATATAAACAACCAAATGAATGTCGACGTTATGTTTAGTCAGTTGAACAGAGGGGGAAAACAAAAGGACATTGAAGACACGGCGATAGAAATGTTGATATAAAAGCAAATACAAAATGAACTAGGTCAATGCGGTACCATTGTCACTTCCTAATAGGAAATCTGGATCACCTAGCCATCCTATCCAATATTTGTAGAAGTGACACAACTGTATTCGTACTACTCAACTCCACCTATCTTCGCGCATGTTATCGCCCGTCTCACCTTGATGCTTTCGACTGCGACAGGAACATCGATAACGGTGTCAGTCCTGTCGAGTGGCCAATGTCCAAATTGTGATTTACTTCAGGTCCATAAGAATCAAGTCTATCAGGGGCAGATGATGTCAGTTGTATGTGCAGCTGAGGAGAACTATTTTGGGAGATTCTGATCATCAAATGATCGTCGAATATTGAGACTAAGCAAACACCAGTTCTTCAGCGAAGTATTCGGAGTTTGGAGCACGTGTGTCATTATTACACAACATCGTGCAAGGCTTTTCACCATCTGAAGATATGGCGTGGCGGTCCAAATTGCTGGATCGACATCTTTGATTTCAGTTCGGGGAGATTTGGTACTGTGAAGTGGAGGGAATGTCGTGGAGCGTGTGTTGAGTCGTTGACGCGTCAGGCTGGGTCATGTGATCAGGACCTTGTCCACAACGAATGAGATCACCAAATCCAAAACACACTTCCCTTATTAGTATTGAATGAGATTTGAATGTAGGTGATTGCGATCAAGTGCATTGTAAGATTGAATCAAGTATCTACACATTATACTGATTCTTTCATCTGGAAATGTAAAGAAAGGGGATAGTCTCTTGACTCAAAAGGGTCCGGTGTGTTTTGGATTCGGTGGGTTTAACCTTATACGGTCTCAGATTCGTTTTTGTAAGATTTAAAAACATCGCAATCTTCGGTCTATTCAACGCATTCCAGTAGTTCGAGCACTGATTACCATTGACCACAGAGAATTGGTTAAAGTTCTGATCTCTGTGCACTCATAATTCGTTCATTGAAGCTCTAGTTTCTATACCGATTCTATCCTTTCCCGTAACCATTCTATCCTCCGTACCTTTTAGCCTTTTACTCTATGCTGTCGTTACTCGCTAACCCGGTGCGCTGTACCATGGCCAAATACCATGGGAGCCATGCATGAAATCCTTCGCCCAATTCTAGAAATGTCATTTCATACCAAATCACGATAGTGATACAGTAGAACTCGAAGCCGGGGTATCTACCACAACCCTTGAAGTAACTTTCATATCATGCTTGCCTTCCTTTTCGTATTTTCCCTCATCCTGTGTTCCCAGCTGCTCCACGGCTCCCAATTCCACAACTCTACCACCCGGAACTGCACCCTTCTTACCTCCTTTCCTAAAACTGGCATCGATTTCCTCCAAACTCTTCCCCCTCGTCTCCGGCATCCAAAACACTGCAACAACGACTGTTACTAAAGCCGCACTTCCCCACAGCCAATAACATCCACTCGTACTCTTTGACAGAAAGATGGGCGTCGTAAATGCTATTATCCAGTTCACCACCCAATTAGAACTCAATCCCAAACTCGTTGCTCCGGCTCTCGTTTTTGCACTTTGAATCTCGGCCACGTATACTCTAAAGGTCACGGCCCATGTGGCGGAAAATATAATGGCGAAGAGGTAGATGCAGATGATAACGACCCAACGACCGGCGCCATGGGAGGAATGTACAGAGTCGGAGGCATAGAGAGAGGCGATGATGAACATAACGATAAATTGACCAGCGCCACCGACGATGGTGCTAGTTCTGCGACCCCATTTATCGGCAAGGATAAAGGTCGGGATAGTTGTGAGGAAGATGAGGAGAGCAGAAATACCCGAAGCGAGAAAGGAGGCGGTCGAGGAAGTTAAGCCGGCGGATTGGAAGAGGAGGGGTGCGTACTGATTTTGTCAGTTTTGAGATGTGAGAGGATAGGAATGGATTGGAGAGGCCTACATATAAAACACCATCAATTCCAGCCGCCTGCTGAATTCCCATCAAGAACAACCCCAAAACTGTCCTCTTCCAAGCATCTGGTGCAAAAATCGCAAACATATCTTTCGCTTTTACTTCCTGGTCCGCCTTCTCATTATCATCTACATCATTCTCCACCGTTTCTCTCTCTTTCTCCGGGAGGTTTAAATCTAACCATACCCGCTCCGCTTCCTCAAATCTTCCTCTTGCCGCTAACCATCTTGGACTTTGCGGTAAAAATAGCATAGTGCTAGCCGTGAACAAGAATGCGATAATTGCTTGTACCGCAAATGGTAGTCTCCAACTCAGACTAGATTTCATTCCCACAGAACCATAACACATAAAATAGCCTACTAGAACCCCCATAGTGGTGACGAGCTGAGGAAGACTAGCTAAAGTACCTCGTTGGGAAGGTGGTGATATCTCGGTGATGTAGACGACTAATGTGCTTAGGAAAAAGCCCTCGCCAACTCCCTTGATAGCACGCCCGATGAAAAGCTGAGGAAGATGAAAAGAAGAGCATTCGATAGCAGCGCCAATACCAAAGATGAAGGAGCCGATTGCAGTAGATGTTAAGCGACCAAGAGCGTTGGCCAAATGACCAGTGAAAATTGAGGAGAGAGCTGCGGGTATGAGGATTGTAGAGACAAGGAGGCCATGCTGGAGACGGCGAATTGCGTTAGTTTCAGTTGGGCGAGACTAGCGAGGGGGAAATAATGAGAAGGGGGGGGAGGGGCTACATACAACTGTCGATGAGAGTTTGCCGAAAGTTTCGTCGAATTGTGTCATCACTGTTAGGGGACCGATAGTCCCCGTATCAAGACCAAATAGAATACCACCGATCGATATAATGATGGATGCTTGTATGTATTTTGGGGGCATCGTTGAGCATTTGGCAAGCCATGGCTTGCAGGACGAAGAAATGGTCATTTCTTTGAGATGAAGGAGATTATGAGATTATGAATAAGTATCGAAAAAAAGTACACTGATGAAGGGGCTCAATATTGAAGAAGAAAAGGACAATTGAAGACACAACTATTGGAGAAAGAAAAGGAGGCTAATATAGAGATGTACTCATCTTCAACAGTTACACTATCACTCACTCTTCCCACAAAACATTGGAAAAATCTAGATACAAACCCAAACATTGACGATTTGATAATGCGGACAACCTGCCTGCTCGCATTTCTTTTTGGAACGATAAGGAATTATTGTGGGTATTTCTGAGGATAAGAAAAATATCTTCTGTGTTTGATATAAGCTTAACTTACCTTAACGATATAAGTAGCTAGTCAGGAACTCTTCAAAAGAATCCGAAAGTAGTGGAGAGGTGAAGCTGGGAAACTTTGCCGATAGGGTACAATTGTTTGTACCCAAGCGGTCAGATCTTTTCGACTTGACCACATCATGAAATCACGACTAACATTGAAAATATTCAGTGTAGAGAATTCAAATCCAATTTTGATCATTCATCCGACTCTTGTACCGTAGTATGCTTCAAGGTGAGTGATAGACTAAAGGCCTAGAAGTCGAAGTTTTCCTATGATGAGACATCGACACGTGACCTCTACATAAGATAGCTTCACCACCTCGGAAGACTTGCCTTTCAATTTGGTTCGCCACCACCTAGAGCATATTCAACTATTCGCCCATAGCAATGTTCAAAACTTCAAATTTGATGCTGAAGTTGTCATCCTAAGTGATTTCGATGCTGTTGTTGACTCACACTCACGCACGAAACATGAAATGACGAGCGAGCCCCTTCATTGTCTGGCGAGGAAGTGAATTGACACCCAGATTACCGAAGCTATTTCTGGAAACACCACAACTAGGTACATGAGCTAAGGATAACATCGGGGTAGAAAAATACTTGTGCGGAAAAATACTTTCCCGAAACGAAGTTTCAAGTTTTACAAGTCTACAAGATTATTTGCAGCTACCGGTATCTCAAATTTTTGGGGATAAACATCCTAATGCACCTTGCGAGCTTACTTCGATCCATCTCGCCTCGTCGCCAAATATACATTTAGGGCATAGGTTATCGCAAATCTATCAATGAAGTGTGCGCAAATTGCTCCTGTCGCGACTACTTATCCTTCCTATTCTAGTGTTTCCCATAGTCCGGACTGCAAGTCCATCTTACGATTCTAGTCCTGAGACTCTGAAGATACTATCGTCGATTTCATGAATCCATTCTTTCAAATCAACTTAACAACTGGGATCATTTCAACATATGGCATGACTTCACTCTCATTTTTCAAAGTGGATTGAATATTCCAAGGTACGTGACTGTTGGAGTGCATGCAACCCGGACGATTGGACATCCTATCGTATCCTGTCCTTCCCTAAGAAGATGAGATAAATTTTCTTAGATGTTCCCCAAATCAAAACATCGTTGGGGCAAGATTTGTGATGGTGTTCAAGGATCTAAAGACCAGCGAAGAGCGCGTGCGCTGAAAACGATCGAACTGTGGTGAATTCTGTGCTTGGACAAATTCTTTCTGAAGAGAGAACACAGATTGGACAGATCCGACGAACTTATTTAGGTTCAATAAAGGACGGAGCAGAGCCATTGTCACATTGAGGTTCGGTGGTCTTACGAATTATGTAAGATCGAGGAATTCTGTGCTATTGAAAGGTAGGCATTTGACAATCAATACAGACTTATATTAGTTTCAGGACAGAGAAGATGTACGGGTACTTAAAAAAGAGTCAGGTTCGATGTGAGTTCGACAAGATACTTCTTTGAGGGTATAAAGTAAGTTTAGATCAAAGAAAAGTTAGCCCTTTCAGATCGGCACGGTACTTTCCCGCACTACCTCAGCCCATCTGATGGTTGTGACTAAATTTTGATCCGATAATTCCATACATTTACGCGTCCTTCAATGATCATCGCCGCTGCACAGTTATCCTTAACTTCCAAGCAAGCATCAATGCTGCCCGGTGCTTCTATCATGGCTGTACTCGATTTCTAGTCCACCAAGAGCTTTGGGACCGAAGATCATCTTGTTTACAATGTTATATGTTTTACGATTAGAGAACCATGCGTATGGTATCTACTCTATTTTTCAGACTACGCATAGACTTGTTGCTCCAGCCATTTGAATTAATGTCTTCGTTAATTGATATATTGTGGAGAATGGGCTTGACAGGGCTTACAAATAACCTTCATTTATGCTTTCAGTAGCTTCAGGACCGGATGAGCATGAAGCACTAAAGCGTACTATGGACCGGTACTTAATGCCAAGGATGAAAATTCTATCAAGTCGAAGCATACAAAACCCATCACAACTACGGTCATGACTCCAGTTTAACACTAATGCTCCTTCCGAGGTCTTCGGGGTAAACCCTCTGTTGGGGTGAACACACCTCCGACAACCCTTAAGTTACCTTGATGAAGAAACTTGTTCATGTAAGGAGGGCTCGGGGGTACGTACCTGTGGTTGGATCTTTCCAGTATCCATGTAGCCCCACGCCATCGAGAAGTACCGGATTGGTTTGAATGTAGGACTATACTTAGCTGAGAATTTTCAAAGTTCTGTCGTATTTGCTCCGGTTGAGTGGTCTGACAGGTGCTTCATGGAAGGTAGTAGACTCTCACAGGGGACCGGTTAACAGAAACGCTTGAAACTAAATCTGATATTGACAGTCACTTCTCAAACTGGAATGTAATTAAAGAATTTGGAACTTCCTATTCAAGGAGAAGAAATGATCGATCAACACAGCTTATGATTAAGATTATGCACCGAGACCGAGAATACGTACCTAGGCCATCAGAAACGCACAACTCCGAAGTTTTTAACGCTAAGAAACAAGGGTAATCTCTTTGTAGTTTGCAGCCAAATGGCATTTGTTAGCGCATCGAGGGTTACCGAGCAAATTCTAGTGCCACGAGTATCAGATGCACCTGCTAAATTAAAGAATTTAGCTCCAAGCAATCTAGAAACTCCCCTGCATATAGAAATAAAACCTGGACTAGGCACCGTCATGAAGTTTGCGGCTTACCCGTCCATCATGGAGCATATCCTGGCAGAATGATTGCGAAAGTTAAGTATATATAGTAGCTGCTCCAATACATCCAAAGTATCAATAGCTCAACATCAGTTCTATCAATTTCACCATATTGTCTCTATTGCTCTTTCCCTCCTCTCAGCAGTGCCAATTGCTGTAGCTCTTGCACCAGGTCTCACGCTTGAGTACTCGCTCGAGTTACCTACCCAAGGTATTTTCATCTCTGGCGATGGACGCACGTTTCTCTCACAGCGTTACTCTACTACTCTGCCACCAATTACTGTAGAGCTTCTTGCCAACAGCACAACTGTCATGTATCCCGACGTCTACTGGAACTCTTACAACGCAAGCGACCCAAGACCCGACCCTAGTCTCCAATTTGTCAGCATCGATGGTGTCAGAATCGGACCCGATGGTCATTACTGGTTGGTCGATGGTGGTTCAAGCGGTGTCAACGGATCCACCAAGTTGGTTGGATGCAATCTTACCACCGATACCGTAGACAAGATCTACTACCTCGACAGCATCATTGCTTCCAACAGCGGTATTGATGATGTTCGTTTCAGTGCTAGCGGTGAGGTCGCTTATCTCAGTGACACTGCCGGTGCTCTCGTCGTTTTGAACATGACCACTGGAGACGGAGTCCGCGTTCTCGTTGACGACCCATCCGCCGTTGCCTACTTCCCTATGATGTACAACCACACCCTTGTTTCAGGTTACGGAGCCGCAGGTAGCACACTTGCTGTTGGGCTCGACCAAATCTAAGTCTCCCCCGGAGTTTACCTCTACTACCAACAATGCAACGGAGGACTTTACCGTATCGAGACCGCCTACGTCGATGCCGCATTGAGTAACGCCACTATGGCTGCCAGTCCTGGTGATCTCACCGAGCCCTTCGCCTTAACCCCAAGTACTGGTGGATCTACCATCGATGGCGATGGAAACGTCTATGTTAGCGATAACAACTTGCTCGCTATCTGGAAAGTCACCCCTGATGGATACGCATCCATTCTTGTTCAAGATGATGCTTTGATCACGACTGATCTTATGTGGGTTACTTCTGACAAGAAGTTGTTGCTTCCAGCATCCCAAATGAGACCTGGTAGAAACGGATTGATGGCTGAGGAACCAAACAACATCTTCTCCTACCCAATTGATGCTAGTCCATCCCCAATTGACCACACTTAAGTTTTCGTCCTTGACGAACACTTAGCTGGGATATGAGGAAATTGATCCAAGCATTAAAGATTTATATATATTACTTAATTTCTCCCGAGAGATCTTTGCTCCCCTAACTCTGGACTGCGAGTTCGTTTCCGAACATGTAAATAGTTAATTAAAGATTGTTTCCTGGAATCTAGCAAGAAATATTTGATATTCTCAGTTAGCTTGACGTGATGGAGCGACTGATTTCAATCTTACGTGATCATATTTTTTCAGAAACATTCTCATAGTGGTACAGAAAGATTCAAAGCCATTTTCTAACAACACAAAAACTCGCTTGATATGAAATGGATGCACAACCTCGATCCTATAGTAACATTCAAGTAATAAGTATCCGCAAATAATCTATAAAACACTTGTAGCTTAACAATTGTTCCAGATTTTGAATCATCCGCCCCACCATGGATTGTTCGCGGACTCTCTGTTAGAGCTATCATCCGCCTATGGGTACCCGTTGCGCAGCCTATCTTACATACAGGGTAACGAAGTCACAAGACTCTACAGTTTCACATCAGTTGGAGATTATCTCTTGAGAGAATTTGCGAGGTTTGTATTGTCGTCAGGAACAAGATGAATAGTCTGAGTTGTCTTAGATATCAGAGTATTCACTATTCGAGATTTTGCAAGTATTAGACGATTATTTGATATTCAGCATAGGGCAGTCATCTGGGAAGGACGGAATGAAGTGAATGATTCAAATGGATTGGAGAACCAAAACACATGGCTGACTTGCTTATCCGAAAAAATCGCTGATATAAATGCCATGATCTAACTATTACTTCGCTATTAATGGTTGATATCTGAACCCTCAAATTCCCGGTGCCATTATGAAGTCACCTCACCTAGCCATCTACACCCGTTACCAATCTCCTCGCGTTAAAATATCGATGCAGATTTCATTTCTAGTCGACCTTGTGACTCTGGTATTAACAGTCATATCATTTCTCTCAATCAGCATCGGTATGGCCAGCATTGGTGGACCACATGGTGGTGCTTTGAACATCGGAGTACTTATAATTTAGACTTCAACCAAGCTCTTCATTAACACCCCGAACAAACCCTGCCAGGCGGGCCCACCTTTGACAGTGATGAATCTCCTCCTAGTAGCCTCATCCATAACGATATACCTCAGCCTTCCAACATCCAGCTCTCTATAATTCTTCTTTCCGTTATCACACATAGGAGGCAGCGGTGGTAACAGCCGAAAATCCGGCAAAATTGCCTCAGGATGTGACGCGTCATACATAAACAGAGTTTCCCGATCACTATCGAACCAAACACCATTCCCTAACCAAGTGAAATTTCTGTAACATTGCTGCCGAGCTTCTCGGCAGACGTGAAAACAAGGGGGAAGACGTCTAAGATCAGGCTCTCGAAGGATCATAGTGTATTTATGCTGATCCATTGTATCCTCATTTTGATGAGGCAAACGCCCTCTGCTTTGACCAGGCAGAAGTGTGACTGGAAGTGAAGATCCCCATATCTTACGAGCGTCATAGTGAACCATTCGAGGCGGGTAGTGGAAACGAGTCAAGTCGAATATGTACAGGCGGAGCTCGGGGTATAGAAGGGGAAACATTCTGTCAAAGCAGGTAAGAGGGGTAGAGTTGAAATGGTGACTGGTTGTTGTTGATGACATGATTAAAAATGAAAGGTTTTCCATTGGCTGTGTGTGCTAGTAAAAGATATTGCCAAAGTAAAACAAGGGTATTTTTCTGAGCTGACGTTGTGGTGTTCGGGATGTCAAGATGAGGTCCACCAAGTAATCATATGATACTGCAGTGGGTGGTTCCTTCTCTGTTTACGAGCAAGGTACCTGTTCGAAAAAAAAGATGGCCTCACGAGGTCACCTTGAATTCCACTATTACTCCGAAGTCACACTTCCATCAGCAGTCCCTCTCCTATCCCGGGACAGCAAGTTGGTCAAACTTTTGACAATGGGAAACTTCGAACTACACTCACTACCTTTCTTCATCCATTTCCTCCACATTCCTTCCGCATCCCTTTCTTATTTACGAGATACTATGTTGGCCAGTCTCGAGCCAGTCAAACTTTTGACAGAACTCCCTTACCATTGTGATCTATCTTCTCCATAATTCATTTCTGATCTCAGGATGTCACATATGTAGGTCGACGCGGTAAACATGGACAATCTAAAACTCCGAACTACCTTGCCATAGTTTATGCACTCATATAACATGAAAGGGTATAGCGAGGTGCACCGTGGACGAATTGGATCGCCCACTTCGAATCGTATTCAACAAGAAGGACTGACTCCTGGTGACGTTGTCCTCGGGCGAAAGGGCCACCATTTAGTTCCGAGTTTCTGAATACCGAGGCCTATGTGAACGATTTGATTAAAACCTTAAAAATAGATTTTTATCTAAGCTAAAAACATATTTAAAATTTAGTAATATATAAATAAAGAAGAAAAACCATTCAATTCAGTATAAAACCTCAAATGAATTAATAAAATAGATTTAAGGAATCAGTTGATATAATTCTTTTTCTTTATATTTCAAAAATTAGAATTTATATTTAATATAATAATATTCTTGTTAATTTAGCTATTTAAATAAACTTGAAGATTGTTTTCTTTATTCTTTAAATATTATTATATTGAATATAAACTTTGGTTTTTAAAATATAAACAAAAAAACTATATTAATTAATTCTTTAAATTTTAATAAATAAGTATATCTCTCTTTTCTTTTAATCTCATTAATTCTTTTAAGTTTTTATACTAAATTGAATATTTTCTTTATATATAATAAATATTGAGTAGATTAATATTAATTATCAGTTCTTATTTTCAAGGCAGGAATATATAATAGCTTAATTATCACAATCAAATCTATATTGAATATTATTATATCAATATTTAATTTTATTTCTTAAAATAATTTAAAAGAAAAAGTATATGTGTAATTAATTTTTAGATTTTTAATTGATACTTTTATTTTATTTTTTTATTTCATGAATTCTTTTAAAATTATATACTAAATTAAAAGACTTCTTATAATTTAAATATTAATTGAATTAGATTATATTAGTCATCAATTTAATCTAATCAACTAAAGTTTTCATCAAACTTATCAAGCTTATTTTGCTTATTAAAAAAAAGTTTATATCTAATAATGATAAAATTAAATATAAAAATCTTTAATATTAATACTACACTTCTTCAAAAAAACTCTAAAATGAATTTTAAAATGATATAAATGAAGCTATTAATAAAAGCTTTTAAATAATATAAATTTTAATAAAATAAAGCTTCAAAAAATTATATTTTATATAATACAAATCTTTTTCTAAATTCTCTATATATACACTATACAAATATTAGGTTCTTTTTTTACATCAAATAAAAATCTATTTTTAGGGTTTTTATCAAATCGTTTAAATAGGCCTCGATACTAAATCACGTATTTAATATTAAAATCGACTGTTTGTTTCTATTCATTATACTAAGGCTAATTTGAAAGATTTGAATAAAGGCCTAAAAAGAGATTTTTGTCTGAGTTGAAAATGTATTTAGAATTTAACAACATATAAATAAAAAATAGAGATTTTCCAATTCAGTATAGAACCTGAAAGGAACTAACAAAATTAAAAAAAAAGATATATATTTATTCATTAAAATTTAAGAAATCGATTGATATAATAGTTTTTAAATTATCTTAACAACTGAAACTTTTATTCATATAATAATATTTGAAGAGCAAAAGAAATAATTTTAAAGTTGATTTGAATAATTATATAAAGAAAAAAGTTATCATATTAAATATAAATTTTAATTTTTGAGATATAAAGAAAAGATTATATCAATTAATTTCTTAAATTTTAATTAATAATTTATATCTCTTTTATTTTAATTTTATTAATTTTTTTCAAGTTTTATATTCAATAATTTTTTTTTGATTATAAATATTCATTAGAGTTATAATAGTTAGAAATCCTTATATTTAAGGTATAAATATCAAATAGTTTAATTATTATAATCAAATTTGATTTGAATAATAACATATTGAATTTTAATTTTAATTTCCGAAATAATTTAGAATAATTTGTATTATTCGATTTCTAAAATTCTAATCAAAATATTAGTATTTTTACTTTTCATTTTATTAGTTTTTTGAAAGTTGTTTATTAAATTAAATATTTTCTTTTTAATATTTTAAAAACTAATAAAATTATGTTAATTATATAATTCAATTTAATCTTTCTTTTGCTTTTATATAATAAGTTTAATAAGAATTTCTTATTAGGTTTATTTTACTTATATTATAATAGTTTGTATTTAATAATAAAAAACTATTAAAAAAAATTATATTCTAGAATCTTTGATATTAGTATACTTCTTAAAAAAGATTTTAGAAAGAATTTTAAAATAAGATAAATAAAGTTAGTAATAAAGATTATTTAATAATATAATTTTCTTTTTTATAAGTCTTAATAAGATTATGTTCTATAAAATTTAATTTTCCTTTTTAAGATTTCTATAAACATATTATACAAATTATGAAAATCTTTTTTATATTAGGTGGAAATCTATTTTTAAGATTTTGTTTAAATCATTCAAATCGGCCTCGGTAGTTGCAAACTCTTCGGCTCGGAACTCATTTGGCCCTTCATTAATGCTAGATTTACCCCTCACCATCCATCCACCCCCATTCAAACACCTCTTTGATCAAACATGAAGGCCAATAACAACTACCCACGGACTCCCAGGTATGGAAATCTGTAAGCCGCCCGTATGTGTATGTCGATCATACTACTATACTCACCGACGCCAATAGCACCAACTAAGCCTGCTTCTGTTTAGTTTTGCGAGAGACATTTGCTCTAAAATGGGGCCTCGCTATGATTTGTTGAGATTGAGAACATGTCTTAACGGTAGCTGCAAATATCCTATATTATTACTCTTTCCTTTCAAATGTTTCAGGTACTTAAAGTGTTGAGCCTCGGTGTATATATTTGATCTGTTTCCTACATCTTCTTCGCATGTTTTCTCTTCTTTCGCTTTTTATATCTGCAAATTCCTCTGGCTTGATTTCTTCTTCTTCCTGATATCGCCAGTGTATTTCTTACTTCAAATAAGGTTAAGGTTATAGTATCAACATAGATCCTTACAACAACGAAAATAAGCATAATGGGTTCCGTCCAAGGATCTAGGGATTGCAATTACGATGTTGTTATCGTTGGTGCTGGTTTATCCGGAATCAATGCTGCATAGTAAGATTTAAATCTTGAACATGAGATCCCTATCCATGTTATTGCTCTCTTTAGCGACCCAAGTACTTAGGTATCATTTTCTCAGGTCAGATAGCTAACACTTTGCAGTCGTATTCAAACAGAACTTCCAGGCTTGACCTATACTATACTTGAGAATCGCGGAGCAATTGGCGGAACGTGGGATCTATTTCGATATCCTGGTATCAGATCCGATTCAGATTTACATACATTTGGATTCCCATGGCGACCATGGTTGAGCTCTCAGACGATCGCTGATGGTGAATCAATCTGCAAATATTTTAAAGAATCTGCCGAGGAATATGGTATTGATAAGAAGATACAATTCCACCACAATGTTACGTCGGCAGATTGGTCAACGGAACAACAACAATGGACATTGGCCGTAGATGCTGGTGGAAGACGGAGCACTACTATAAAAGGACGATGGATCATTTGGAGTACAGGTTATTATGACTACAGCGAGCCTTTGAAAGTCGAAATACCTGGACTAGACAACTTCAAAGGCAAGAGGATACATCCTCAATTCTGGCCCCAAGATCTCGATTACACAGGCAAGAAAATTGTCGTTATTGGAAGTGGTGCTACGGCAATTACCCTGATACCAAATCTGGCAGACAAGGCAGCCAAGGTAACAATGCTACAACGAAGTCCTTCGTGGATAGTAGGAGTTCCCGCACAAGATTCCACCGGAACTTTCATGCGCAAATATCTTCCAAACTGGATGGCTAGTCAATTGATCCGCTGGAGATTCCTCGTACTCCCATTATTATTTTTCCACTTCTGTCGCCAGTTCCCCAGCACCGCTTGCAAACTCCTTCGAGCAAGAACCAAGAAGGAAATTCCATCAAACGTTCCCATCGATCCCAATTTCAGCCCCATATATAATCCTTGGGAACAACGTTTATGCGTCTGCCCAGACAGTGATTTCTTCAAATGTCTTCACTCGGGAAAAGCTGATGTCGTAACTGATACCATTAAAACCGTCACATCATCCGGCATTGACCTTGAATCGGGGAAAAGCCTGGATGCAGATATAATCATCACAGCCACCGGACTTAAAATGCAACTTGCCGGCGGCGCCAAAGTGAGCATCGACGGCGTTCCCTACGAATATTCTACCAAATACATGTGGAAAGGCATGATGCTTCAAGACATGCCTAACGCAGTAACTGTCATCGGTTACACCAACGCTTCATGGACATTGGGAGCCGATACTACCGCGGGGGTATTGGTTCGATTGCTTAAACACATGCGAGAGAATCATATTGTCTCAGCTGTACCGAAAGTTCATGGCGAGAAGATGGTTTCTCAACCCATATTAAATTTGAGTAGTACGTATGTGGAGAAGGCAAAGGGATATTTGCCCATGGCGGGTGGTAGAGGTCCATGGAAACCAAGACAGAATTATCTTGTTGATTATTGGGTTGCGCAGTATGGGAATTACACGGAGGAATTGGAGTTTACTGCTGCTGGGGGTGCAGGGTTTGATAAGAGTCAATGATTGAAATGTTTTTACGAATTGCATGGAAGATGAACATGGTAAACGGGGGTTCGGATGTAGATTTCTTTTGATTCTGTTAAGAGTTGAGGCCCCGGCTCATCGCACACCACCCTTTTTCATAACAACATCCCTACCAAAAAATCGTTTTCTCATATGACTTATTTTTATAAAGCCTTAACGAATGAAAGAATTGATTTGAACATTTAATATAACATGGTTTAACACCAAGTGCACCATATCACCGAATACACTACTTTTACCTTAATTTACACTTTCTAATTTATATTTTTCAATAATAATTGAATCAATTAATTAAAACTATTAAGAATCTAATAATTTAGAATCTATTATATTATTTTGACAAGTTCTTAAATTATAATCTGATTTTTCATACTTATTATAGTATTTATTAAAAAATACTTCCTTATTAGGATTACCCTTGTTTTGATGCTTATTGTATTGAATCTGAATATTAATCTTTTGTTAAAATAATATATTAAAAGTCTTTTATCCAGTGAGCATTCTTCCTTAACGTAATTAAGTTTTTTTTGTGTATCGATATTTATTTAATATCTTATTTGCCTTTCAAAATGTATAAATCTCTATATTCAAAAGTATATTCTTATGAGTTAATCTCTTTATACCTTTAACTAAAGCTAATATAATTTCGAATATAAATATAGAAGAGCTTAATTGATAATAGGTTATTCGAGATTTAACTAATATTAATTAAGAAAGAGCTTCTATAGGATTCTGAAGTATTTAAAAGATCCAAAGATCTAAATCAAAAGAAAGAGAAGTAAGTATATAAATTCGAATATCCAATTTAGAAAGTATTACTTCAAAATTAAATAAAATTAATCCTACTCCTTAAATCTAATTCTTATATTCTGATTTATAATTGATTATTGATATATAGTTTTAAAAGCTATAAAGAATTCAATCTTTAAGATATAATAAATATATACTTTTATAAACTCTTTAATTTGAGTATTATATTTTTGTTTTAAGATATTAAAATATTCAATATTAAGAAATTAAGTTAAATAACTTGAATATAATAGTAAACATACATATTTAATATCATTCTCTGTTACGGGAGCTGCCTCTAGGGTCACGTGGAAGTGTCTAGAGATCTCTCGAGGTGGTTTAGACTAGACTTCAAGTAGGAATTCAATAAGGTTGTAACTGGTTGCAATTCTCGTAACTATAGTAATGAAACTAATGATTGTTCTTGAGCACGAAGCTCTACATTATAATGAAACCCATTCCCTTATATAGATCTTCGTACCTTATGAATCGACAAGTCGATTACCGTAAAGCCGATTTCGACAAGTCGGTTTCCTGATCACGTGATGTCCATCCCGTGACTGGTAATGATGCCACTGCTTATCTAACCTGTGCTCTCTAGCCGACCTGTGACTGCTGCTTACCCTGTGCCCACTGTAGGGTAGATAACAACAAAAGATAGGTACCTATCTTTTAATCACTAATTACTTATCTGGTTACCTCTATCTTTAGTTACCCTTCAATTCAACTGTCCCTACAGTGCTGTTTTCGTAGGTTCCAACACCAAGGCCTTAGGTTTATCTTATAATCCATGTTGCGGTGCGGGTACCTCCGTAACATTCTCCTTATAATAGTTCTAGAATAATATTAATTCGTGGCTTTTATATTCATCCAGTACTAGTATTCTATATTTACCCTTAATTCGATTTCTTATATATTTATTAAAGTATTTCAATTATTCTAACTCTATCTTATTGTTTGTCCATCTATTAGATATAGATTTAATAATCCAATCCACAGGAAAATCGGTTTTGATATATCAATTAGAAAGATACATTTATCCTTGAATTATCAGAAATGAAGGTATAATATCCCCCTCATTATTATTATATATGATTACTATTATCTACTCTCGATTACCTGGTTGTATTGTTTTTCTTCTGTTATTTTGTTCAGCACTAATTACAACTATTCTGGAATATATTATGCTCATTATAAAGCCGGTTTTGTTGAAGTTGTAGAAATCACAATCGAGAATACTATATTTCGCCTGTATATTCGAAATTATATGAAACTAGTCTTTAATAAGCTTGGGATTTTTGTAAAAAGCTTTTTAAAAGTTATAAACATAATTAAAATATATTTTTAATCTTGTATAACACTTTACAAATCAATAAGCCTAAAGCTTTTCAATCTTCTTTGCTCCTTACAATTGAAGAACATAATTTGTTATATCTTCTATACCACTTAATTTAAATAAGAATCCTTTATTATTCATATCAATTATATACTAAATAAGTATCTCCTCTTTTAAATTAATCATTTTATAATTATTTATTCGAATTTTCGTATAAAAAGGCAAATTATTCATTCTACAAAAAAGTATTATATATATTATATTATATAGCTTAGTAGCCTTTTGAATACTAAATTTCTTATCTTTTTAAATAGTTTTAATAATTAAAAGTATTTGAGCTTCTTTTCTATTTGATTATATAATAAATGATTGATAAATTGTATGTTGAAGTTGAAGAATGTAAATTAAGGTAAAAGTAGTATATTCGGTGATATAGTGTACTCGGTGTTAAACCATGTTATTAGTAATAAATATAATAAGAATCTTGTAAATATAATAAATAATTTCTTTAAAAAAAAGTTAAGAAAAATATTTCACTCATTTTTTTGAATAATTTCAATGAATTTATTTCTTTCCTCTAAACTATTTAAATTCAATCATAAGATTGATTAAATTAATATATAGTTTAAAAGTTAAAGAAATAATAGTTTTTAATGTGTTTTCGCTTAGTATGCGATAAGCCGGGGCCTTAACTCTTATAATATGTATGGTGTAGATACGTACCTATGTAAGCATTATTTTCAAGACAACATTATTTATTATATTAAAGTGAAAGTTTACAATTCAGATTTATACGAGTACAATATCATATGTTTTCAATATACATTTTGTCCCTGCGAATTTCCATTTCTGACATGGTCAAACTTCTAGGTCTCTACAATTTCAGCGATTATTCAACAATTAGAAAAGATAGTCAGCTCTTTTCTAAAAGCTCTAGGGCACGTATCAAAGCACATACCGATGTCAGATAATTTTCGTTGCATAGCAGCAGCGTCATGGTAAGGTTTCACATCGCGAGACTTGAGAACTCGCAAGAGAGAGAGGCTCAGGAAAGGGGATTAGTTCCTTACCAGTAGTAGGAGTAAGACGACTGAGCTTGGGATGTCCATATGCCAGTTAAACAAGTGTTTTGAGAGGGAGGAGGGAGAGATTTGATGAGATGAGATGATTTGATCAAGGATATCTTAAATTCATTCAGTGTTGATTAATGATTCATCTGCGGACTCTGTATTTCTACTTACTTATTTATATATCAAGTAGGTTTGAGAATTTCAATTTCGATATCGATGTTAATATTCAAACGCCGATCTGCTAGGTAGTTATCAAGAAGACTTTAGTTTATCGGCTTTCTTTTCATTAATCACCAAGTAGATAGATAGGTAGGCAGGTAGTAATCTATCATTTCATATTCATATTCATAAATCATGATAATGAATTAAACTCATAGTTTACATTACATATTAAGAGTTCTAGAACCTCCTCACCGTACAGATTTCGATTTCCTCATTAAAACTATTAATTTTTCAGCTTTTAAGACTTCTATTTCTTTACTACAGCTTTATATTAAATGATAAAAAGAATTTAAAATCAATTTAGAATTGATTTAATTATATTAAAAAAAGCTAGTTTATTTTTAAATATTTTATTTATATAGTCATAAATTATTAAAGATAAGAATTATAAGTTTTCTAAAAAAAAATCTTTTATTTTATACAGAAAAAGTATTACAAATTAAAAAAAAATTGATTTTTTTAATTTAAAATTTATATGATTTATATGATTTATAAAAAAAATTAAAAAAAAATTAATAAAGGATAATATTGATTACTTATTTTAAAGTTTTGAAAATAAAATTTCTTTAATTGAAAAAGTTATTAATGAAAATTTTTACTTAATTTGTATAAAAAAACATTATTTTTATAGGGATTTTGTTATAAATTTTATAGAGTGTAATAAGTAAGTTCGATAACTCTTATATTAAGAATGTTAAAATATTAATAGGAAGGATTATATAGTATAGTATTCCTCTCTACTCTAGATATGTTACGGGAGCTGCCTCTAGGGTCACGTGGAAGTGTCTAGAGATCTCTCGAGGTGGTTTAGACTAGACTTCAAGTAGGAATTCAATAAGGTTGGTAACTGGTTGCAATTCTCGTAACTATAGTAATGAAACTAATGATTGTTCTTGAGCACGAAGCTCTACATTGTAATGAAACCCATTCCCTTATATAGACCTTCTTGCTCAGTGTGATCAGTACGGCTCAGTACTGGTTTGTTTGTACTTTCATGGCTCAGTGTCTATCCCGCTGAGGCAGACTGAGCCAACCACGTGACTTAGTGCCCCAGTCCCGTGCCTATGTTGCGTCGTTCGTAACAAGATAGTCGATTATATAGATTAGTAATGAATTTATACGAGTAGATTTATTACCTTTTATTTATTTATTGTTATAATTGAAATAGTTGTTAGAATTGATTACTAAATCAAATCTTTATTCTTTTAAATAGAGTAATATAAAACTTGAGTTGAAAAAAGGAATAACGTGGTTTATCATTGAGTGGCTTATATCATCGAGTGGCCTACTTTTATTTCAATTTATACCTGTTTTTTTCAATATATGTTTTATTAATAATCAATAATGAATTTGAATAATCAAAAAGCTCGTATACTCCTTACTATTAAAGCTATTTATAAAGATAAAAAATTAAGTATTTAAAAGGCTACTATACTTTATAATATTCCTTATACAATTCTTCAATATAAAATAAAAAGTTTATCTTTTTATATAGAAATTTAAGCGAATTGTTATAAGATTATAAAATTAGAAAAAGAAATAATTGTTTAATATATATTCGATATGGATTTAAGAGGATTTTTATTTAAATTAAAGAATATATAAGATATAATGAATAATATTCTTAAATTGAGGGGTGTAAAATGTATTGGGAAGCTTTGAGTGTATTGATTTGTAAAGTGTTGAATCGAATTAAAAATATATTTTAATTATATTTATAACTTTTAAAGAGCTTTTTATAAGAATCTTAAGTTTTTTAAAGAATGGTTTTAATTAGTTGTGAATATATGAGCGAAATATGATATTTTGAATGAAGATTTCTATAATTTTAATAAAACAGACTTTATAATAAGGATTATATATACAGCAATAATAATAATTAATACTAAACGAAATAATAGAAGTAAGATAATATAATTAGGTAATCGAGAATGAGCTATAATAATAATATATAGAAATGAAAAGAATGAAATTATTCTCTCATTTTTAATAGTTTAAGGATAAGTTCATTTCTTTAATTAATATATCGAAACAAATCTTCCTATAAAATAAGCTATTAAATCTATATCTAATAGGTGAATAAATAATGAGATAGGTTTAGAATAATTAAAACACTTCGATAAGCATATTAAGAATCGAAGAAAGAACAAATATTGAATGTTGATATTGAATAGGCATAAAAACTACGAATCAATAGCTTTTCAAATATATTATAAAGAGAATGATATTATATATTTATGTTTATTATTGTATTCAAGTCATTTAATTCAACTATTTGATGTTGGTTGTTTTAACAATCTAAAACGTTCATATGGTGGTCAAATTGATGAATTTATTAAGGCATATATCAATCATATTTCGAAGATTGAATTCTTTATAGCTTTTAAAGTTGTATACAAGGAATTAATCACCTTTTAGAATATAAAATCAAGATTTCAAGGAATAGATTTAATCCTATTTAATTTTGAAGTTGTATTCTCGAAATTAAATATTCAAATTTGTATATTTACTCTTCTTTTTTTCAATCTAAATCAATAAATCTTTCAAACCCTTTACAATTTAATAAAAGCTCTTTTTCAATCAATATTAATTAAATCTTAAATAACTCGTTATTAATCAAGTTCTTTTATATTTATATTCGAAACTGTATTAATTCTAGTTAAGGGTATAGAGAGATTAGTTTATAAGAATATACTTTTAAGTGTAAAGAATTATATATTTCGAATAGTAAATGAGGTATTAAGTAAATGTTGATATATAAAAAAAACTTAATTATATTAAGAAAGAATATTCATTGAATAAAAGGCTTTTGATATATTATCTTAATAAAAAATTAATATTCAGATTTAATATAATGAATATTAAAAAGAAGGAAATTCTAATAAAGAAGTATTTTTAATTGATATTGTAATAAATATGAAAAGATAGGATATAATATAAAAACCTATCAAAATAATATAATAGATTCTAAATTATTAGATTCTTAATAGTTTCAATCAATTGATTCAATTATTATTGAATAATATGGGTTTGAAAGTGTAAATTGAAGTGAAAGTGGGCTATTCGATGATATGGGCCACTCGATGATAAACCACGTTAAGTTAGTTTATTTATTATTTATAATATCATCAATCATCAACCAGCTTTTGGAGTTTGGAATGCCAGGTATGATTCGGGTAACCAAGCAACTAACCAAGCAAGCAAGCACTTTACAAGATATCGAATCATCAATATCTTTCCCTTTTAATGGTCTGACTGTATATTGATATTTCATTTCTTCAATAAAGGAGTGTAACATTATTGAATCAATAGCATTTTTCAATAGCATGAAAAAACATTACACCTTACACTCATATCCCACTCATATAATACAACTTCATCAATTCCCCAATCTTCACACCTCTTCCGATTCTTGCCCACCCATTCAACACATCTCCATATCACAATTCATCAATCCTCCCCAAAACCCACTGCAGATGTCTGTAACTAATCCTGGGCTGAAACTGCGGCTGCATATGACCACTCAGAAACGTTTCCGCCCACATCAACCCGCGTTCAAAATGCTGCACTCCCATCGTTCCCTGCGGTTCATCTACCGATCCAAAGTCCTCCTCAACAAACAAACTCCCATACTGCAAATCCGGCAACGTAATCACAATCGGTGTGGCCGGCTTCTCTTGGAACCCCAATTTTCCTCCCCACGTCATATTTTGAATGGCGAGAAGGGTACCGTTGGTGAGGATTTCGTAATCGAGATTTCCGTTGGCGATGAGGACGCGGTTGGTGGCTTCGATGACGCGGGGAAGAACGGATTGGATGGGATCGGCACTGAGATCACCTTCTTGTTCGGGTCCCCCTTTGCCGTCGTCTCCTCCGATGAATACGGGGCCGGAACATTCGCTCCAGTCGATTTTCATGGGTGCATGCATGGCTTTTTTCACATCTGTCCGGTTGAAATAGACTTGATCGAATCCTGGGTATAGATATTGTAAGTCTGTTGGATAACCTAGTGGATCGGATAGAAGAGGACATTGGGTGACGATTTCATAGACGTTGAAACAGGGGTTTGGTCCATATGCTGCATTGTAGATTGAACCCCAGAGATCACATGCTAGATCAGTCTCGTTATTGTGGTCGAAGTATTTAGGGGGTTGAACACCAGATGGTGGAAAGGTTAAATATTGCGATATGAAATCCGAATAACCGCATGATTCATGAAGCGCTTCTAGATGAGCTACAAAACTTGCGTTGAGGCCGAATATGTTGTTGTTCTGAAGAAGGAATGGAACGGCTGGTGCTTCTTGTTGGGCATATACATAAGAGCCAATGACGGGATCATAAGCTAAAGCTCCTATTTGATGTTAGTGATAGATTTTCTTAAAATTCGACGACCAGAGAAATCTTACCAGACACATCAAAATACTCCGTATTATTTCTCTCCAACATAGCCAACGATATATACGGAACATATCTTCCTGCATAACTTTCTCCCGTAACGTAAATTTTGAAATTCTTGATCCCAAACGTCTTTTGAAAATTCAAGAAAAACTTGACAAAATCCTCTGCAATATCTTCTTCAGTTGTAGCAGTCACTTCACCAATCGAGAATCCCGTTCCAACTGGTTGTTCAACCCTTTTCGCTATTAGCCATGCGCATTTCTCTCAAATGGATATCATAAGAGCGATAGTTCTACTCACCAAAGAACATTCGTAAGATTAACCCAAGAATATGGATTAATCTGCGGAGTGTACATTCCCCAACTCCATATGAACCGTCCATTTTCTTGAAAGAAGGCTTCTAAAGAACTGCAGCCTATTTTGATCATTAGCTTTGTTCCCACAGTTTTCCATCTCAGATGCCAAAATAAAGTACAAGTATAACTCACCAGGACCTCCATTCAACCAAATAGTAACCTCGTCAACCGGTTCTCCAACCGTCGGTTCAAAAACAAAATAAAGCCCTCTTGATTTATTTTTCGCATCAATTGGCATTAAACCGGCATACATCTCTCCAATATCAAACGGAATATCGGGAAGAGATTTAACTCTATATTCTACACAATATCTTCTGTCAGCTCTGAATCTCACATCCCCATTCAACATCCCCTCTCCCGAATCCCAATCCTTCTAGTTTTCTCAAAATACCCAACTAAAACTCACTCTCCGTATGTTCATTCAAAAACCTAAACCCCTCCGTCCCATTCCCATATCCATGCCTATCTCCAAACGCCGGAGAATTCCTCTTCCTATTCCCCTCCACCCTATCTTTCAAATCCGGATGAAACCCTTTCGCATGCGAGAAATCCGAAAAACGACCTGCGAGAATTGTCGTTGCGAAGACAAACAGGAAAAGTACAGTTTGTCTCATATTGAACGACATCTTGATGATTTTCCAGACGGAAATCTTTTGCGGTGTGTTACTCTATCGATCCGGGGGAGTGGTTTGAGTTGCGTTTGGGAGATCGATTTCTTTACTCACTCACTACCTAGGTAGTTGAGTGTGATACTCTGTGATGAAAGAGGCTCACTCAATTCCAATTTCACTTGCAAGTACACAAGCAATCGTGATAGTATCATAAGGAAAAGTGAAGAAGGAGAAAAGAAGAAAGAAAAGACCAAGTAATACAGCTATTACTCTCACATGACATAACATAACAAGACGATTCGTCCGATAACAACCTCGACTCCGAATCTACCTAGATATCTTAGTAGGTAGATTACCGTAGATAGGACCTAGTCGTTCGTGCATTGCATTGCATATGACCCCAGTACACACATACATATCGAATCGAATATGCAATCTATCGTCATCGCCATTAACACCCATCCTATCAGCTCCAGTGGAAAATCTCCGGCTCCTTCTTACCACAACCTCTCACATACTGGGTAGACAACACATACCATCAAACCGATTCGCAACCTCAAAGTTCTAGATCCCAAAGTCCAGATTATCAACCCTGTTAAATCTCTCATTTCTTCCTTGTCACAATCACCAGTATCTAGCTAACTATCAACACCCATGGAAACCAAAGTTTTTCATATCTGAATCAGATAGCACAATTAGATAACCAACCTATGGATATATTAACAAAGTTATCAGCTAGCTGCCTGCGGGTCTACGACTACAGCTCGCTGTATATGAATTTTCCTCCTGGGTTAGATTATCCAGTTTGATGTCATGAATGTACTCGTAAAATACACAATCCAATTCGTCAAGCTTCATCTTTCGTCCATTAATTACCATTTCAGATTAATTTTCTGTGGCGAATCGGAACATGTATTTCGTTACGCTCGTCTGGCTAGGTTTAGGGTAGAATGCTCGGATTAGAATATTCGGAATAGGATACCAATAGAATCGATGAACCTACATACATATATATATATATATACCTACCTACCTACCTACCTACCTACCTACCTACTTATCTACCTACCTACCTATTTACCTATTTACTTATCTATCTACTTATTTATTTATTTATTTATTTATTTATTTATTTATTTATTTATTTATTTATTTATTTATTTATTTATTTATTTATTTATTTATTTATTTATTTATTTATTTATTTATTTATTTATTTATTTATTTATTTATTTATTTATTTATTTATTTATTTATTTATGCGATCGGCTCGGCAATCATTCCAAGGGAAACCCTGGAGGGTGACCTTATCTTTACCCGGTCCGGTCCGGTGAGCTCCAGACCTTGCTATTTAATTACACGTTACGATATACTTTGTGTGCACCACAATCACACATGTAGACTGTACATCGGGTATCTGATCATGAAAAAAGCTACTGGTATGTGAGGGAATACAATGGAAAGAGATCATGTTCTTAGGAATTATCAATTTATTTTACTATTGCAATTATTCGTTTTTACGTAATTTATGTACAAACCCTCCGTAAGTTTTTGAAACTTTCCATCTCTAGCTCCTCAATCCATCACCCACTAATCCGGCGTCTCGGGAGCGAGTCTAATAACTCAATACGAGCTTCTTCAATTTCTCAAAGTTTGGTGTTCCCAATCCCGTAACCGGATCCCATCCTTTTGTCGCATTCCAACTTGCGTATGGAATAATTGCTCCTCCAGGTACTTTCGCGCCAGTTTGTCCATTGACACCATTACATCCTATAGCAGCTCCTCCGGTAATATCATTAAGAGCTCCCTTGCCAAGAAGATAAAGGAGCGGATTAACAAATCCTAAAGCTGGTTTTCCTGCTTTGAATCGTGCGTCGTTAAGAAGACCGAGAATACCAGCAACAACAGGAGCGGCGGCGGATGTACCACCTGATGGGGAAAGTTCACCGTCATAGACGACTTCGTAACTGGTGTTAGGTTAGTAAGTGTTTAGCAAGATTTAATAGGGCATGAGAACATACGCAGGTTTCGCACTATGCGCCGAAATATCAGGAAAACCTCTTCCTGAAAAGTTTGTATAGCTCTTATAGTATTCCTTGGTGCTTGGACTAATATGTTTGCTCAAGTATTCATCCACAGCAGCAACTTGGTACCAAGGAGTAGGGAAATAGTTTGAGAAACCTCCTGAACCATCATCCCAAGCAACCTCGGGAGCAACGGCTTGAGTACCTCCAACAGATGTAATGTATGGGCAGGTACCAGGGAATTGGGGTTGAAAGTATGGGGTGTTGAGACCATCGTTTGCGACGCAACCGGCTCCTACTCCGGTATCTCCTGAGGATTCAAGGACGGAGATACCGCGGAGACCCATGATACCGATCAGGTTGCAAACTCGTACAGCGTAGGCATATGGAACTGTCTAAGTAATGGGTTAGCAATGGAACATCTCATCGAGGATGAAGATAATTGGAGAAAACATACATCTTCAATATCACCATAAGAGTTCGAGATGACTTGTGGTAGAGCGGAGTTTGGTTGAGACAACAAGTACTCGTAATATGGCAAATATGGCTCATTCGAGTTATTGGCCGCAGTTGGGAAATCAGTGTTAGGGATGAATGGGGGGGAGCCACCAGTGATAAATTCTTGGACAGGTAAAGGATGAGCAACACCAATAATGTTTTGAACATCAAGATTTGCTTCATCACTTTGAGCAGTCGCTGCATTTTGATCGTTGGTAGCTCCATTGATTAGAGTAACTGTGAAGTTCTGTTCTGGGATGCCAAAGTAACTCTCATATTGGAAGAGGTCGCTATAGAGAGCTGATTGGTTGAGGAAACTACCGAATCCGATTCGACTTCCGGATGAAACTGAGGGGGTATAATTCCCAACGTTGTATAATTCTTTGATACACTTAGGAGTGATGGATGTTGAGCAAGCAACATCAAGTGTGACTTTCGAAGGTGAAGTAGTTCTCTTTACAATCTTAGTTGGCACATTTGCCACTGTCTTTCCGAAGTAAGTTGTTGGAGAGATGAGCTCGATGTGTTCGGCAACATCATCCGGGACGGAGTATTGAGTAGTTCGGACTTTCGTTACGCCATTACTTGTATAGCTTTGGAATGTTGCATTAAGCATTGAGTTGGCCTTCTCAATTGTGGTGGCAAAGGAAATGGTCGATCCATCGCTCACGATATTTTGAGCACCAGCACTTGTCAACCATGAAGTAACAGCGCTGCTGGCGTCCGCAGACGGGGCAAACAAAGCATTAGCCTCATCAATGTCGATATGATTTCCATACTCTGCGTTTCCTGGTGTCGAAACGGCAAGAAGTTTGGCTTCCAATTGATCCATGTTCTGCATAGCGAGACCAACTGTCAGGGTGATGGCTGCAGTTGAATCTGTTTCCGAAGCCGCAGTCCATCCGCTAGGGGCTGCTGCCAATTTCTCCATGACAGCACCATATGCTGGGAGAGCTTGGGAAAGCAAACCCACACAAATGGCGGTTTTGGGATACATCATGATCGAAGAAGCTTGGGGGTATCGATTGACAGGTGATCAGTTGAATTTCCAAAGAATGAAGAAGGAGAAGTAGGACCTGTGAAGAGATGGAGGAGAGAAGATGAGGTGACTAAAGAAGGAGGTGAAGCGGTGGAAGAGATGACATGATGATCAGGACATGCAGCTCTTCATCAACACTTTTCCCAACCTCTGACAATTCCATTTTGCCATCAACACCTCGGATCACACGATATCGAATTTCCCCTTGTACCTGGCAACCCTCATGTATGTCGGCCGCACAATCTTGGTACTTGCAGGTGAAGATCTCGTCTGAGCGAATGATCGCTCGTGAAGATATTGATATGCCCCGCCATGGCACGCCGATGTGATACCAAAGGGTATCATCCGAGCCATGTAGTAAGGTACACCAGGGTAGCTTTGAAGCTTGATAACATATGCGGCAGGTGCATCTGCCAAGAACCACCAAAAGCTTAATTATCGGTATACAATTAGAGTGAGCACCTTCCCATTCCGGATTAGCTTGCATGTAGGTAACCTTTCAACGACTTTGGATGAAATTCAAATTTCACAATTGACCTATCAACGTCCTCAATGAGTAAGACAATTTCCGATATTCCGTAATAGCCTTTCCTCGCTTTGAGATGGTTTACGATGATGGTTATGGTCATGATCCATGATCAACGGCTGTTTCTCAGCAGAATTCCGAATTCAAGCTTTTTGTTAACAACGACGATGAGGAGGTAAACGAGATCAAGGCGCTGAATGATAGGATGGGAAGATGATGGGAAGATGGGCATCTGAAACAATGTAGCTTTTAATCTTACCGGAGCAAGTGATTGTGTACTCTGAATATGCACGGAGGTAAATGGAGTAAGTTATGTTATACCGCCTTCGTTAGCTAGGATTAGTTTGTGTAGGCAGAATGATGCTATTGGTGGCAGAACAAAAGCGGTGTAACATCACTTATTCCACATACCTAAGGTACATAGAGGAATCCTGTTGTTTTTCTGATCGTACGAGCATTATTCATTTCAATGGTGATTATAGATTAGGAGGGACTTTGATTCAATTCAACCTTCTTATCTCTGCGTCTCTATGTTGTAGATCACGATTAATTGAGTCTGTTATCTTTCGCTCGCATCGTCGGTGATCCATGCCATGCTTGCTGTCGCACGGTCTTACAATCCTATCATGTCCAGAAAGCTTGGGGACGGGAAGGGAAGGGGGATGTCGAAAGAGCTTTTCTGCAAGGTGTACAGAGTACGGTGTAGGTGTGGAGATGGGATATGCTAAGACAAATGGTAATCATTCAAAGAAAGAGAGGAAATAGTTACGAAAGATGATGTTTGACATGATGTACAAAATGATCACGTGTGTTCTGAAACCGGTAGATGATATTTGTACTCAAGTACCAGGAAGACTGATAAAATTTCACACCATTCAAAGGGATAGGATGATACTACTAGGTATGCTATTTCGACAATAAACAGGTGGATAATATAAAAGCTAGGTAAGCTTCTACAACAACAGGTATGTATCATGATTCAAAAGCATGTAGAAACGATGATAGCACAATTCAGAATTCAAGATGCAAAGTGGAAAAAAATAGCATTAATTTACGAAGATAATAAGAAAACTCCGTCGAATCCCAAGAACGAGAAGAGACATTCTACTCTTTTCTCTCTCCTCTCAACACTCACCTAGATGCCCTCGTTCCTTCATACACAACTGGCGTCGTGTCCGGGTATTCTCAATCTGTGGTTTGGGTGGTAGTTGGCAACGTCGTCTGCACAAATACACCACCGGGTAATGTGAGCATGGTTGTTGGTATAGGTTTATAGGTCGAGACTCTAGTATGATTGCTGTGAGATGGATGGGTGTGGTTGGAACAGTGTGGTTCTGGGTTTGGTAGTTGGATTGCAGTGGTGACTGCGATGAGGGTCGATAGACTGGTGAGAGTTATGGACTTCATCTTGTATGGTTTTTGGGACTGGGTGGTTGGATGGTTACTACTTTCTATTTGTATCTTTAATTGTTTCAAGAAAGTAGATTTGCGGTTGCGATAGACTCGGGGTTTGATGTTAATTTGGGGAAGAAGTTGATGTTTATATATGAGATTTGAGGGAGTTGTTCTGGATGTCTGCATACTTAGCAACAACAATCAAGATGGTTATCTTCTTTGTTATGATTGTTGTAGGAAGTATCAAATCCTTTCTATTCAATACTCTGCAAGTGACAAAGAAATGCCACTTCGCTTGTTGGTTTGAGGAGATCTGATTGTTCTTGAGGTCTCTCGAACGCTTAGTTCTTGTTCAGTCAACTAAGTCAAAGAACTAGGTCTGAAAATCAGAAGGTTGAAATGCTATCTCTATTGTCAATCTGGATATCAAGAATCTTGGTGAGACTTTCAGCCTTGAGATTGAACTGTGGTACTTGGGAATCTTGAATTTATTTGCTTACCACCTTGTATTTCGTATGTTTCACCAAGGACGTTCGATATAAGGTTAATTGTATAGAATACAGATACCTACCTAGTGATCCCACTGACTCTTCTTGGAAATCCACAGACCAAGGGTACCCAAGGGATGAATTTTGGAAGAATTCGTACAGCCGGTGAGACATTGCACAATCAAAGTGATATGATTGTATGATTGTTCCTAGAAAGACAAAGGCTGGATGAAACATTCGAAGAGAGAGCATCTAGCAGGTACTAGGTAGAAAAAGTAACAAAGGAAGAGATAAGTTAGATCATGGAATTATATACCTCACGTGATCCAAGTCACATTCGTGCGTGTTAGGTTTGACCAGACCAAGCACCCACAGATATGCCAAGGCAGAAATAAACTCAAATCCGTTTTGCCAAACACAGCCCCGTTCCTTGGTTTGGAATGATAAAAAGGGGGCAACTGAGCAGCTGAGGTACTAGTCAAAAATCGATAGCTGCTGCCGCTGGACTAAAATCTCTTGAAGAACTACGGGATCGGGACTGGAAATATACGAAACGGGTATAGATAGCGTTTCCGAAAAGATCCCGTGTTGAATTATTTGTCAAAAGTAGGTTGAAGGGCAAAATGACGTTGACGTTATATTGATGTTTATGTGGACGTCGCCGTTGAGAAATGATGTTTTGAATATCGCTTTGGCTTCGATTTGGCTTCGATTTGGCTTCGATCTGGAGTATAGTCGTGCTTTGATTGGGAAGTTCATGAACCTTATTTGAAGTGATGTTGATCAATGTTTTGACATGTTCCATGCATATGCGAACGAATGCTCGATTGAAACAATGGATGGTGGTGGAGCATTTTGTAAGTGAGTTCATATCTATCAAGAACTCGCAGGACACGGTGAAGATCTGATTAATATATAACCATGATGAAGATCAAGTTATCTACTAGGTACTTGTATATAAGAAATCCATCAAGAAGTGCATTGGGTGACGATACATCGAATTCACACACCTAATATCGGTATATGGATGATGTGGATGATATGGATGATATGGATGATCCGGATCCTAGGCAATATTTGGAGTTCGTTCGACTTGCATATAAAAATCCTGCTGGATGTTTCCGGCTAGTCTACATTAAATGAGTTGATTGGCCAAATGTTGCAAATCACCCTTTCCCCCCCCCCATTGAGTGAGCAACCGACGTCATTTCCTTGTTACAACAGTTCTCAACTATGACCCAGGATTCGTATGATCGTCATGAACTAAAAGTGCAGATGTCCCACTTAACTCTCCAGATCCGCAAGAAACCAATATCAACCATCTATCCCTCCCGAACCTTCCTTCTCGTTCCAATCAATTTATTAATCTGTTTAATCTATTTAATCTGTTTAATCTGTTAATCAATTTATCTATCATCAAACAACACAGTTCCTTGTCTTTGCTATACACCTAATCCAAAGCTTCAAGTCAAGAGAAGCCCTTTACACGCAACACAACAAAGATACCCGTCGAGGAACGCAAGCCAACAACCTTCACAATGCATCGCACATATTCTATGAGACAATCGCGGGCTCCAACTGTAAGCTATACATACAAACTCCATTGACGATGGCATATTCTTTTCGCAAGATTAACGTGAGCTCTTACTGACGAGTCTCCCTTTTGCCTTCTTTATAGGCCTCGCAACTTCAAAACCCCCCTCCACCACCTTCGAGCACAAAATCTGGAAAGTTCTTCGGCAGAAGCGGTCTTGGTTAGTACATTGTTTCTATGACGTCTACGCTTTGTTATACATGATGGATGTGGGGTATACGGAAGTTCCTGTACATAGAAAAAGGGGTGGGCAAGGGAAAGCCAGGACATCGACTTGCTTTGTACAGGCCTTCCGGATATGATTTCACGATGAACATATTCTTCTGGATATACCAAAAATGGCATGTCTGTGTCGGGTATCATCATATCTGCCGCCGCCGTGAACCTTTCTTTGAATTCTCATTGCGATAGCTATGAATCATGGCATGCGCTATGTTATTCAAGGGATGTCTTGCTAACAATCATCAATTCAGGCCATGCTATGCGACTCAAGACACACTCTGCCCTCAACACTAGGGGACCAGAGCTTTCCAAAAAGCTTGGTCAACTCGTGAAGATGGAGAAGAACGTCATGCGCAGTATGGAACTCGTCGGAAGAGAGAGAATGGAGGTAGCAGTAAGTAATTCTATCCATCACATTCAAGTGCATCGATCTAACATATCATAGCAACAACTCTCCATTTGGGGTGAGGCTTGCGACGAAGATGTCTCAGATGTTACCGACAAGCTCGGTGTATTGCTCTACGAAATTGGTGAACTCGAGGACCAATATGTTGATCGTTATGACCAATATCGTGTTACCATCAAGAGCATCAGAAACATCGAAGCTTCCGTTCAACCAAGCAGAGATCGCAAGCAAAAGATTACTGATCAAATTGCTCAACTCAAATACAAGGAGCCAGAATCTCCAAGAATTGTCGTTCTTGAGCAAGAATTGGTTCGTGCTGAGGCCGAATCATTGGTCGCTGAAGCTCAACTTTCCAACATTACCCGTGAGAAGCTCAAGGCTGCTTACACCTACCAATTTGATGCTCTCCGTGAACATTGCGAAAAGGTCGCTATCATTGCTGGTTACGGAAAACATCTTTTGGAACTTGTTGATGACACCCCTGTCACACCAGGTGAGACTCGACAAGCATATGATGGATACGAAGCTAGCAAGGCCATCATCCAAGATTGTGAGGATTCTTTGACCAACTGGGTTAACTCCAATGCGGCCGTCTCTTCCAACCTATCTACTCGCGCTCGAACTTTGTCTCAACGTCGACGCAACAATATTCAACGTAATGCTCAAGGTCACGATCTTACAGGCCAAGATCAACCTTTGAATGATAACGAGAGTGGTCTCTGGATACCAGCTGAAGCTCACAAGGGTGGCGAAGAATATGAAGATGAGGAGGAAGAAGACGAGATTGCTCATTCGCATCAAGGTAGCGTCACCAATGGTGAGCTAAGAGGTCGTCAAGAAGAGCTCGCATAATGGTCGAACAACTTTTGAATTCGGAAAAGAATGACGCTGAATGAGAAGATTGTCTAGGTATAATCAGCTTGTGACGGTGTTAAAGGAACGGACTAAATTAGTGGCGGGGTTTTCCCAAGATCTCTTTAACTTTGCCTCGAAAGCTGCTGTTAATGCGCTACTCGGAATGGATCGATGCTTTTTTCTTTTCTCTTAATGATGATAATGTTGGAATCGGAACGGGGTGGTAATTGATCACATACGATCAGAGCATACGGGTGTGGACATCGGGCAAAGGAGGATTTGGTGAACTGGGGAGCTTAAAAGGGTTGAGGGGATGGGGTGGGAACACGATTATGGGCTTGGAGGCTTTTGCATCTGTAGTATTTAATGAATGCTTTTATCATTTGAATTGATTTTCTTCTTTTTGAGAAACTCCTAGCTGTCTTGTTTAGATTTGCCTCCTCTGGGTATCTTGGTTCATCCACAATGTCCATCACATGATCTTCATAAAGTCAATAATTCTATCAAACAACAATAAAACTACTGCCGGCAATGATCCATCATCCTCAAAATTTCTCTCTCCCCACTATACAGTCATTCCAATCCTTCAACGGAGATGACCCTCTGTGGTGGATTATCTGCAAACATAAGCTATGTTGATCCATCATTCATCTTGACCTTATAAACGCTCGATCTTCTTTTCCCCCTTTGTGAATATTAAATCTCACACAGATCAAGTAGTTGGGTTCTGGCTATGCTTGATGTTGTATAGTCGTAGTAGGTAGGTGGGTGTTCTGGGTCGACATATCTTTATCTCATATTTGTGATAGCTCTGGAAGGCGTGATTGAGCGCTTGGTCTTGTCTGCATGCATGCATGTCCATGGATTTTTGGTGATGGCTTCGCGTGGGGATTTGTTGTATGCACGAACAAATTGTGGGTGTAAGTAGGTAGGTAGGTAGAGCTTTAGGGTTTGCGACCTCGCACTTGACTTTCGAATTCTTCCAGTTCAATGCGTAGGATGTGGGCGCCGGGGACGACGACGAGACCGAGCCAGCGGGGGGTGATGTTGAGGAGGGGTTGGGATTGGAGTTCCGGGGGTGAGGAGGTGGGATCTTGTGGTTGAGGAGAAGAAGATGTCGGTGCGGGAGGAGAGTGGGGAATGCGATATTCGTATGTTTCGGAGAGGATTATGTTCAGATCCTGGGTTGTGTGACGGTGTTAGCTTTCTCTTCTTCTTGTTTTTCTCCTTTTCTCTTCGAATATACGAATACGCGAGATTGGGAGGTATGTTGATACTACTATTGCATAGCGGAGAAGAGCCACCGGGGTAGAGAGATGTGAAAAAAAGGCAAACAAACAGAATCGGTACACTTGAATTCCCCCCGAAACATGCGATTATCCGTTGTGTGAACGAGTAAGGTTTTGCAGAGGAGATTATTCAGATAGGCGCGTGCTCCTTTTCTAGCTGGAGATTCTGGAACCTCTGTGGATGGTAGGGGGGCGAGAGATGTCATGGCTGTGGGTTTGGTGTTGGATTGAGGGAGAGAGTGGAGAGTTTTGGAGGGGAATTAAGATTGGGTATGGATGGGTGCTAGAGATTGAATTTGGTGGATTTTGCGATAAGATAAGGTGGGTTGGCAGTCACGTGGGAGCGTGGATTATGTGCGTCATTACGCGCTTAGCGTTTAGTGAGATGAGGTGGGAAGTGAAGGCAGAAGTCTGATGTGGGATGTAAGATTTGTGAACATTCTTATTTGAACTTAGATTGAGGAGATGAGAGTTCTAGAATTGTGAAACGGTCCTTCTTGACATGGGATGAATATACTACCGTCACATAAAGGTGTAGATGAGAATGCAGAGTTCTTATTTACTCTAATTTCAATTACTTCTGATCTCTTACGATTAAGATTTTCAACACGAACTTCTTGATCCACGAACCACAATCCTAACGTCCAATCTGTCTAAGAACGTAAGAACCCAATACCTTCACCATGGGTGTCACCGGTCTCTGGACCATCGTGCAACCCTGCGCTCGTCCAACTCCCCTTCCAGCTCTCAACCGCAAACGACTCGCCGTCGACGCCTCAATCTGGATCTACCAATTCCTGAAAGCTGTGCGCGATAAAGAAGGAAATGCGCTTCGCAATTCGCATATTGTGGGGTTCTTCCGCAGGATATGCAAACTTTTGTTTCACGGCATTAAACCCGTTTTTGTATTCGATGGTGGCGCGCCCGTATTGAAACGTCAAACGGTATTGGGGAGGAAGAGGCGAAGAGAGGGGAGAAGGGAGGATGCTGTTAGGACTGCAGGGAGACTTTTGGGGGTACAAATGAAGAGGAGGGCGGAGGAGGAAGATAGTGAGAGGAAGAGGAGAGAAAGGGAAGGACGAAGTAAACCTGTCGAAGAAGAGGAAGTGGTCCCGGAAGAACAATTGGCATATGTGGATGAGATAGGGATGTCAGAACAACAAGTGCAAACGACACGAAAATTCTATAAGAAGGACGCATATCATTTACCCGAATTGTCGAATGGCATAGAAGGGATGGGACGACCGGAAGATCCGAGAATCATGTCAGCAGAGGAACTGGAAGAATACGCGAGACAATTCCATAATGGGGAAGATGTAAATTTATATGATTTTAGCAAGATCGATTTTAATGGGGAGTTTTTTATGAGTTTACCAGCGGGGGATCGGTATAATATTTTGAATGCGGCAAGGTTGAGGAGTAGATTGAGGATGGGGTTGAGTAAGGAACAATTGGAAGAGATGTTTCCGGATAGGATGGCGTTCTCGAAATTTCAGATTGAAAGAGTGAGGGAGAGAAATGAGTTGACGCAGAGATTGATGAACCTGAATGGAATGAACTCGGAGGAGCAGATGTTTGGGGTTAATGGAACAAGTAGGATTGCAGGGGAGAGGGGAAGGGAATATGTTTTGGTCAAGAATGATGGTGTTGAAGGTGGGTGGGCTTTAGGTGTGGTCTCCTTGGAGAAAGGAGTGGGGGATAGGAATAAACCGATCGATGTTGATGATTATGATCGAAAAAATAACAAAGTGGACTTGGTATCTGAATCCGAGGAAGATGATTTTGAGGATGTTCCTGTTGAAGGATTGAATCGGCTACCGAAAACCAAAGGTGATGGGAGGAATATGACTTACAGCGATTTTCAAGCCAGAGAAGTTGCTGAAAGGAAGAAAGAGTACTCCAACTCGATGAGAAAATCAACTTCAAAACTTACACGAATGCCATCTGAGGATCCAGATTCTCTTTTTGTGAGTGATGCAGTCGGAGAACCCGGACTCAGCTCCTTGATTGCAACTTACGATGATGAGGATGAAGATATCCATCGCGCGATTGCTCTGTCGTTACAACAAGATCAAAATGAGGATGTAGAACTTGCCGAGGAGGATCATCTGAATCGAGCCATTGAACTATCACTCCAAAAAGGCTATGGTCAGGAAGAGGCAGAAGAGGAGGAAGATGATTCATTTGAGGATGTCCCCATGCCAGAATATGAGCAAAGAGCAGTAGCAGATGCTAGACCTCTCACTAATTCTAGTGGAAAAATGATTGCTCATATGGTTAACAATAGAGCTAACGCTGCTGTGCCGAAACGGAAAGAAGAGACTGAGAAGATGGATAGTGATAGTGATAGCGATATGGATTTCCAGTCCGCATTAAGGAAAGCAAGGACACAAAAGGCACCGGAAAAAGTCCGTCAAGCAGCACCAGTGGTTGTGAACAAAAAGAATCCTTTCGATGGACCTTTGCCTTTTGAGAGTATCCAATTCAAATCATCTTTATTTGGCAAAAAGAATAAAACAGAAGAAGTACCTAGAGATCCAGTAGAAGAAGATGAAGAGGAATTAGCTGGTGGTTTCGAGAAAGAAGATGAAGAAGAAAAGGCGAAACCACTACCTCCTTGGTTGGTTGGTAATGATGATATCAGATCACAAGTTCAAGAGCAGCGCAAGAAAGACCAAGAGTTGAACGCGAAAGATCGTGAAAGAGCAGAAGAAGACGAGAGGATCTTTCAACGTGATCACGGGGTTATACATGTAGACTCTGATGATGATAATGATAGTGATGTGGAAGTTTTGGATAAAGCGCCCACGCCTAATATTGCCGAGATTAGTATGGATGATTTGGCGGAAGGTGTTAAAGCTCAACCGTCGCAGCCTGATGTTCCTCAAGATAGACGACCATCGGCGGAATCTCGTATGGAAGATACGGTTAATTTGTTAGAGGAGTCTGATGAACCGGTGGAGTGGTCGGAGAGTGATTATGGGGATCCTGTTCCTGAATCTGAGAAGACTCCCAATTTCAAGGATCCCGCCGGAGAGAGTATAGAAATGGCTTCTTCGAAATCGAAATCACCATCTCCTATATTTGAAGATGTGAATTTTAATGATGTTCGAGCAACTGAACGTACACGGTTATCGACTTCTGCAAGAAAAAGTCCGTCTCCAGTGTTTGAAGATGTTCAAATGACAGATGTTATATCTACCTTGTCATCTGGACCAATTGTACCCGATATGTCACCAGTTGACGATGCATATGATCGTCAAGAAGCTGAAGCGATTCCAGACGAATTCGATTTTAGTGATCCAGAAGAAGAAGAATTAATGACACAACTCGCTATCGAAGCAGAAGAACATGCTCGATTTGCCAGTACGTTAAACAACAAATCCGAAAAAGAAAACCACGATTCATATGAGCAAGAACTCAAAGCACTGCGAAGTCAACAAAAGAAAGATCGTAGAGATGCAGATGAAGTATCTCACATCATGATCACAGAGTGTCAAGCTCTACTCCGTCTCTTCGGTATTCCTTACATCACCGCACCAATGGAAGCAGAAGCTCAATGTGCTGAGCTTGTTCGTCTGGGCCTTGTAGATGGCATTGTGACGGATGATTCAGATATTTTTCTTTTTGGTGGGACGAGAGTCTATAAGAATTTATTCAATTCCAATAAACTCATTGAGTGTTACCTCTCATCCGACCTGGAAAAAGAACTTTCTCTTTCGAGAGATCAACTTATCTCCATAGCTCATTTACTAGGCTCAGATTACACGGAAGGAATTCCCGGTATTGGACCCGTCACCGCCGTGGAGATCCTCTCAGAATTTCCCTCCCATGCCGGTCTTGAAGAATTCAAAGAATGGTGGTCCCTCGTTCAAAATCCTCTTACAACCCCTCCACTCGCGAGCGAACCAACACTCTTCCGGAAGAAATTCCGTCGCTCACAAGCGACGAAACTCTTTCTACCCCCTGCATTCCCGAGTCAGGCGGTTACGGAAGCATATCTCAAACCGGATGTCGATAGTACGGCCGAGGCTTTCCAATGGGGTGTCCCAGATCTAGGACAATTGAGAGAATTTCTGATGACCACGGTGGGATGGAGTCAGGAACGAGTGGATGAAATTTTAGTACCGGTGATTAGGGATATGAATCGACGGGAGACGGAGGGGACGCAGAGTAATATCACGAGATACTTTGAGGGTGGGGTTGGGGTTGGGGGAGTAGGAAATAATGGAGGGGAGGGCAGGGAAAAGGGGAGCAAGAGGATGAGAGAAGCGGTGGGGAAATTGAAGGCAAAGAAGAGAGGTGGAGCTGCGAATTCATTGAAGGATAGAGGTACCTTTGCGGATAATGCGAGGGAATGGGCGAAGAAGAATGAATTGAGTGTGGAGGCGCAGGCGAAAAGAGATGCGATTAAAAAAGGGACGGGGAAGGGAAAGGGAAGGAAAAGAGTAGTGGAGGAGGTGGATGGGGATGAGGGAGGTGAGGATGAGGATGCGGATGTCGATGCTGGAATAGAATACAATGAAGCAGATGATGATGATGATGATGAGGCAGAGGAAGAGGACTCAATAGGCTCTAAAGCAAAAACAGTGGGTTCGGAGAAAGGAAAGGGAAAAGGAAAAGGCAGGGGGAACGGAAGAGGAAGAGGAAGGGGCAATGGAAAAATAACGGGACAAGGGGTAAAGAGACCGAAGATTACGGAATGAATTTATATATGTATGTATGTATGATATTTGATTAGATGGTATAATAGAAAGACATGAGATAGATCTTTGAAAAAGATGAAACTTCGAAGCTGGAAAGAGTTTGATGAGAGATGATTTTGAGATTATTTCTTTGGCATCGTTTGCTATATATCTTTGGTGTCCTCTGTTCAATTCAAAAGGATTATTAGGTGCATAGCTATTTGTGTATTTCAAATCCAAATTTGATATACGCGTGATCATTCATTCTAACAACATTACATTGCATCATCTTCCTACCTAGGAAAATTGGCTGCACACGTGCAAAGAGGATTGATGAACTTTCGAATGCTAAAATAATGATTCCATTATATCTATCACCAAACCTCATACTCCCTCCGATTTCTTTCCTTCGCCTATCATTAATATCACTTCTCCCTCTCCCCATCCAACCCTACCACTCCGTCGTCGACGCACTCGGTGGTAAATCCTCGTCCCTCGTTCCCCACGCACTCTCATTCCTCCCCAGCGTTAATTCCAAAACACCCCCCTCCATCCAGAAATCATGCGTCACCCAATTCTTGGTCCAGATCTCCCCATTCAGTTTCGCGCTCTGAATATATATATTCTCATACCCGCTATCGAAATTAATATTTTTGATCGTTGCCATTTTACCCGTTTGTCTATTCTTAACGCTTACTTCCGGGAAGTAGGGAGGGGTGATGAGGTAGACATTTTGGCCTGAGACGGGCCAGAGACCAATCATAGAAAGCGTGGTGAAGGAGCCCATGGCGCCGGAATCGTCGTTTCCGGCGATACCGGCAACGGTGGTGTTGAATTGGGAGGGAATGTAGAAGTGGGAGAAGTAGGCGGAAAGGCCGGGGCGTCCGGCATAGTGGAATTGGAAGACGGGGAGGAAGGCTTGTTCGTCGCCGATGTAGAGGAGGCCTGAGGTGTGGAGATAGGAGAGACGGGAGATGAAGAGGGAGGGACCGCCGAGAGTGGTTATTAGGGAGGCCATATCTTGGGGTACGAAAAATGTGTACATCCAGGAACTGCCTTCGTAGGTTTCGTGGCCGTTGGGGTTGAGGTAGCAGGATGTAAAGTTGTAGAGAGGGGAGCAGAGGGTAGGGTCTTGGTAGCCGAATGTTCCGTTGAGATAGCGGGGTTGAAGAAATCCGGTGAAGCCTGTGTCAACGATGGAGTCAGGTGCATTGGTGGATCCGTTGACGAAGGAGGTTTGGTCTGCTTTGTACATGTTTTTCCAATTCTCGGCGCGTCCGAGATAATTTTCTACGTCGCCGGTGTGGCCCAGCCCCTGGGCTATTTCGGCAATGCAAAAATCATTGTAGGCGTACTCTACTGTTCGGGAAATGGAGCGGGTCATGGGTCCTACTCCGTAAGGATCGAAGTCATCGGTGGGAATGTAACCGAGATTTTTCCAGCTAGTAAGACCGCCTCGACCTTCTATAGACCAGTCTGCTGGCTCATCTGCAATTTATTAGTGTCATGATGACTAAATGCAACTGTTTAACGTACCTTCAGCATCAGATACCACTGCTTCATAACCCGTTGCCCAGTCCACATCTTGAGTGATATTTTTTACATAAGAATCTGCCAGAACAATATCTGCATTCGAACCTCCTTGAGTAAATCCCTTACAAAGCGACATTCGACAATCCGGGAGTTTTCCTGAGATAAATGTTAGAGCAATCTTACCAAAATAACGAACTTGAAACGTACCTTCATGACGGTAAACATCAATCAAACTTCTCACCATTTGTGTCTGGCTATATGGATCCAACAAAGTCAACAATGGATGAATACTTCTGAAAGAATCCCAAATACAATAATAAGAATCATAATAAGGTTCATCACTGTCCCACAGTGGATTCTCTCCAGTATAATCTTGTGGTGAAATCATAGCCCTATAAGTGCCGGACCAAAAAACAGTCTGGAGTTCATCACTAACACCTGTAGCATCAACACTAATAACCGAAAGTTTCTCTCTCCACGCATCTTCAGCAGCAGTTAACACTTTCTCGAAATCAAAATCTGGTATTTCGTTCTCGGCATTCTGACAAGCTTTCGAGACACTGATGAACGAGACTCCTACTCGAGCAAGGATTTGATTGTTGGCTGGTGCATTAAATTGTGTCCAGGCTCCCGCTGGAAGAGGAGGAGAATTTATACCATCGGGCGTAACACTTAGATTCTTGGGTTCACTTCCAGCACGATTATTTATGAAAACTCCCGTATCTCGAATTTCTGCACCTTTGAAATCGGCACAAAAATGCAAATCATAAGTTCCAATTCCGAATGAAGGATTGAATGTTCCGGTTCCAGAAAGTCTTCCGGTATTTGAATCGACTTGGACTGAACCATTTGAACGAGACTCCGGCAAATCTGTCAGATCTACTAAGATGAGTGGACTGTAAGGTAGAGGTGCCTTTTGGGTGGAATACAAATTATTAGACGATGCATTCCGAGGAAAAGTAAATCGATATAATGCGGTATGATTGGTAACAGTTGCTTCCGTATGAATAGAAGTATTTAACGATACTGCAAAGTATCCCGGATGAGCCTCGGCGGTTCCATTAATTCTTCTCGACGCTCGATCGGTTTTGGTGAAGAAACAATTATTCAAAATATCTCCAGGACAACCTGTCTGTGGAAATAATGGGAAATTTCCAAGTGATGGTGACTTGCGTTTGTATCAGTAAAGAAGTCATTTTCTCATGAAAGAGTGTTACTTACACCACCCGTGCCGGAATCATGCATATGAGAGAATCCTGTGATATCGGAATTATCTGAGGCAAAACCTCCCTGCTTTTCATCGGGATTGTTCACATCGGCAACCGCTTTTGCCATACCTTGCACATAATGAGCTTAAATCATCATGGGAGTCGACAATAAAGCTTACCGAAGGGTAAAGTCGCTCCAGGAAACACATGACCTGCAAGTATGTCAGTAACAAATCTCAAGATATTCCAGGAAATGAACAGAACATACCTCCTTTCGCAGTCCCAATGAATGGATCGACATATTTAAAAACATCAAATTCATTCTCTACCTGACTTCCAACTCCAATATCTGCCACCATTACCAGACTCACGAGTAGAGCCTTCCGTTGTGATAAAACCCTCATGATTAACGTTTCGATATGAAGAAACCTCTAAACGAGAGACTCAATTCCGAATAGAAGACAAAATTCCCCATTTTCATGGGGTATAGACATCTTTCATATCTTTCCCTAAGTTGTTCTTACATCCCCGAAGTATCCACTTATCTTAATCGTCCACGATGCCATACGACGTTACAATGCCCCCTCATGTGTGCATCTCTTCGTGTTCACTTGGATTTACTTTGTTCTGGATGATCATCATAGTCCATACATACCTGTCATAGGAATTGCTAATGTGGAATGCGGGGTAAGGTTAGCGGACAGGGGAGATGCAGACTTGTACGCCATTGCCGGTGTGAAACTTGGCGTGAGGAGGTTTGCGGTGAAGTCATATATCATATATGGATGCTTTCTGCAGATCGTACCCAAGGATGCTTGGATGCTTGGATGCTTGGATCTGGCTGTAAAAGTGTTTTGATGTGTTGTGGATATTCGGTTGGAGATGGATTCCCTTTGAGTTTGTGAAAATCGGGATAATGACTTCCGAGGGAATGGATAGTAACTGGGAGTCTGGAATCCGTAGTTGTAATTGGGAAAGAGTATGTATATGGATGGGGTCGGTCATAAATTAAGATGCCCAAGAAGATCACATCATATGTTCCTGGATCCTGTCTCGAGGAGCTTTCGAGATTCGATGAAGATATCGATCAAAACACTCCACCACGTGATCATCAGGTGACTGTACAGGCTTCCGAGTCTCTTGTAAAGTTTAAAAGTTTGAACTCTAATCAACAAGATTTCTTCCCACAAAAGCAACAACAAAGCGTCATGGTCATTTTTAGCACGCCAGATCAAAATTGCAATACGGAATACTATCTTACTAGTAGGAGTGGAGGTTGAGGCAAACTTCCTTGAAAAATAACCAGAAGATGGGAACACGATAAAGATAGTTAAAGGTAAATTATATTTCTTTTTATGTTGAATATTAAAATACACAAGTGTGTATTCCATCAATAAAGATACTCTCCAATAAGCTCTAAGACGATCTCGGAATAGAGTCGTATCAGCAGTCATCCTACCGCCATATTCACAAAATTCCCATACACAAATCTCAATCTCTTCCGGCCTCATCCTCATTCCAATTTCCTCCATTTGCGTCAAAGTTCTTGAGAACCTCCTTATTCAGTACTCCTTTTCCCCAGAACCCTTTGAATTCCTCACACACCTCCTTCCACCAATGAGCAAAAGAGTGCATTTCTCTAACCCACTGAATCTGTTGATCAAGAGAATGTCCCTCAACAATTTCTTTGCACTTTCTGTCGGTGCACGTGTCCAAGTAGTATTGTATATAGACTACTAACGCATCGTACATAGATTCAGGAGTCTCTTCAAGGACAGCGTGGTTGTAGGGACTAGACCTTGTAAGGGAGATAAGGATATCGATGGCTCGCATGAGTTCAAAGGAACGCATTGGAACGGTCTCTGGATAGGCGATAGCCCACTTCTTAGAGATGTTTTGTTCGATAGAGGTTGTGGATTCAGATGAAGTGACATAGCGGCGACGCTCTCTTCCTTGGCCTTCTGCCAATACTTCTCCCGTTGCTTTTTTCAATGCCTCACCAAATGCGTCCAACTTCAAGAATTTGAGCGCTCTTTTTACCACGGCTGCAGTAGTCGCGATAAACATCTCATCCATAGAATTGCCGGACTCGTTCCCAATTGATTCACAACACTTCTTATGAAACTTACTTGTGAAATCTTGTTTCAATTGCTCTGCAGTGTCAATAAGAAGGTCCTTCATTACGCATTCAATTGATACGACTGAAATATCCTTAATCTCAGTCGAATTTCCTATTTCGCTTGTTTTGCTTGTGTCGATTTCGGTTTCGGTTTCTTCATCACTGCCATAGTCGCTGTAGTGGGCAGATCCTGACTCAGTGGTATCAGAAGTCTCATCATCAGCGTCCTGTTGGTCCTCAGGGCTAATGTCCTCCATGTTTTCTTCGTTCACCTTCTCAAAGCTTTGTATGGTGGTGCCGTTAGGTTTTTTGTTGATGATATCGTTTCCAGACGCGGCTGAGCAAGAGGTGCCATGGCAGCCCTTCAATCTTATAAACTCGTCATAGTTTGACTGAATAAAAGCTTGTTGCAACATAGCAGCTTCATCGTCGTAATCTGCAGGTAATGGGAAGTCTTCTCTCCATCGAGGCTTCATAACCTCCGAAACTGGCTCTGTACAGGCCTTCTCAGAAAATTTTCCTGTTGATTCTACCCCTCCGACATCCTTGTCTCGTATTTCATTTGTTGTGATAGCTTCATAGTCCTTTGCTAAAGGTACAATACTTTGGCAGTCATTTTCAGAAGAAGCAGAAACCTTGGATGAAGTGCGCGAACTAAATTGTTCTTCTTGAGTCTTCCTCGCACAGGCCGCTTCTGCCTCTTTAATCAACCGATCCACGCCTTTCCGACACGCTTCGAAAATTCCTCCCAATACCTGTAAGTCCTTTGCCAATTGACCGCTTCGGACAAATTTGAAGATCTCGACTAACAGCTCCATGCCTTCGGTTCTATCGTTAGGCCCTGTTCCTGTCTTTTCTTCCAAAAAACCCAAGGCTTTGAGATACATTTCATCCCGCGTCTTTCTGTCATCAATCTTCTGCAATTGTCTTTCCAATTTCCCGCTCATAAGCATACGTTTCACGCTCTCAATGACGAGGGCTAATTCTTCTATCTCCTTCTTAGTTCCTGTTTCTTTCTGACCATACAATTGCTCGAGGAATTTCAAATAAGTTTCCGAATCTTTCTTTTTGTTTGCGGCGGGCCTATTCTTTTCTGGGGCTCGGGAAAGAAATTTTATGCCTCGAACCATGTTTTCATTCCTACCAAACAAGTCTATTTCAAGAGTAGTCGAATGATTATCAATGCCACTGCTTGATTTCATTTGTTTGATCTTCGAGTATGTTTGATTCACCTCCAAGCCCTCGCAAAGTTTGACGAGGACCGGAAGGTCACCCTTTGTTTCTTCTCCCTCCCTTCTTTCTTCAGTCAAACTAGACAGCAATTTCTCTTCCACCTTACCAGTGACCTCCCCCTTGCTAGCGACTTCTTTCATGCCTCTGTTCTCCGTAGCAGACTCAATTCCACAACAAGTTTCGCCCGCAAGGCTTGTCAATGGAGTGACAGCAATGTCGTCTAGTCCTTCTTTTTTCCTTATCGCTAACTTTGGTCTGCCTCTCTTCTCCAAAATTCGTGTATCTTTTCTCGTTAAAAGAATCTCACGAGCTTTGAGTTTGTCCCCAGTTTTGTTAAGCTTGTTATCTGTCTCTCTTTCTACCAGATTCCGTATCATTCGTTGTCTTTTTGGTGGAGATGGAATGTAACGGGCTTCCCTTTCCTCTTCTGCCAAGGGAAATGAAATGCCTAGGCATCTAAAAGATTCCGCACTTAGTTTGGAAATCGGAGAAGGTGATGGAGACTTCTCAAAGCTGCGCTTGGGAGATCTACACTTTTTCTCGGGTGTTTGAGGTGACGATGGCGGAGCTATAAGCATTTTGGATAAGAGTTTGGTACTTTTTGAGATATCACTACTTTCTGAATCAAGGAAATCGATATCTCTATGTAGCATTGTTTCGAAAGCGCTACTCTTAATAGTTTTATGAAGTAATGGATGAGGATCGATGAAGAAGTTGTTGCTGCGATCTAGCAAAACAGTGTGGACACAATTTGTGCGTTCTTGATGCGAGTGATGCTTGATTGGAGTCCTGATAATCACTGTTGAATTGTAAGCATTGATATATCAATCATGTAACCAAGAATGGGAAGTGTTCAGTTTTCTTTTGGGTGAAATGTTTTTTTGTGCAGCCGAGGGAAGAGAAAGTCGATGTTTGGTGTTCATGTTTATCGGTTTTCATTTCGTACTTTCCCTATTGGAAATTAAAGGATAGCTATGCAATAGCGAGGAAGAAACAATGATTTCCAGTCAGGCAACTCACACGATATACAAATTACAAGTGCAGCCAAGTATATGAATCTTCTGTTAGGCAAGTGCGACCGAGGAAAGAAGCTTCCGTTTTGACAGTTTGAGGGCAGCAATTGAATTCTCTTTTCGATTTTCTATCATGCATCATAGCTCCTGTTCTCACCACTTACTGAATCTCATCGCAAAGTTATCAAGAGTATGTTTTTTTTTTGAGACAATCAATGTCTGATCGTACTTAGTGAACTATACCAGCGAAGGCTTCATTTGCAGGTTTGCCAGCTCTACAAAGAAATATAGTACGAAATATCTCGACTCCAAGCCTTTTTCTAAGGGTTGAGGTGTGGATTTTTCTTCTTCCGAACGACTTCCATCTCTGTCTCATTCCGGTGGGGTATCACCTGGATCCCTCGTCGTACGCTTCATCTTCTTGTATGCTCTCATTCTCTGCATTGATTCCCATTCTTCGGGCTCTGGACAGACCACATCTTCCATCACTTCGTCAACCAAATCTTTGACATCTTCCCTCGTCCTCTTTTGGGGGGTCGCTCTTGCAGGTTGTCCTCCACTACGGTTACCTGCTGTCTGTGAACTTTCACCCGACTCTTCGATCCCCGGGGGCAGAACATCCTGCTGTTTAATCCGCAACTTCACTTCTGTTACCTTCCCCCATTCAATATAATCCCGGAATAGCTCCTGCCATCCTTCCGAAACTTGGACAATTTGTGGTTCTAGCCAAACCAACCTTTCCAAGCCTTTACCGAGTAACCTCCAACATTTATGTCGTATTGGAATTGTCAACTTCTCAACGCCCCCCACCTTCTCTGCTTCACAATTCGCAGTCATCATCGACGCCGCACTCTTCGCAAAAGATCCTGCGTATTTGTTTGAAACTATTTGAGAATACAACTGTCTCGCCTTGTCGTAATCTTTCAGATTATGCATCGCCTTGGTCGCGTCGAACATCATATCGAATTCCCTCTGTTCTGTGGGATATTTACTTGCGATTCCCATTCTGCTTGGAGTAAAAAACAATGCTTGGCATTTCTCCAGACGATTATAGGATTGATTCAATTGCATTGCCAGTTCTCCAGTTCTAAACCTTTTCCCAATTTTGTCAATGACTTCTCGATTGAACCCCCTCGCTCCCCTATTCCAAACTAACAGCGCGCGTTTCGAAGTGGTATCTTCCAAACCTCCAAGTTTCTTTTCTCTTTGTAGGGTAATTTCCACTAATCTTTCGTGGTTTGTCGAAGCCGCAACTGACAGCTCCACCACACTTTTAATTATTGTATCCATCAATCCCAATTGTCCCTCACGGCCACGATTTTTATTCTTATTCTTTACTAGGACCTCTATGATTCCCCCCACCGCTTTAACTTGCGATTCCATATTCTCCCAAAATTCTTTCCCGGTCTTCGCACTTTCAGCTATTTTCGCACAAAATTTCAAAACTTGCCTCTCCATCGGCGTAGTCTCCATCTGCGATTGTATGTTCAATATACCCTGCGTCATCATCGCATCGTCATTAACGTATGGATCATGGACGGCAGGATCCAACCTATCTCTTGCCGTATAGAGGAAAGGGATACTGTTTGCACCAGAATCCGGACGGTAGATAACCCTGGTACCTTCCTTGATTGCGCGGTATTTCAAAATGCGTCCACCAAAACCGCGAACCATTAGATCCCAAAAGTCTTGAGTGTGAACATCTTCTAAATATTGGACGCCGATGGGATGAAAATCTATATATGTCTCTATAGGGGGTTCTATGAGAATGGGTTGACTCTTGGAGCCGTGAACTTTACTGGTGAAGGAAGGGTACATCGTTTCGGCAAATTGACACAGAAGACGACGGGACCGCCAATTGATTGGTTTCTTGAGGTCAATTCCTCCGAAAATCTATAGTTTTGAGAGTTTCATGTTAGCAACTCGAATAATCATCTGGAGAAAAAAGTTACAAAATATCAAGTACTAAATTGACTTACTGCCCATTGCCAGCTCCAGCCGAGCTCCGCGCTCTGCTCTGTTTCAAAATATCCTTCTCTATTATTTGTAAATACACGTATACCGAGACGATGCAGAGATTGATAATAGCCTATCGCATGCATCAGTTCGTGCGCAATCTGAAAACACATTAGTTCATGAGGAGTAGGCAGCCTTTTGCTTCAAAACAAACTTACGGTACTCGCACAGCGATATCTGATACCGGCCAACTCGGAATCTGATAAGTCTTTATATTGGAAGAAGATAGGTTCTAAAGATTCGACGTTCAGGAACATTTGGACTCGCCACTAGTTCATTAAAATTAGCAAATTTCGTAGACGCACACATGGGGACCGCCAAGCATCTTAACAAAATCTCAGATAATACGTACCTTAGCACCCGGTTTCTTCTTAATGAGCATTTCCCAAGTGTTGATTGTTGAAACTCCCAAAGAATCTCCAAATTTCTTAACTGGGTATGTTGGATCATTATTGGGTGGATCATTGTCTCTAACGTTCTGATGGCTATAGAAGTATGAACACATGAAATCCATTTCTTTCATCAATCCGCTAAAGACCCGATCTCTTTCGGCTGCAACTTCGTTTTCGCGTTCAACAGTCCATGGACCTTCTCGAGAGCTGAAGGTGTGGTATTCTTTGAGAATCTTTGTGCCCGGGGGAAATCTATCTGGATTGACGGGAGCGCGGGGTCCAAGGAGAAGGGCATCTAGCTGTTAAGCGGTCGATTTAGATTAGCTATAAGCAAGGAATAAGGTAGAAGAATTGATCATACCCATGGTAAACTTTTAGAGGATGTTATAAATTGCGAAGCAAGTGTTACTATTGGTTTGAGGACCTCCCAAACTTTATCGTTACTCGATTGCCATTTTCCACCATCGGGGTCATGTCTCTATCACTCGAAGAATTAGCGACAATGAATATTTCTGATATTTATAAGAAGAATCATTTCTAGCGAAATTTTCAATGATTGAATATGAGAAGGGCTCACAATCGGTATACTATCTGTCCTCAACCACGCATCGCTCGGTTTATCCTCCCACTTATCTCTCTGCAAGATTGGTAAAATCCCTCCAGACAACGTACTCTCCCTCAAAGGTCTATCACAAATCGCATCCAAATCCTTCAATTCTCTCGAGGTAAACATAAGCAATTCCTGTTTCTGATACGCTCCGATAATATTATGCCGATCATCCTGTCTTTCATTTTCCCAATTTACTGGGAATAGCGGATCCAGCGGCGTCAACCAACTCTTTCCCTGAGCTCTGTCTGGCGATTTAGGTCCGAATTTCCGAGCATATTCGGTATAAGGACGCGTCTGAGCGTCTCTCTCGAATTTCAGCTGGTTTTCATAGGTGGCTATTGATGCTGCCTGCATATTTCGAGATTGATATCTATCTCGGACTTCGAAGAAGCTGAAGATGCACATTTATCTTTTGAATTTAATGCGATTTTTCATTTTTGTTTTGTTGCAACAAAGAGTTGGGGTTTTAGCATTGGTGAAAGGACTAGATTTTGAATCTTTTGTTTCCGGATATGGTTCATATGTCATTGGATAGCAATCAAAGGAGGCTTTGCCGAGATAATTCTTTGAACATCGCTTGGGTTATTAAATAGAAGGAGAACTGTATTGTAGACAATAGGTGCTGGACGCAGTCCTGTTTATCGTACCATAAGGTGACTTGGAACCACACCAGATATCATTGCAACGAACAATTTTTGATTCTCCTCACGTATATTTGGCAATGATGTAGTACTTCAAGCTCAGGTGCCTGGAACTCCAATTATGTGGTGCGATGTATTGCATTCTTCGCGTGAATTACCAAAAATGGTCTTACAGAACACTTGTATAGTAGCATAATGACCGGAAAATTACAAAGCAATAAAAGAGAAACTTGCATGAGGAATAATACAGAGATCATCTTGAAGTCAAATAGATACATAGTTACCTAGGTAACGATGGGAGAGGCCAAAATAAAAGAGAGATCAAAAGTTAGAAATGCAAAGTTCAGAGTAGATCTTCACAATCACTGATAAGAACCCCTGAATTGCGGAGACACCATTTTGTTTTAAAACAGCTGGATCTTTCATTAGTCATTACTGCCCCCGTGATCAATTTGTCTCATGTCTTCGTTTCCTCCATTATTCGAATTATAGGTCAACCACCCACGCAACCATCCCACGAACTCACAATCAAGCCACTAGAGTCCCATCTCCCAACTATTCATAACTCTTGGCCTCGGTGAAAACTCTTTGCACATCAACTTTCACGCAACTTGGGTTTTGTGGTTCAGCCTCACCAACAACCCAAGCCAAAGTGGTGTAGTGGTATCCCCAGTACGTCTCACAAATGTACCACCTGTAATAAGCTTCAGTACCAAAGCTAATTGGCGTTACTGTGTCATCCTGATAGCCCTGAATGTTCAACAAATTGTCCTCGTCAAACGCTACATTCGTTGTCGAAGTTGAGCTAGGAGTGAACAATGGTACCGCAACGTTGCTAGTGGCGCTATATGAAAGTCCGAAAGGCGAAGAAAGATTGAAATTTGCACCTTGAAGCAACCACGTCAAGATACCAGTTTCGCCGATAGTAGCATTGAAGCTGCTGTCGAAGGAGGAAGTGTTGAAATTGAAGGTGGAAAAGGTAGCGTTTGGTGTGGAAATTGAAGGGCCTAGGCAAAGTCCTTCGATAGCTGCACCCTCATGACAAGGCGAAAGAGTGGCGCCGTTCAGGCTATCGTCTGAGGAGATAAGTGCAAGGTAAAATGGGGCGGATTGATTTGTGTACTGTGCCGTAACTTGAGTAGCTGCAGCCAGAAGGCCGGCGAGGACAAATGAGGTGCGCATCTTAAATTTTGATATTCGAATGTGTGAACCAATTTTATATCTAGAAATGCAATCTGGTATCGATCGATTGAACCAATGGTATCAAATCCTGGATGTAGGGATTGATTATGTTGGAGTGAATAGAATGCTAAAGATAGATGTTAATGAAGACAGCTTTTCAATGGGAAAAGCACTTCTTTTATGTAGTCATGTAGTATGTCTCCTGACAGAGGCAAAATCAATACGGAAGGCGTAGAGGTGAGATGATGACGCCAAGGAAGGATCTCGTATTCACCGCATATCCAAAAGATCTACATGATTAGCATGCACACAGAGGAGTAATATAATAAGTGGGAAGGAACAATAATGTGTGAGAAATACCTCAATCGCATGACTGAATATGACAGTAGTACGAGGTATGATCTGATGTCACCAAACACAAGCTAGACACCAAAATACCCAAAGCAGGAACGTTTTAGAGTACACAGTCTGATAGTGTACAACACGGGGGGCAGGATACAGGCGGACAAGCACGACCCACCCTGTCAACTACCCCGCATACAATACCACCTCGTATTCTTCAGTGACGAGACTATAAGACGAGACTGTAAAAACTTTACACAATATTGAATACTCATCCGTCAATGAACGAATGCTTTTTAAACCATCACGAGGTGACATAACACCACAATCTACTCTGGTATCAAACAATATGATATTTTGGCAAGTAAGAGGGTTACACGATAACATTTATAATCAAGACAAGTGAGCAATCGACAACTGACATCAGGTTAGTTGGTGAACTAACTCGTCGATGTACATATACGACAATAACAAAATGGCATTCGCCAATATATAAACAACTATTTCAAAACGCTAATGTAGATAGATACCTTTAGCGGGTATAGCTAATAATATAGGACTCATATCACCAGACTCGACCACTTTTCTTCAGTCCAAATATGCCGATATCCGTGAAGAAACTATTTAAAGATACAAAAAATACAACCCCGAGTAACAAAGTAATACATAAAACGAATAATCCACCGTAACGCTATTGATGCAAAATCAACAAAGAGTACGTAGGTAACTGCTGTAGAATGGAGTTTGTGCTGTTCAATAAGTTGTGGCATGGTTCCAAAACAACCACAAATTCTTATAGCACGTACCAAGACATTATAGAGAAAGTCGACAACAGACCTACAGCACACGGATCTGTACAGTAATACCTACATAGATAGTGGATAAATTCGCCGGGAGGTAAATTACCTAGGCCAGTTGAGTGAATACCTGCATGTATGTGATTCGGCACTTTCGACCCTTCGCAAAACCCCACTCTTAACAGCTAGCACCCACTTGATATAGTCGCGGCAGTCTTCGTCGCTAACATACCTGAGTGGACGCCCTGGTTAAATTCCACTTTTGATCTTTAATCTGATCCATGTATACAGTAGATCAGATTACCGGTATAAGGTTAAATTATCAGCTTGGCGACAGAAGATCTAATCTAATCTTTGCCCCACGTCTCTTCCTCCCCCTATTGAATGATAGGATAGATCCCATCCGAATTATGTAAAGAGTCCAAGGAAAGGAAGGATCTATCTGTCAAAAGGTCAAACTGATTTCTTAATGATTCTTTAAAAGCTGAAAAGATTCTCCGTCCAATGGCACTCAGTTCTGAGACTCAAGCTTTCAGCATGTACTGAATAGAATATGAGAGCTTAGATCCGTGTATTTGTCGTCTTGACTGATGATATGTAGAGATAGTGTTTTCATGTCGTCCTATGAGCTACTAGGAAGGTGGTTTGAAAAATATCGTTCTAGTCCCATAGTACAAATAAGGACGTTTTCCTGTTGATTGCTTCTTCTCGTGCACTCAGCGTTGCCACTGCATCAACTGTCGCCATCCAAGAGCTTGCCGGTACTTTTCACTATTACCGATTTCAAAGCCGCATGTAACAACAGCACATCCTGATCGTAGGCATCATTGCCTCATCTTATCGAGCCTTAATAAATCCACTGAAAGTGCTCCTTAGATACTCATTCGAGTATCCGACAGGCTCAAGAGCCGTCGGCTGCTCCAGGATATCAGAAAGTTAGTCTATCGTTATACCAGCCTTCATAAAGAAACACAAACATCTCCAAAGTAGGATCGACAAGGAGAACTTCATTACTAAACCGAGTTGTTCTATCCTGTGTGTTTGCTTATCTATCCTAGCTATGAGCCTTTCGCATGTCGATTATGTATTCTCTCAAGATTGAAATGCAAGGAGATTTTCGCGGAGAGTTGTTTATGTGGGTAAAGTTTCCTTGGAGTACCATGCTCTTGTCTCTGAATTATCCGTTGTTGCGTTCATTCCATGTGGGATCAAAGTTGGTAAGAGATCTCTGTGCTACAAAAGCCATGTCAGCAGTCGAAGAAGATAATTTTTATCAACAACATACACAGTTGGAACACAATCTAAAGCTTTAATTGTGGTACTCTCAGGTTGTGCAAGCATAAAAGAAACAGACTTCGCAATATCCTCCACAACAAGTGGCGGATATCCAAATATGAACTCATCCATGGCATCCTGATCATATTTGACTCTTTGAAGATGGAAATGTGTATTCACAACTCCAGGTCGTTTACCATGACACGTATATTAGTTCTAGCTGTTTCTATTCTTAAACTATTGCTGAAAGCTTTGGTACATGCTTTGTTGGCATGATAGACTGCTTCTGCTGAGAACTGAGGGTTTTCAAGACCGGTTACTGATGAAACGTTAAGGATGGTACCTTTGCTGTTGGGAATCATGCTTCGATTTAGGACAGAGTGCGTGGTATACATTGTTCCGGAAATATTGGTGGTGTTCATTTGGTCAATGAGCTCAAGAGGTAGTTCCCAGAATGCAGTGGGAGCTCCTAATGCTAGGCCGGCCTAGCCATGGGGGTACAAATCAATTCAGCCTTTCTAGTAGTTGATTGCCCTCTTATGAGCAGCACCTACATTATTGAGGAGAATATCGATTGCTCCAAATTCAGTCACAGGAGACTCAACCGCTTTATCAACATATTTGTAATTCTGAATATCAATTGCATAAATAGAAATTCTCGTGGAAGGAGTTTTTGACAAGATCTGCTCCTTAATCTTGTCCAACTTGTCCTGGTGAGTTTGTTAATTTCTCTCTACCGAGATATCGGCAAAAGGTTACTTACTTTACAACGAGAAAGTAACACTAGGTTAGCTCCGTCATTTGCAAGTCGACTGTAACCAAGTCGTGTTGCAGTCGCTTCTCCAATTCCCATGGATGGACCTGTCTGAGAGAATGGAAGTCAGAAAACACCACAGATATAATGCCACAAAGGATCCATATAATCATACCACCAAAGCTGTTTTATCTTTCAATGGGAAAGACATTATTATCTTTTGAACATTTCTCTGTACAATCAATGAAAGTGAATTAACATTGTCGTTTATCAAAGTAGCGAAACATATATGCCAACAACATGTTGACATACAGTCTCCGTGTTGCTCATTTGAATCTTGATAATAAATCGATGTTCCCAAATGAGTCATAAACATAAATCGATTCAAAATGATTGGCACGCATGAAACTCTCTCCTGGCTTTCGATGAAACTAGATGCTATCGCCGCCGGTCCACCAAAACCATCTGGGTCTAAGGAAGCTTAAGAATTGGCTTGATGATATTGAGCATTCGCTATTGGCTCATTGAAGATTTCTTTTGGTGGGCGAGGTGAGGTAGAAGTTTAAGATGATGTTTTACCAGACATTGCGAGTCGAATGATGAACTCTGTTTCGATTGGGGTTGGTTCATATCAAAGTGCTAATCGAGATGCTAGTAGTCAGTGCATGGTCATCTGGTACTCTAAATAGTGTCTACTTAGCTTACTAGTCACAATCACCTATGTTGGTTTTTTGACACCAAAGATAGTCAAATATAAGGTTGCCAAATTATGCTTTGATTGGAGATATGAGACATCTTTCGACCATGATAGTAAATGTGGTTAATTTTGTGATTGTAAAGTCATGAAGCCATCCACCTCTGTATCAATCTTAGTATAGTCGTCGCAAATTTCGACGGAGCGGAGCGACAAAATCTCTGGATGCCAATTTGCCCCTTTCTTTCACCCCTCTCAACCTTTCAATCACTTACCGAGGGCTGGTAAATGGTATGCGATTAGGTTTGGGAAAGAATATTTTGGTCAATGCCTTGGAGAAAAAGACTCCAATAGGAAAGAATGACGGGACTTTCTAAATTTTTGGGGCTTCCTGGCGCAGTTGATCTGGGATGTGAGAGATTGGATGGTGCAGTAGAAGGGACGCTGAGGGGGTTAGCTTCGAAGAGTTGGTGACAGTGTGTTACCTGATCTCTCTTTCAACACTCCACTGAGTTGATCGAACTGAGCGTGAAGATATCCTGTTTTCTCTTCGCTGAAAATTCCTTCAATACTTACCTCAATAATGAAATCCTTTTCAACGGCTACCAAGAGACCCTTGCTCTGATATCTCATAGCTACATCTACCAAAAAATCAGTGACTGTGGATTTACCACCAACAAACCCAAATTTTGAGCCTTCAACAGCTTTAAGTCTTATAGCCAACTCACGACCAATAGCCCCCAAGCGTCTCAACATCCGACTGGTGGGCGGCAACTTGGACAATGCCCATATTTCTGATAAGCCACCTAGAGGTTGAAACCCTTTCAAGGTCGACGAACCCAAATCAGACATCATACCTACCACCAGACACAATAGGAGTCAAGTACAGCTTTCTCCAAGGCTTCTGGTCTGATAAAAATCGACGCATCTCCGCCGAAACCAGCTCGACCTGTCTACGGAAGATGCGGCGGATTCAAGAACTTCTTTTCGGCGACCGATAATGTATACTTTTTTGAAAGTTTCCCAATAAAATCTTTGGCTATCGTCTTGGTCGGCCGTGTGTTCTGATACTTACTTAGGTTTTTATCACTGCTGATGGGTGGGTCAAAGCAAGAGAGTTGATGTATAAAGTGTATGGCGCAGTCATGAATATGTTCGAAGCTGTATGATGTTCTTCGTTTTGATACTGATATGATGTCTGCACTAAATAGCTGTAACGCTTTTCGATACTCTTTCATTTCTCCTATCATATTTCTCCCAATCATGCAACTAAATTTAGAGCCGGAAATTTTTTCTGCTTTGAGCTCCAAGGAGAGGTCAACATGATTAGATTTATTAGCAGGTGTACTGTGATGCCAGGAATACACCCATATTAGACGCTGTCATCGAATCGGCCATCGTACCTAGCTTAGGATATTGAAATCAAGCTGCGAACTTGTACTTTTTTGCAATTGGCAAACCAAAAGGTGTTTGAAGGAAGTCGAGAGTATGAAGGTATGATGTGGAAATGATCACGTGTTTATTCTGCCACGCTATGCCGCCTTTTAACCACGCGTTTTCCCCCTTTAATATGATCGACGTGTATACGATCATTCATACTTTTTACTGTGTATAGCAAATTGTCTGATATCGAGACATTATTTCTCTCGATTTGTACCTCGTCTTTACCCAGCTACCTAATCGCGTTTTTTAATGCATTAACCTCGTGTCGTCTTCTAACGCCGCACAGGCTTGCCAAAAGGAAAGCTTCATTGTGGAATCCAAGAAAACGCCACAAGATATAACACTATGTCTGGTATGCGCCGGGGCGCTGCCAGATTTGTCTAGTTGATAGTTCTAGAATGATGGACACGTATACTGTCGATCATCACAGTAGCTGAAAAGGAAATATATGGCCTCAATATGCTATATTTGAACATTTGAACGATTAGAGTTGATCGCCATAAACTAACGAATGTTTTGGCTAAGCTTCAAATTCGTCGGAAAAGTCGGCGGGAATGTTGCGATCCAATGAAAGTTGATATTTTGATACATTATTTGATCGGAAATATTGCATTAGGCTTCTCCAGGTCGTTTCAAACGCGTTCCGTTTTGACGACAATGATGCCATGCGCACTGACATCGCCGAGGGAGAGTAAGGGCGGAGAACGAACGGGAGTCAAAGCACTAGAAGCTTGTTTGTTGAAACGACATTCAGTAAGGTACTTGATCTATGGAGGTTTGCATGAATTCAGATCGGTCTGGATGAAGAGCTTCCGGTGTAAGGGCTTTCGAATATTCGCAAAGTTGCGATTGGAACACAAGTTTGTTCTTTCCATGTATATAAACTCGAAGATTGCACAAAATCTTTCCTTCTTTCCTCAGCCGTGCTCATACAATTAATTTCGTATTCTTTTATCTATTCATCTGCTAGTACCTTATCATTATTTCAGTCTTCATACTACATACTCCCTAAATTACATTCAATATGCGTAATCAATCCATTCTTTCCTTCGCGCTGGTCGCATTCGCCTCTACCTCCCTTGCTACCTCATCCGTGGTTGAGAGGGGTATGCCCATCGAGGACCTTCATGCTGCAATTGTTTCCGCTGGTGCAGAATTCGACCAGCTAACAGCGCGTGGCCAAGCCGAATTTGCTTCCCTCGCTGCCTCTGCAGTTGAAAGAGATGTAGAAGCGCGGGCAAACGATGCCGCCTCACTGCTTGCCCTTCTCCCAGCAGGCCATGGTTCCTCGAAACGTGAGCCAGAAGAGGAATCCAAAAGAGCCGATTCCGCCGCTGGTCTTCTTGCTCTCCTTCCAGCAGGACACGGTTCTGGCAAGAGAGCTGACAGTGCAGCTGGCCTTCTTGCTCTCCTTCCAGCAGGACACGGTTCTGGCAAGAGAGCTGACAGTGCAGCTGGCCTTCTTGCTCTCCTTCCAGCAGGTCATGGTGCCGACAAGAGAGCTGATAGTGCAGCAGGCCTTCTCGCTCTTCTTCCAGCTGGCCATGAGAAGCGTGAACCATCTGAAGAGGAGGTTAAGAGGGCTGAGAATGCCGCTAGTCTTTTAGCTCTCCTTCCAGCAGGACACGGCTCCGACAAGAGAGCCGAAACTGCCGCTGGCCTTCTTGCTCTCCTTCCAGCAGGCCATGGCTCTGATAAGAGAGATAACGCAGCTTCTCTTCTCGCATTACTTCCTGCTGGTCATGGTTCCGACAAACGAGAGCCATCTGAAGAGGAGGTCAAGAGGGCTGAAAGTGCCGCAGGCCTTCTTGCTCTTCTTCCAGCAGGGCATGGCTCTGGTTAGATTCGATGGTTTAAATGTGGAGGATAAGAGACGATGACTAGTATGAGTCAACACAATTCGGACGATTCATATTGAGCTCAGGGATTAGAATACTGCTGGATACGGTTTTATAGATAATGCGCTCCTTTACAGCTCAAATACTTAATCAAATTTTTACAATGCAAACACTCGTTGACCGTAAAGTTGCTAGCAATCGATGGCATCACATAGAGTCACTTGGAATTATATGGAGATATCTGATAGCTAGCTCCATGTGACTTAAAAATGTAATAAGAAAAATCCTGCAATATGTTCTGAGGATCTCAATTCACATTCCTAGATGTCACTTCTTCCTTTCTATGATTTGATTTCTTTCCCTCCATTAGTTCAAAAGTTCCATTATATGTTGTGCTTTCAGTTCATCCATGCTTTCTAAGTATCAAAAGTCTGTCCAAGCCAGCCTTCCCGCACTTCGCTAGATAATTCTTCGATTTATTCCCAGTCCATCACAATGACATCACAATTGAATAAAACCTTTTAGTGCAAGGTCTCTCATAGTCACAATTGACTTTAGCTTCATGAGCTTCTCCGATATCATTTTTGATAAGACGTGATAGTCTATGCTGGCTGATAAGCTTCTACGCTATAGTGCTTTTATTTGCTCATAATGTTACAACAACACTCTCAAATACATCGACCATAAGTAAGCTATTTCATTCTCGCTGAACTTCTAATTATTCATATTATACCAATTTAGTAGCAATCGTCGAAAGCTTCATGATCATTATCTACCAACCCCGATATCTTCTACCGAGGTTATAAAGTGAGCTTATTAGATACTAAACACCGAGTCTTGTCTTAAATCAGGAATTGAGCGATGTTTTACCACTAATCAGCCACATTCTCCCTCAAAAATCAGGAGTTGCATCGGTCTTCAAGCGTAGTTTCGCTTTTCTTGGTGGCGGCAAAAATTGCAATGTCTCTCATTCGAGGGTTTGCACTTCTCGTTAGAAATATCATAGTCGCCGTCGATGACTCGGATTGATGTGGTAATCACCTTGATGTACTATTATTATTCATTCTAGAATCTTCAACCTATCACGGGTCAAGGGTCGAGACCCTATACACATTGTAAATAATATCTATCACTACTTCCGACTCATCCACCGCCTGCTATAGTTATTTATGATTTATGTATAACTGTCCATTAACATTTATGCAAATCAGTTTCATCCAGTTTACAATAGCAGGAAAATAATTAAGACGAAATCGATGTCTTTGGACCTGGATAAAGATCATTTTAAGTTTCCTTGAGCTTTCCTAGATATTTCGTTCAAGACATCACTTCTCTCAAATCTAGAGAACAAGAAGCAGAATTACTGGATTCTCATATAAAGTCATTTTGTTGTCAGGAAATATGTAAGAAATATTTTATCTATACGATAAGTGATAAAATAGTCCAAAGATAAATTACAATATAATAAGATTCCCTCCATCCTTCAAAATGGCATCAAAAATCAGAGAAAATATACGTCCGTCCTCGATAATCATACAGTACACCAAACCGTACCCCTCAACAAAACTTTTCGTATCATCTCCAACGCCCGTCCAAATGTCCACATACTCGGACCTCCATCGCAATCAACCTCCCATCTAAGGAGGGGTGCAGATAACTCCATCGCCTATGAGAGGAGTTTTACAACATGATGAGTCTTGACCTTGAGCAGCGCAGTATGCTCGGAATTCTTGTTTGTTGCGAGGAGTAATGCCAGCTTTGAATTTAGTTAGCGCTTGTATGCATAAGTTTGGTGTAGGGTTAAGGTTAAGATAAAACATACGAGTTGTGCAGGTCTGGTTAATGACACCGGCAATAGTGGTTTGACAGCACAAGGCTGTGTCAATAGCGGAAGTGCAGAGGTGTTCTTGCATCGTCGAATTTTGACGGGGTTCGATAGGAGATGCAGCTGCGATAGCGCTGAGGATGGCAATGAGTGTGGTGGTTGTGAATTGCATTTTGACGGTTTTTGTTTGAATTTATTGGGTTAGTTTGTAAAGAACGTAGGATATTGGTAAAGGAATGTAATGAATGTAATGAATGTAGAGAAGATGAGATGATGGATGATGGGCAGGAATAGGATACATACTTATAGGTTTTTGCCATTGTCAACGAGGACCATCGATAAGTCACTTACATGATTCCAATTGATCTTAGAGGTCTCCTGTCTCTGAAATCGATACTATACCTAAGGAAACCTCAATTTCCTGCATCAAGTCATCGAATCCAAAACATACTAAACTCTTCTCGATTAAGGTTAATCGGTATGAATTAAGGTTATCTCTTGTTTCCTAGGCCAAGACGGAAGAATCAGGAGAAATTCCCAATACTCTATCCACTTTCACAGTCCATGCAATCAGATATGCAGACCTTGTTCCATAATGGTGAGAGTATGATTTGTGATTTGGTAAGTTTGATATGGTACGGAGATAGACACGTTGATAAGTCGCAGTTTGGAGGATCTTCAGGAACTAACAAAGCTTGCTAGATCGTTGAACGGGAATATAAATTATCCACCCCACAAGATCGGCTATTTATCCGAGGTTGATTGGCAAGGATTCAAATAAGCATAGGTGCCCAGCCTTGAGGGTCCAAGCTACTAACAGTTAAGTTAATGCGGCTGATAACACTACTTTAAAGTATTGCCCCTGAACTTGAAGAAGCTTACAGAATGACCCTCCATGAAGAAGCATGCGCCATTCATTTGGCTCCATAAAATATACGCGATGATATAAATAGAGATAATGTGGTTTAACACTGAGTGCACTATATCACCGAATACACCACTTTTACCTCAATTTGTATTCTTCAACTTCAATATGCGATTTATCAATTATTTATTATGTAATCAAATAGAAAAGAAGCTCAAATACTTTTAACTATCAAAACTATTCAAAAAAATAAGAAACTTAATATTTAAAAAGCTATTAAACTATATAATATAATACATATAATATTTCTTTGTAAAATGAATAATTTACTTCTTTATATGGAAATTCAAGTAAATAGTTATAAAATGATTGATTTAGAAGAGGAGGTACTTATTCAATATATAATTGATATAAATAATAAAGAATTCTTATTTAAATTAAATAGTGTAGAAGATATAATGAATTATATTTTTCAATTACAAGGAGTAAAAGAGATTGGAAAGCTTTAGGCTTATTAATTCGTAAAATATTATATGAAATTAAAAATACATTTTAATTATATTTATGATTTCTAAAAAGCTTTTTGCAAAGATTCTAAGCTTATTGAAGACTGGTTTTGTATAATTTCGAATATATGAGCGAAATATGGTATTCTTGATTAAAATTTCTACAACTTTGACAAAACCGGCTTTATAATGGGCATAATATGCCCCGGAATGATTATAACTAATACTAAACAAAATGACAAAAGAAAAACAATATAATTAGACAATCAAAAATGAACAACAGCAATCATATATAACAATAATAAGGGGAATACTATACCTTCATTTTTAATAATTTAAGAATAAATACATCTTTCTAATTAATATATCGAAACCGATTTTCCTGTGGATTAGACTATTAAACCTACATTTAATGAATGGATGAACAATAAGACAGAATTAGAATAACTGAAATACTTCAATAAACATATAAGAAATCGAACTAAGGGCAAAGATAGAATGCTAGTACTGAATAAACATAAGAATTACGAATCAATACTATTCCAGAACTATTACAAGGAGAATAATATTAAATGTATATATTTACTATTACATTTAAGTCATTTAATTCAACCTCTTAATATTAAATATTTTAATATCTTAAAATGAGAATATAATACTCAAATTGAAAGGTTTATAAAAGTATATATTTATTATATCTTAAAGATTGAATTCTTTATAGTTTTTAAAACTATATATTAATGATTAATTATGAATCAGAATATAAAAACTGAATTTCAAGGAGTAGGATTAATTCTATTTAATTCTGAAGTAATATTTTCTAAATTGAATATTTGAATTCATATATTTATTCTCTTTCCTTTTGATTTAGATCTTTGAATCTCTTAAATACCTTAGAATCCTATAGAAGCTCTTTTTTAATTAATATTAGTTAAATCTTGAATAACCTGTTATCAATCAAGCTCCCCTATATTTATATTCGAAACTGTATTAGCTCTAATTAAAGATATAAAGAGATTAGTTTATAAGAATATACTTTTGAATGTAGAGATTTATATATTTTGGAAAGCAAATAAGACATTAAACAAGCATCGACACACAAAAAAAACTTAATTATGTTAAAGAGGAATGCTTATTAAACAAAAGGCTCTTAATATATTATCTTAGTAAAAGGTTGATATTCAGATTCAATATGACAAGCATCAAAACAAGAGTAATCCTAATGGGGAAGTATTTTTTAATAGATACTATAATAAATATGGAAAATCAGATTATAATTCAAGAACTTATCAAAATAATATAATAGATCCTAAATTATTAGATTCTTAATAATTTCAATTACTTAATTCAATTATTATTGAAAAATATAAATTAAAAAGTGTAAATTGAGGTAAAAGTGGTGTATTTGGTGATATGGTGCACTCAGTGTTAAACCACGTTACCATGTTGATTTACCAGCATCTCGGAGGTTCATAGATGGCGGGTATTGTGTTCCTACAAGTTAATATACCAACATACCTGGGAACAGGCGCAGCTTCAATACACGACACGCCATAACTAGCATCTGTCCCAATGGTTTAAGAATCTAGATTCCATCAGTACTTTAGTATTCCAATATTGTTGTGAGAGGCCGAGCAAGGGGTGTAGGTAAGTGCCAAGCCAGAAAGGATGAATAGTGTTGAGGGGCTTCAAAAGATCACTGGTCGGAAGCATGTAACTCGGGCTTCAGTCAATCCCCAATCCAATAAATACCGGTGAAGTGAGACCACGGATTCTCGACCAACAGAAAGCTCAGATACCGCCTAGGGGCAGAAATAGCGATTTCAAATTGAGCCGGCAATTGGTACCATTAGAGTAGAACCACAGAACTCCTCAGATTGCGGGAGAATATTTCGTTGACCTGATCGCTCATCTGATGTTATACTTCTGAGAATAAACGATAGACTCTCTAAAATCAGCTCTATGAAAGCAACTTAACTTGAATGAGTTCGCTTGGCATTGCCTTTCCATTACCTCACAGATATCAATAAGTACAAGGTCCTACTAGCAATAAGAACAGCATGAGTAGAACGGTTGTAGGTTAGTCGCCGGAAACACCTTTCCGGAAACGAGTACTGGAGAGATAAAAGAAAGAACTTTCCCACTCTAAAGCATACGCTTCCTGACTGCAGAGGATTCTTGAGAGGTCTATGGGAGCATCCTCTTTGTTTCTCTCGTGATCAAGAGTATGTAACATCCTAATATGAAGAACTCGGAAAGTTGTGCTTTGCAGCCTATAATTACATACGGCAGCAGGATATATCCATTACCTTTGGCAAAGATAAGAAGGCGAAAGTGAATGAACCAGCGATCGTCCAAAACTATTCCCTCGAAGGCGAGTGTATAGAGAAATGAGTTTTGTGGCGTCAGGACATCTTTGAGAGATTCCGAGTCTTTATAATAGCCCCAATGTAACTTTCTATAGGTTTCTTTCTGAGTTATAGATAATGGTGCTAATCCGTGAAGTTAGGTAGGATAATGTTCGACTTCATTATGGCTCATCCCATGTCGCATTGAGTGTTAGCCGTGTAGTCGTGAAACGCGGGCTATCATTTAGAACGGCCTTTAGCAAATATCGCTCCCCTTGAAGTGCAAGTGTGCCGTGTAACGAATGCTCTTCCGTAACTGTAGATTTGGAGGTCTGGCGTTTGATTTCGAAGCGGAATTGGCTATTTGGACACTGAAGTTGACCTTCCAGGCCCGCGGTCGCTGAACATCAGATATGTGAATCTCATCTGGTCGCCCGAGATAACTTTCAGAGAATAATCCAAAAAACTCTCCATTTGGTCTTCAGCTCAACACAACCGTTGGAAATACATAGCACGAGTTCAAGATGTACATCGTTCAATGGAAGGAATGGGTCATAGTTACGAGTTTGTGGATTGTTTATGTTTGCAGAGTGGAACATGGTGCCACCACAGGCCTACGCTTATTTTTCTTCAGCCTTGCCAAGCCTAAAGGCTTACAACGACATCTCTTCCACAAGATTTAATAGCCAGAACTTGTGCACATCTCCGCTTCTGTCCTGCCAACATAGGATCGATCGCGGATTTAATGTAACAAGAATGGAATATGTTTCTATATTGATCAAGAATTTGCGATCCTAACTATGTGGATCGACAGGTTGGCCATTCCGTATGCCTTCAGAATATTTGCCATTCATTGATCTCTAACTCTCATTCTTCGAGCATCACTGTCCCATCTTTCAAACATCCCCATAATTTCGCATCCAATAGTCAATCGGTCGATTCACTATTCAAGTATGAGCAATGCATCCGTTCTGTGGGCAACATATATTCTACAGACCTTGCCAGTCATTCGTACCCTCTGTCGTGGAGTTATGGCAAATCTGGTTACTCTGTGTGCAGACCTGTGAATGCAGGACATCTCCGGTCTGGTATGCGCAAGTATCGATTCTACCCTGCATTCTACAACCTATTCCATGGCCTTGTCATCAACTTTCATATTCATCGGTATGAGGGCTGAAGAGTATGTAGAGGCAAGATCAACGGGGTAGATTGGCGGCTGGGCTTCAGTCCTGGTGCGACATAGGTTGCATCGTACAAGACAGGAGCATTTCTCTTGATGTGATTATCTCAATCCGAGGTTACCATCAGCATGGTTCTATTCGTCGCTCAGATAGGATTTGGATTGGACTATTATCACTATTGTTGTCTCAGACCATGTGTTTGTTAAGGCTCGTGAAATATCACTCCAAAGACTTGGCTAGTTGGCTATATCAGCAAATCACTTATAATATCGGGATATTTGTTTATGAGTAATTTTAGTACCATCCTGGAGTAGAGGGTTATCTATCCTTCATTTTCCTCAGATGTCCTGGGCCACTTCGATTTTCTCAACGTCATTGGCTATTAGCTGTGATCATTTGTCAATCATATAACTATTTATGTTGGTTGCATAATACAAGCTTTGAAGCAAAATTACCTTCTCTTCACAAACCTATTTTGTGGCTCACCGGAAAATGAAGGTCTTGGGTTCTTATTTCTCAGCCTTGATTGGCAATGTATTGCTTCCTTGAAGTCACCACTACGGGTTCTTCTACACACCCTTACTAATACTTTGATCGGATATCGTCTTTGCGTTGTTCTTCTCATTGCTGCAGATTATGGGAACGTGTGGCAATCACAAAGTTTTCCCTTCCTTGCACAATACCTCTTGGACAATAGTTCCAACTCTATAGCTCATCCTCAGTATAGTCTCTCTTTGATGCTGGATGCAAAGAATAATATCAGTCAAGCTGGTTTGACTGGTGATAGCATCCCGTACCTGGCTGGAACATATATCACGCATCTGATCACAACCAATATGAGCTAGACTACAATAGTAGTACATACATTTCTTTGGGATTACTATGATGTCAAAGCAGGATGGTATTACTCTCGTCCAACAACTTTGAGAAAGTTCTCCAACCGTCTTTCCGGTCATCTTGAGAGAATAAGAGATCGAAGGAAGAACACAAGAGAGAAGTTCTTGCAAATTCTGATATGGTCCACGGTCCATCGCAGGCGATATGTTTCTATCGGGGCTCGCTACCAACGGACAAAAATCACTTACTTCCTCGGATTCAAAGTACCAATTCCTTTGTGGATCTTCTACGAGAGAACTCGGCTTGAGTTTTTCAATTACATAAACCTTTCTATCATTCTGTGATATATGGTTTGCATTTTGTCGGCCTGAATTCGACCATCACTTCCTATTTCATTCTTGGTTTTTCGCACAGTATTTTCTACGTAAATCTCGCGCAAGTGATTTTGTCAAGTGGAAATATTTGCTTAACCCTGCGTTGGATGGAAGTACACAAGTCATGGTTTTCGTATTGAGTTTTGCGGTTTCGGGAGAAGGTGGAAGGGCGCATGATTTTCCGCCTGGCGAGAGAATAATGGAGGGCTTGCGGAGAGTATGAATATGTATTACTGAATGTAGAATTTTTTGAATGGATGAGGTGAACTAGAGGGTTAAATTCACGTGGTACTACCGTATCCACGGCAGATACTCTATCCCGTGATTTCTATTTGGGACTAGGTACCTTTTTTTTTTTTTTGCTCATTCAAGTATAAATCTACCTATCTAGCGCAAATCAGAACGTCATTTTGTTCAAATGTTGATCGTTGAATTCTTCGATTCAAGCTTCCTGATGTTCTCGTGTTTTTGTTGACGTATGTTTCACTATTGTGTAACCTCATTGCTTGGCGATCATCACTTGACAGCGACACGCGAAGCTTAGTTAATCATCACCTCAGATATAAGTTACACTAGTACATCAATATACTAAACTTTATTAAGAGAGTTTCATATGCTTTTGATGTGCATCTGATGTACAGGGCAGAATAAAAAGAAGGTATATATATTCACTAATACTTATTCCCCCCATTTCTCCTCCTTTCTACAACCCATACTTGACATTCTAACAAGTCCTTTACTGAAGACTCAGACCCTAATCCACTCAACAATGTATCATTCTCAGCTTTCTATCACCGCTTTTCTGACCTTCCTCGCTCTCCCCCTCTCTGTCTCTTCCCAAACAGTCTACCTAATTCGCCATGGAGAAAAACCTTCAGATGGCAGCAATGGTCTCAGTGCTCTAGGTCTCGAGAGAGCACAATGTCTTCGCACTGTCTTTGGCAATGATAGTGTTTATGATATTAAGTATATCATGGCTATGAGACCTAAGAAAAGTAGGTTTTCCCTTTTCCTCTCACTTTCTCCGTTATGATATATTTGCTTCCTTGGAAACTATCAGATATCTAACCCGTGTATATCAGATGGAGAACGCACGCGTCCACGAGATACAGTGCAACCCCTAGCCACAGATCTTGATATCACAGTTGATATTTCATGCGACAGAGATGATGCAGATTGTGTAGCTAATGTTGTAAATCAATATGAAGGGGAAGGAAACATATTGATCAGCTGGCAACACGGTGCGCTGACCGATATTGTTAAGGCTTTGGGTGATGAGAATGCCCCCAAATGGAAGAAACATGCGTGAGTTTCTCTCTTTTCTTTTTTTCCTGAGTCAGATCATTTGGTTGAGGGAGGGATGAGACTATTTTTTTTCCACGGGAATCATAACTAATTTCATGTAGGTACGATACCATCTGGACAGATCCAAAACCATATACCGGTCTTACCGAGATGACATCCGAGAACTGTCCTGGATTAGATGATAATCAGAAGTGGACATGAAAGAATACAAAATCGTGCTAGATCGAGTATTAGATGAGAATACAAATTGCGTTTTGGGCGGTTGGTTATGAGGAATGACATTTTATAGAGGAGAAGAAGGTTGGATTTAGAGAGGGATTAGATTATATAATTAGGGGTGTGATTGAATTAGAGTTGCGAAATGACTGTCAAGATTGTTAGAAGCACGCACGTGCTTAGTCTGGCGTATTCTTATTACATCCTCTTTTGTATGCTAGTATAGTTGCACATAGGATTCGGAATAATTTTTAATGACTTTATAGTTGATGCTTAAGAAACACTCATTTCTAAAATTCTCCTCATTTTTACGGGTTTGGTGTTCGGATTTTTCATCTGCCGCGAGTCGGCACATTGAGAGTGGAACAATGGGCGGGATCTCCTGATCGCCAATTAAACATCAATATAGGATAACTCAAGGCGGAGCAAAGTGGAGTCCGCGGGAGATTTCGTCCATGCACGTGATTATGATGCTTCATTTATTTAAATTCGGCTGGTGTGTTTCACATATACTGTTTTGATATACGTAGAATGGTTTAATCTCTTAACCATAAGAAAGCTGCACTTCGTTATTGGAGAGTCAGATGAAAAGAAGGGATAAGCGATGCTTTACATCTATGGTATGATCTTATCGAATGGTCTGGTCTTTAAATTGTTGGTGTCGACAGGCCATTCTGAAGATCTCGTCGGTGGGTAGGTAAGGCTTGCATGTATGGATCTTGACCGTGAGGGATTGCTGGTGATTCGAGGTAGGGTTAACTACAAGGAAGTGTAGTATAAGGAGATTTGAACGGTACTTGGCTCTTGAGTGAGTGGACAAGAGCTTCTTTTCTCTTTTCTTGAAGACCTCGGAATTCTTTAATTTGTCGTTCACTCCTTTTGCTCACTCGCTCTGGAAGTTCTTTTTCCTGACATTCTTTTGATCGAACTTTGAAAGTTCAAATCCACTCACTTACTATCCACGCTCTTTTATTTCCATTCTCCGATCTCTTCCCTACCCATTTAGGCCATCAAATTCACCATCGCAAAATGATCGTCCAAATTCGCAACGCCGCAGCTCTGGTAGCTCTCACATCTACCGCCAGCGTTCTGGCTCGTCCTCATTTCAGTACCCGAGCCACTCAACCATCAACCGATCTTTGCGGCGACTATGATTATCTCATTTTGAACAATTCGCCATGGATTGTGTATAACATGTTGTATAATGCAAATCAGATCGTGGGAAGTCAGTGTACATATTATGATAGTATGATTACAGGTAGTGATGGGACTGCCGAAGTGAAGTGGAACAGTCAGACGGATATTACTTATGTTGAAAGCACGTATGTAATTGAAACAATATCTCAAATTATGAATTTCAAATTAATGTCAAAGTCCAGAAACAACGTTCCCAAAGGATATTCTTTCGTAGGCCTGACGCAAAACTTGGAAACCCCTCTCACAGGCATCGCTTCTATTCCTACAACCTACACCTGGACACGCTTGAACACAACCGCCTTCAAAGGAAACGTGTGCTACGATTTCATGACCAACGATGTTAAAGGTGACTCTACATCGAGCTCCTCCCAGGAACTCATGCTCTGGCTCCAGTACGAAGGCGGACAATTACCTATTGGGTGGGCTGGTGGAAGCGTAGCTACCATTGACAATCTATTTGGTACAAGCTGGGATTTGTATCAGGGTGTTAATGATGATACTGGTATTACGGTTAGCAGTATGTTGCCTAAAACTCAGTTTGAGGGAACCTTTGAGGGCGATTTGAGAGAGTGGTTGGTTGCGCTTGTGGGACAAGGTCTCTTTACTGAGAGTACGTACGTTAATGTTGGAAATGCTGGGTGAGTTTTCCCTTCTTTTTTTTTTTGCTTTCTTGGATAACTATTTCACAGCTATTTTGTTGGATTTGCATTGGGGATGAATGATATCATACTGACAAAAAGAAAGTACCGAATTCTTCTACGGAAACGCAATTATGAATGCAACCCTTGGTCTCCAAATTGATCTTGGTATAGCCACCTCTGCAGCGCTAAAGTAGCAGCTGTTTCTTCAGCATCTCCAAGTGCAAGCCAAATCGCTTCTACTTCCGCGGCAATTGTTCCATCCACTAGCTCACCGGCCGTTGCTATTACTACCTCCGCTTCATTTGCACAAGCACCAACCAGCACGTCCTTCATTGCGGCTGTATCTACATCAGCAAAATCAAGCTCAAAATCTCAACATGTAGCTACTCCTTCAGCGCCAGTTGTTCAGGGATCTACCATCGCTTCTACCTCTGTAGCAATATCTACCAGTATAGCTGCTAGCTCGGTTGCTGGTCTTGAGACCTCTGTTTCCAGTGCTGCTGTTGCTGCCCCAACTTCGGCTGATGAAGGAGATGATGATGAGTGCGAGATAAGTGTGTGCTTAGTTTAGACGATTCGACTAGGTTGGGCAAGTGAAACAAAAAGAAAGGATAAAGGAAGAAAGATAAGATGAGTAACTTATTTCTTGTACATAATATACTATACATATTTTTAGACGATCATATTGGCCAGCACTTTTGCTTTTGCAAGAAAAAGAGAAGAGTAGGAGGATCAGTGACAACAATAAGAATCCTAACAAATAGACAAACAACAAACTACGATGGCCGGATTCCTTCTCACCGTCCATGAAGTTGAGAGAGAAATGCTTTCGGTGGGTTTCCTCCATAACTCCTCCATATCCTGCGTATGTATCCCTTTCTCTACCCCGTGCCTTTCCTTCTCCTTCCATTTCATACAGCCCAATTCTGATTGAATACTCAAGAAAGCAATGTTGGCAAACGGTATTACCCAGAAGATAAGAAGGAGAGAAGGAAAGAAGTAGAACCATCTACCACAATTCCCTAATAAATACAAAGTAGGCCACAAACACAACCTCACGAACAAATCCTTAAATCAGTCGCACCACAATAATAACAATACTCTTGATTTAGTTGAGAACCAAAAACTAACATAACCACACAATCCAAAGACATCAAAGCGAACAGAATAGTAAGTTGCATCCCCACGGACTGCCAGCCCGATACTCCAAATTAGAGTAAGCATTAATGGGCATGCCAAGAATGCCAAGAGTATGGGGTGCTGCACATGATGAAGAAGTACCGGAATGCGGGGTATTCTTGCCGGAGGATGGGGATGCTGGGGTGGGAATTTTGTATGGAATTATGGGGTATGAGTGGTGGGTGATGGGCTTTGTGATTAGGGTGTGAAATGGTGAGAAAGTGAGGAGATTAGGTGGTAGAGTTATGTGGCAATGTCGTGATCACTGTATCTTAGATGTAGGGGGAGTAGAGTGTCAATAGAAAGGACAAGTATAGTGTAAATGATAGGTTCGATTTCTATTCTTCTCTCACAAACTACCAAATCCATCTCCTTCCTACCATCCCTCAATAAAACAATATCTCCCTCGCAATCACATCCAACCAACACCTCCCCCATTCTTCATCACGAAGGCAAACATTGACCTAACAAATAATTAGCCATCTCATCCCCAATCCCCACCACAAAAAGAAAAGAAAAACTCACTATAAAAGCCACTACTAACAACACACTTACTCCCACTCGCACATGCCGTCGCACCCGTCCACCCCTGCCCCCCACACTGCGCATAAATGGCCGCGATTCCCGTCCCCGCCGCCACCGCACTACTACTCGTCTTCGAAACCGTGCTCGTACTCAGCGTCAATTTCGCAGTCGAAGTTGCAACAGAAGTAGAGGTAGACGAACTCTTCGCAGTACTCTGCGCAGCACCACAGACAAATGGCGTCGGTCCCGGAATCGTGTACGTGGTAAGTGTTTGATAGATATTAATCAGGATTCCGGGATCACTCTGTCCATATGCACCGGGGAAGGAAACGGTGCTTGGAGATGCGGTTCCGGTTCCGCCAGAGACGTTGATTTGTGCGCATTCCATGTACAATTGTGCGCCTAGGCTTCCTCCTGCAGAGTGAAGCGCGATCAATTCTGCGCGGAGTAGATATTGGCCGTTGGCTATGCAACTTGGGATAGTGATAGGTTGTACGCCTGCGTTGTTGATGAGATCTGTGGTTGCCCATTTTTGGGTGGCGACGTTGAGACCTTGCTCGGAGATTTTGAACCAGCCGGAGCCGTAGCCCACGTCGGTGGTTGCGTCGGAGACTTTTTTCATGTAGGCCATGACGGGGCCAAGGTGAGATGGGTCGAGGACATACGTTGCGTCGTTTGCGGGTGTGCTGTCGAGTGTGTGGCGCCAGATGGCGTTTACGGTGCTGCCGGCAACGACATTTATGATGTTTGAGGAGGGGGTGGTGGGGTTGGGTCCACCGTTACAGGCGACATATTCGGTTGTTACGTCGTTTATGGGCTTGAGATGTTAGGAATGATTGTTTGATGTGGAATGGAGACTTACTCCGTCGTATGTTGGGGTTCGGATGGCATAGCTGGTATCTATTTGCTGTGAGTGAGGTATTTGTTAAAGAGAAGATGAGAGACAAACTGTAAAGTGTGTCGCCTGATTGCAATCTCATGAATATCGTATGTGCAGAGACATACGATAGAAGAAATGAAAAGGGTATGAGAAGTTGGAACTTCATGATTGGATTGATTTATTGAAAATTTACCGTGTGTAGACTGATTCTGGACACAAGTTTCTGCAGAATGAGAAAAGTAGATACTTGATATATATGCATTAAAAGGGAGTTCTAGCCACGTGGTTTTGTGAATGTAGCTTTCACCACTGCCCGAAGTCCCCGGATAAGACGTGACAGTTAACATGGTGGTCACCAAGTTACCAAATTATTCCCCCAAAATTCTCAGGGAATTCCTTGGCGGTCTAGGTTTCCAACCATAGAAATGTAGACATCAAACGACTTTCTGCAATAAGAACAACATCGTCAACTCTGGATTTCTTGACCGTGCCAATGACAATACCCAGTAGTCGAGAATCAGCAGAATATCTCCATGCAAAGGGCATAATATTGGGTAAGAAGTCAGTTACTCCAATATAATTTCATTTATTTTCTGCCATGTGAACATATATTCGGCTGAAATAATAATGATTCCGTCTTGATATATGATGCTAACTTTAAATGAAAGCGCCTAGTTGGCCAGTAATTGGCCATTTGTCTGAAGAAAGCTTGATGGGGGTATATGTCAAGATCTTAGCGGGAGGGAATGATATTATAGATCGATGAGCTAGGGAATCTTGACACGACACTTGTCGGAAGAATAGATGGGAAAATAGAAGGATAAATAGCCCAACATGGGAGCTAAGCGATGGCATACACGTGATACCTAGACAGCCTGTTTTGCACTTGCACAATGATTGACAAAACTCGAGATCGTGAGTAGATGTCATCTCAATCGTAAAGAATATTGCGCTTAAATAAAAAGTAGATATGGTATAATATTGATCAAAATATTGCTGTGTTTTTATCCTCCTATATTCCATAGGTTGTCCCTATACTGCTTATGTCCAATGGTTGAATCACCATTAACTCCACCAAAAACGAGCTAAGATGATCGATCTTTCAGTACTGTATCCGACAAAAGAAACTCGAGCGCGCCGCGCATTTTCCCCCATCCTTGGGTCATACCTGACCATGAAACAGAAATATTCCAGCCCTCAATTCGGCCTGACTAACAAATGAAATCTTTAATCCATCCTAATTTTTTCTGTAACATTTTCCTTCTCTACACCCCGCCCAGTCCAATATATTCATCATTCATCATAGCCACTTTCTTTGGATCTACTCCATCTTCAAAAACATTCGCTGCGTGTACAACATGAAACATACATTGCACAGCAAACATCGGTGCTGTATCCAAGATGTACATGAAATACTCATGACTCATCAGTGTCCCTGTCGATCCTTGTGAGAACTCAATGACTCTGTATACACATCTAGCAATGATCAAGCCCGCAGCTACGAACAAGAGCATGAGCAATTGATGCCAATGTTTTTTCCCACGAGCTGGAATATCGAAAGCTCTTGGATGCGAGCGCATGCGACGTTCGAAAGTAATGGCGATAACGAGGAAGATATTGAAGAAAAAAAGTTGTGCGAGAAGGCCGCCAATCATTACTTTTTCGCCAAGTGAACTCGTGCTGGGCGTTGCCATCATACCACCTCCGCCAGCTTGCATCAGGAAAGAGATGACATCTCCACCGACGAAAAGTTTGGTGACCTTTTTGGGAGAGATGAGGGATGCAGATGGTGCATTGACGAATAAGACGATACGGCCGTATATCATGTAAATAGTTGCTGCGTAGAGAGAAGGTGGAAGGATAATGAAGAGAGATTGAAGAGAGTAGAGCAATATGGAGGAAGTATTGTTTGCTGATAAATGCCGGAAGACATAACCGGAAGTCATCACTGAGTTCATAGATTAGAATTGGTTCATTGGAAAGCAACAGAAGATTACACGGGAAACTTACTGACACCTCCGGCTACCATGGCTGAGTAAAAGTAGGTTTTCTTTTGAATCATGATAAAGAGATGGTATATTGTACTCAATCCAAACAATGCAGCGGCAACCAGTGCAGTGGATGCACTAGGTGCATAGGCGTAAAGGTCCATTCTGAAGATTCAATGAAGCTGATTGATCGATGAGACCAGATGTGTAAAGCACCAAGGAGGGTATCACGAATAGGAAACGACAGAAGAAATACTAGCTCAGGATCGTAAGATCGTAAGATTGCAAGTGAAAAGGGAAAAAGGGTGATGAATGTGTTTGCAGATAAAGAAAGTATTGAAGAAGATAAAGACTGTTGTTCGTGGTGGGAGTATAATCATAATATGTACTCAAATAGTACACGCTCCCAAGGAGCACTAGCTCTTTCCAATGACTATCTATTGCTACAGCAATTTGCATGTTGCGGCCATCGTAGATCGTATTCGTGCCGTCTATTGAGGCGCATGCAAATAATGATTCCCACATCACACTCATCCTTACTTAAGTTGATACCGCTAGAAACCCCTGAGAAGATCCATGAACACGGCCGTTGAAGCCCAAAATAGAGCACCGATGGATACCTCTAGGCTTAGTCAACTGCGAAAAGTTCAGCCAGCATTGAATGCGTCAAGATCGTTGGTAGATAATCTTCGGCAGTGGAGAGGGATGGAGCACGACGGATGAATCAAGATGATGGAATTACGTTGAATACGCCGAAATAATGAAACGAGATTGAAACTTGGGAACGTGCTTCGAGTAAAGTTAGGGGCCTTTCCTAAAGGGTCCGTATTGACAGAAAAAAAGCGAAGAAGAGATGAAGAATCCACTTTTTATCCTCCAATGGCGCCGGTAAATACTGCTTCGTTCTAGTTGTGGTGCGAGATGCGAGATGCGAGGATAGATACGAGATACGAGATGAAATGGAATGGAATGCGACAGAATCTGAGGAGATGCTGATACTGATACTGATGGTACAGTAAAACCTCTCTGTAAGGATCTCCCCTATACCCTATGAGAAATAACCTCTATTATCCTTTATCCTTGGTATTTCTTTTGGTCTCAGGATTTTTAGATCGAAGAACAATCCATATTCTTGAGATTTTCTTTATTAGGGATAAGTTAGTTAACTTATGGATTCCCATGTTTTTCAGTCTCATGTCAGGGCGTAGATTCGGGATCCACTCTCATAGGGTTTATAACTTATAAGTTTATATAGTAGATTAGCTGCTCTAGATTAAGGATTAGCTGCTCTTGACCTAATCTAGAACTCTCATGCTTTTGTGTGGCGCAGTGATAAAGTTAACCTTGGAATCCCGAGGTCACCCCTGTACCTAGGTATTCTTATTAGATTAATAAAATCATCAAGATTTACTAATTAGCTATTACATAACAAACACATTAGTATTCTTGTTAAATATTCCAAGATTTTAGTCAAATTTAATCGAAAAAAAAAAAAAATGTTACAGAATTGATCCGATTGGGACCAAGCGGAACTAAATTACTATTATATCGGGGATTGGTCGGATACCCCTACATAAGGATACTCTTTTGAGTGATTACAAAGCTAGTATCCTTATCGAGAGGTTTAGCTGTGGGAGGAGGAGAATTGTAACTCGGTACTACTGGTATATAAGGCACAGTGTAAGACGATGTTGCTTGGTGTAATACTGTGTGAATATATATTGATTTTATGTTCTCAACGGAATCGGGATCAGCATTCTCCGATGCTCAAGGTACGATCTTGCCAAGAATCAACTGGGCAGCCAAATCCCGATGCGCCCTTCTTCAACGGTAATGGCAATGGCAATGGCAATGGCAATAGCAATGGTAATGGTAATGGTAATGGTCTTGGTTATGCATCAGATCCACGTTGCGGCATCTGAAATATTCCCCGCCATATGTGGGTGTTTGGTTCAAAGAGCACGGAAGATATCGATACCTGTAGGGCTGAAGTTGACAAGAGCTGTAGTAGTTGACCATGTCTTCTGGAAATCGTCCTGCGGAAGTCTAACAGATACTCTAGACCTTGAGTCTAGCTATATAATGAGATGTCCCCATCATATCACATGGCCTCTCTCTCTTTCTTCCGTATCAGCATCAGACGCGATTGTTTGTCCTTTGGAGACTACGAGCAGAAGACTCGGGCAGTGAAGTCGTGATTGGAACATTTCTTGAAAACATTTCTGTTGAATCTTTCAATCACGTGAAAGGATGCACATGCACATGCACGAGTCCGAATCCGATACATATCCGATAACTTATCTCACTTTCAGACCCTCTTCGTCGATAAAACGTTTTTAATTTGATCTATATTGATGAGTTCTGAATCATAATGATCTTTTTGGTGTTGGAGTTGTTGGCTGCTTACTAATGATCGAATTTATCTTCGGACCAATCAAGGGTCGGGGGGACGTTTATCCCTTGTGGTGAACCTTCGGGAGTTCCCTGCCTCGAAAACAAGGCATCAAGCCTGTTTCTATTATGTAATCATCGTCTGGTCTGAGGATGAGATAACCGATAGCCGATAAGTATACGAAATACGCGTAACGTAGTTTATCAGTGCGTACACCATATCAGTACGTGCACCACTTCAAAATTATACTAAAATCAGGGTTTTTTTAATATTTATTTTTTAATAATTAATCATTATTTTTTGAAAAAATAAAATATATGATAAAAATTATAATTTAAATATTTAAAAAAATATAATTTTTATATAAATATTTTCATTATATTTTAAAAAAGATTGAAATTATCACGATTTTCATTACAAAAAAACTTTCTTTAAAATAACTATTATATTAAATTATATTTCTAATAATTGATTAGAAATTCTTATTATTTATATAAATAACTATAAAGTTTTTAGGAAAAATCAAATTATATTAATAAATAAAGAAAGTGCACGATTATGTATAAACGAATTTTGTATGTAAAATGAGTGGTGCATATACTGATATAATGTATACACTGATAAACTACGTTATAGAAAAAGCTAAACCATATTCACTCTATAGCATAACATCCAAACTACATTGGAACTTCAAATCTCCCGGACACAGCTCGCAGCATAACCATGAATGAAAAGGTCAGAGATGCATTGAGATGTATTGGCACCCGTTGCTGTGACCAAACACGCTTCAATAAGGTATGGATGCACTGCCTTTATCGTATATACTTAGGCAGGTACACTGGTGGTACTCTTGCGATGGTCTTGGTCAGTCTAGTCAAGTATAGTTTGCCTGGATCAGTGGAAAAATGTACAAATATCTCCCAAAACCTTTTCCTTCCCATTTATCCTTTTTCCTGATACCATATCATACTTGTGCGTGCAAGTTTATTTGCGATTCTCTATCTTGATTCCCAGACATTATGGGCATGCCTGAACAACAGCCAGGGAGGAATGAAGGTATCAATTGGGATGCTCCTCCTCCCTACGAAGAATTGTACGCGTTCGGCAACGAACAGTCTGGTGTCTCTACTTCAGTCCAAGGTGATTAACTCTATCGACAGTCTGATCAAGGGATTTTACTGACACCAATAGACAATGGACGAATTAGTATGGCTTTTGTGGGTAATACCTCACCATTACCTCCAATCTCTGTACCCGAGAATAGACCGCAAGCAAAATCAGAGCCCGTGAAATCGTATCCAAGGCTTAATATAGTCATTCAGGTAGTTGGAAGTCGAGGTATGTACATTCCTAAAATCTCAATGTCGAGAGCAATCAGTTGAAATTCATCCCTGATCAACTCTTCCAGGTGATGTTCAACCTTTCATAGCATTAGGCAATGAACTTCAACTCGCAGGTCATCGGGTACGCATTGCTACTCATGATGTATTTGAAAAGTTTGTACGAGATTCCGGATTAGAATTCTATGCAATTGGTGGCGATCCAACAGAATTGATGGCAGTAAGTATCCTCCGTTTCCATCTCCTGATATCATCATAACCATCCCATCTAGTACATGGTCAAACCCCCCGGAATCTTTCCAAAAATCAGTACCTTGACCAGTGGAGAGATATCAAAGAAAAGAAAAATGATATCCGCTATGCTCGAAGGATGTTGGCAATCCTGTCTCGAACCCGATTCGAAGACTAGAGAACCATTTATTGCAGAAGCAATCATTGCCAATCCACCAAGTTTTGCTCATGTACATTGTGCTCAGGCACTAGGTATCCCAGTTCACCTTATGTTTACTATGCCATGGTCGGCTACGAGATCATTTCCACACCCACTTGCAAATATTCAATCTAGCGACACAGATCCTAAAACTGCTAATTTTCTTTCTTATGGATTGGTTGACACAATGACATGGCAAGGGTATGTTTCCATAATATATTCTTGATTTGAGATCCTCTAATCAATTGATAACAGACTTGGAGACGTAATCAATCACTGGAGAAAGAAGTCGCTAGATCTTGAACCGGTCCCTATAATGGCTGGTCCTCATTTAGCAGCTTCCCTCGATATCCCCTTTACCTACTGTTGGTCACCAGCACTTGTCCCGAAACCACAAGATTGGCCCTCACATATAGGTTTGTAAAGTCTGCACTTTCCAGCTTCTAGTACTGAGAATTTGTTTTAGATGTTTGTGGATTCTTCTTTCGTCCACCTCCATCATACAATCCTGATGCGAGGATCTTAGGGTTTCTTCAAGCAGGCCCGAAACCCATTTATATAGGATTTGGAAGCATCGTAATGGAAGATCCCCAGAAGATGACCGCGACGATCATGGCTGCAGTTCAAGATTGTGGTGTCAGAGCAATTGTATCGAAAGGTTGGAGTAAACTTGGACAAGAGGTTGAGAATGAGAATGTTTTGTTTATTGATGATTGTCCTCATGGTAAGAGATACATTAATATAATGATCTTAGCATTAACTAATATGAATAGAATGGCTATATAAACACGTGGCGGCGGTCATCCATCATGGTGGAGCGGGAACAACAGCATGTGGATTACTTAATGGTCGTCCTACAGCAATCGTACCATTTTTCGGCGAGTATGTCGAGACTTTTCATGCTTATAAAACTCCTCCACTAACTTTCAACAGCCAACCATTCTGGGGAAACATGGTCGCAGCAGCCGGTGCCGGTCCCGCACCTATAGAACAAAAATCCCTCACCGTCAGCACTCTCTCCAATGCCATCAAATTCCTCCTCTCCCCCAATGCAAAAGCCGCAGCACAAGTCCTCGCTTCAAGAATCCAACACGAAAACGGCGTAAGAGAAGCCGTTAATTCATTCCATCGCAATCTCCCCGTCAAAGCCCTCAGCTGTGAGCTCATACCCCAGCTACCCGCAACATGGTATTGGAAAAAGAGCAGAAAACATCTCAAATTATCTCACCAAGCAGCGGCCATTCTCGTCGAGAAGAAAAAGATAAACGCCTCTGATCTTTCCTTGTAAGTTCATCTCCTCCATACAAATATACATCTATCCAACCTACATACTTACTCAATATCCCACAATAAAGATATAAACCCCACCCAATAACCATCACCAACCGTCGCTGGGACCCCTGGACCGCCACTACCTCCGCCGCCTTCGACAGCGCCCTTGACATCACCCGCGCCATGGCCAACGTCGGGCTCGACTACCGCGCCGAATACACGCGCGCTCTAAACAAACCACCCCGCAAAAATCAGTACGAACACGGCAACAGCTTCGATACTAACACCGATACCGCCTCATCGCTCAGCTCTCTACAAGCGAGCTCCATCGCGGTCGGAAAAGGTGTCGGAAGGGTAGGCATCGCGATGAGTAAACCGGCAATCGATTTACCCCTCGCGTTTGCGGATGGCTTTCACGCGTTGCCCGCGCTTTATGGGGAGAAACCGAGGGATATTGGGCAGGTGAGCGATTGGAAGAGTGGATCGATTAAGGGGGCTAAGGTTTGTTGATTTTTTTCCTTTCTTTTTCTTTCCTTTTTTCCCCTCTCTTCCTTCTTTGGAATGGGATATATAGATTTATAGGGACTCAAAAAACTAACCGCGTATACAAATAATACAGAGTATCAGCTATGGAATCGCAGATGGCTTCACAGGATTCTTTACACAACCTATTCAAGGAGCCATACAAGAAGGCGGAAAGGGATTTCTCAAGGGCCTTGGAAAAGGCACGGCGGGATTTCTCACTAAACCTGCTAGTGGTACGTTTTTCCCCATTTTCACCATTCCCTTTTACACGATGTACCTTACCTATAAATATCCTTTACTTCTGTCTTTCCCTGTCGCATTCAAAAACTCCCACCTCTCCAGAGCAAAAATAAAAACCACTAACCCCCCCTTCTCCACCCAGGCGTCTTCGGACTCGTCTCCTACCCCGCCCTCGGCCTCTACAAATCCCTCAGCACATCCACGCATCACGGCACACAGGGCAGAATTCTCTTGGCCCAACGCGAATACGGCATGCATCTTGCGATGACGCAGCAGATCCCCGAGGAGATGGCTCAGCGGATCGTACAGGGGTTTAAGTGAATAATTGAGGGGAATGGGAGGTTGTTGGTAATAGAGGTTGGGCTTTTTTTGTATGTAGACGGACGCATATACTCCCTTTTCAAGTTAAGAGAGAATATATTTAGGATGCAAAATTGGAATTTCTAAGGCGTCCTTCTATTGATCAATAGGGATGTTGTTGTGTTTGGGGAAGAGAAGATATATAAATTATATTATTTAAGAGAAGGAGTAAAAAGGAGTTTATTTTGATATAGAATATATAGGATTACTTTTAGAGCAATGAGTTACGCATTTACAGAGCATAAAGTACAAGTCATCAAATAAATCTAAAGTAGGAGGAGCATTAGGTATTCTTTTATCAAAAACTTTCATGTTTAAGTATCTATCTACCACCCAATCTCCACATCCTAATCCTAATTCAAAGATCAGGAGAGATCACTTAGGAGATTCCCATTCCATCCTATCCCACCCCCATCCAACACCCAGAACACCTCATCCATTCCAATAGCCGAGTCTCGATACTGTAGCACAGTACCAGAACTACTACCTCCTCTTGTCCTTCTGATAAATCTTTCAAGGTCGCAATTCCCTTTTGGGTCGCTTCTCTTCTCCTTTCAATTGCCTCTGATTTTCTGTCTTCTTCTTGCTATCCAAAGCCCCTTCAAGTCTTCATCAACATCCCCCTCCCCCTCCCCCGCATTCTCAGTATCATCAATCTCAGTATTCAATTTATAATCTCTCATCTCCTATTTCGAAACCTCCAGTAAGTGCTGTACAAATTTCTTCCTCTCAATCTCCAATTGAAAGAAGTTTTTTCCCCTGAAAATAAACTGTTTAATTGCAGATTTCAATGGCAACGCCCGCTCAGTCTTTATACTCGTCTGGTAATAATGCATCTACATTTTCGTAGTGACATAGTCAATCTGCGTTCGTTGGGCGAGTTTCATCCAATTTTCTTGCTTGACCATGATTGCTATATCCGTATGGCAAAGCTTATTTCTCTCGGAATACACTGATATGTCCCACAGGGTACGTATCAGCCACTGGTATTTTCAGATCCAAAATCACCCTCATCACTTGTGAGATGGCTCGGCATTGGTGTTGGTGGTGGTGAGTGAAATAATGATCTTGCTTCGTCTTAATCTCATGAATTTCTGACCAGTATTTTGCTGAATATCTTCGATCCCATTGTGCAGACCGTTTACAAGTCAAGCATCTAACTGCCGCTTAATCACCGTAATTCAGCAATATCCTTTCCTTTGTATGGCTTGCTTTCTGATTTCTTCTGCTTGAACACCCTCCATTCTTTTCATTTCCTTTTAATTCTCGGCGATATTCCATTCTTGCTCTGCTTTTCCCGTTGGATATGTCTCCTTTTGCTGAGCATAGCAGGTGAGATCTGTAGGTGTATGGACCGACAGGACACTTCTCAGCTTTCAGAATTCGTAACCAGTTCATTCTTCAATTCCTTGATAGATCTTTTGATTGTCCAATTTCGAATGAATCATTGTTGCAAATCCAACAGATATCGAATTGAGAATTCGAAAAATGTTGTTATAGTGTCCTGCTGGTGCTTACATCCATTGGTGGAGGTACGAAACGCAGGATTTGAGATGAAGCCAATGAGGTAAGTCATTGGGAGAATTGCTTTTCCAGTTGAAATAAAATATTCGTTGTTTGGTAATCCATATAAACGGATTGTAGCAAGTCTTCAGCAACGATTTCAATGACCTTCCACAACATAAATCCCATAAGATGTTGTGCCTGTGTATCCGAAGCAAAAGTAGCAAAATCCTCAGCAAACTATCCGCCTACAAATCATTTGGTTGAGCAACCACCCATCAAAATTCATCTCTCCCCCTTTTCATCTCATGTCATCCCACCACAACCTATCGATTGACTCCAATTCATCCACATTACTCATACCATTCATCAATCCCCATTCGCACACCAAGACGTATTCATTAAATCAGAGTTCCTCGGCACCATGACACCACATTGCCAAACTAACAAGTGGTAGAGCCATCTATGAGATCCAATTATCAGTATTCTCATCTCATATCCCAACTACCCCAATCTCTCATCTCAACAAATCCACAATGAAAATTCATCAGTCCAGAAGCAGAGTTGATAGGATGAAAAACTCGAAAAACATACCAAATCAGTAACTTGACAACAAAGTCTATGTTCCAACACCGAACAATCCGCGCCATCATCCAAATTCCTACCTATCAAATCCCATCATTAGCACACGCCCAAACACAACCCCCTCCCCTCAAAAAAATGAAAACTCACACCCAATCCCATTAACACTATTCCCATTCAACACAAACCCAAACATCCTCGCCGCCGCCACCACAATCGGTTGATCTCCATCCAGAATACTCGGACAGCATACCAGAGCTCCCTGGTTTACATCTGCGCATTCAGCAGAATGTGTGGTTGTTGTGAAGATAGCTGGTGGAGCGGAATTGAGTGTTGAGGCTGTGATGGTTATGTTTATGAGGGTATCGAGGAGGGGAAGGAGGGGGTTTGGAGCTGGTGCTGCGAAGATGAGGGAAGGGTGGGAGAGGAGGAGGAAAGAGAGAATGGAGAGGGGATGCATGGTCGTAGTTGTGGATGTTGATGTGGCGGGATGGTGTGTGGTTGCTTGTTCGTTCGTTTATATGAGAATTGAGAAGTCCTTAAACGTAGACAGGTATGTAGGTAGGTACAGCTGAGAAGTAAATAAACGCCAATCCAGCAAGTTCCAAAGTTAAGTCTGCAGCAAGCAACAGCTCCAGCTTCAAGCACAAAGCAAATAAGCAAAGTAATCAACTCCTCAATCTCAGCACCCAAATGACAAGTGACAAGTAACAAGCCAAAGAACAAAAGTTACAAAAATCGAGTCCCTTTCGTACTGCACAACCAACAAAGAAGAAGAAGAAGAAGAAGAAGAAGAAGAAGAAACCAAACCCAACTTCCAAAATCCAAACTCGAACTGATCACAATAAACTTCCATCTCCAAGTAGGAAGGTACCTATTACCTACTACCTACTACATACTACTTACTACCTACCCCTTCCATAAATAATGCCACACGAGTAGACTAAATCAATAATCTCCTGACGGAGCGAATGAATAGATAAATACACAAGTTACTTCCCAAACTTAGATAACTACGAGTATACTACTATCTTAATAATTCGAAAGAATAGAATAGAGTAAAGTAGATATATATATTGATATCAACTCACTGCACTTACTCTTTAGTTTCCTACCTATCAACCTACATACCTAATAAGTAGATGATAAATAAATATCCAAACTCTCATTCAAATTCTCCTAGAGTAAGAGCAAAAGTAAGAACACAAGCGCAACAAGAACATTACAATATTACAACTTCACACCTTCACACCTTCACATCTTAAAAAGAGTAACCCCAACAGATCCCCATCTACCTCATACCTACCTACCCAACTCACTACCCTTCCCCAAACCCAATTTTCGCAAAACCACTCCCAGAATACACGGACTCCACAACTCCATCCCTAACTCCCCATCTACAATCCACAACCCTTTACCAAACCTAATAATTCAATTCTCCCGCAAAAATCTGTTCCCACATTTTATAATCCCCTATAGTACATGTTATATAAGATATAAAAGCTTTCTTTCTCTCTCTCTCTCTCTCTCTCTCTCTCTCTCTCTCTACCCTTTTCTTAATTGGAGGTATTATATTCAGAATAGTATAATATCTCTATGATGTTTGTGAAGTGAAGATTTATCTATATCTTTATGATTCTAATTTCTTTCAAGTTATCTAATATTTTTTTAATCTATCTCTTCTATCTCTTCTATCTCTTCTATCTCTTCTATCTCTTCTATCTCTTCTATCTCTTCTATCTCTTCTATCTCTTCTATCTCTTCTATCTCTTCTATCTCGTACCCCCCTCTCGCTCTCGCTCTCCAGGAAAATGCAGCACGGTAAACTTCCACTTTACCTTTTATTCCGCGCCTTATAATTTTACAAAGCAGAAGTTGAAGAAGAGGTAGAAGTAAAGTAAAGCAAAGTAAAGCAAAGCACCCTCCTCCTTCCCCCCTCCCCCTCCCCTCTCTCTCTATATATCTTCTCTATCTTCTCCCTCAAATACCTCCCAATATCTCAACACCTTCCACATTTAAACAAGAACACTCCATCCATCCTATAAATCTATTCCCTGCTCCTACCCCTACCCCTACCCTAGTTTTCATATCATATATCATATATCTATATCTTTAAATAATTCATTCATTCATTCATTCATTCATTCATTCATTCATTCATTCATTCATTCATTCATCCAAAGACACATATATACTTCCCCCAAATAATTTCTATCGTACAAAATCGTTCATTTCCCCTTCCCCTCCTCGAGTTCCCTATTTCTTCCATTTCTTCCTTTAACAAACTCTACTCCTCCCTACTCCTCACCCCTCTCCCTTCTCCCAGCCTACATCCCCAACCATACTCCTTCCACTCTTCCCACTTTTCCATCAACAAAAATATCTCTCACTCCCTCCATCTTTCTTTTTCCCCATCACCATCACAAAAGCAGTAACATATCAAACCCACTCTCACTCCACCACTACCACCTTCCTGTCTTGATGTATCCGTAAAATTCTTCATTCCATTAACATTACAAATCATTCACATCTTTCGGCTCAGACGAACCCTTGAACAGATTCCAGCCAAAGAATGACAAAAATTGTACATAAAGTCGAAACAGAAATAGAAATTGAAGTCATTATATTCATGCCCACTCAAAACTCCATCCTATTTCATCCCTTATAAAAGATACCACCGCATCATATATTTCGTTTCCTTTCCTTCCATTTTAACTCCTTCCTAGGTCATTAAACACCAAACCGCACACACCTAAACCTTTGAACACCAAAGAACATCATATCCCACAAGACCTAAACAAGTCTCAAATCAATCGATTCCCCCCCCCCTCAATAACATTCGAATCACTATTTGCCAGTTGTAGGATTTGTCGATAAAATTTGAGTAGGAGCAATTCTTCTCTTTTTCTTTTCAGGTCCAGCTCCTGTATCTTCCTTCTCACTCTCGCTTACATCTCCCGGACGTTTGATACCCACGACTGAACCTGTGGTACTTCTTGGAGTTTGTGGTGGTGTTGTCATTGGAACTCCTGAACTGGTATTTGCTGCAGCAATACCTGGAACACTACTTGATAATGGAGTTGGATTACTGATAATTGTCCCCATAGCTGATGTTACATGAGATGATTGTGTTGCAACAGAAGATGTTGAATTTGACCGAGTAGGTGAAGAAGGTCTGAAAGTTGTGATAGGAGCTGGTGGAGGTGATGGCGCAACCATAGGATTTGAAGATGTACGATGATGATTATTTGAGGTTGGAAAAGGTGACGGAGGTGCAATCCCAGCTGTTGGTGTTGCCATGGGAGTATTTTGAGTTGACGAGACTGCTGAACCACTAATAAATGAACGTTTTGCAGTGGGGATTTCTTCATCATAAATTTGTCCAAGTTCACCAGAGGCAAAAGTTAATGTTGAACAGAAACCATCAGAAGATGTCATTAATAATGTAGTTCCATCAGTTGACCTAGAATAATTAGTATAGACCAAAATGTATAGGTTAGAATAAACATACCATGATAAATCTGTAAAAGTCGCACAATGTAAATTGCTCACGATGCAAAGCGGGGTTTGTTGTTGTGTGTCATACAATAAAACCGAATCCTCTGTGGCAACAGCATAGACCATACGATAAGGTAAAGAAAATGCCATTGTTGGACCTTGAGATGCTACGTTCGTTTCAACCTCCAAAGATTTTGGTTTAGATGAAGAACTAGGTCTCGAGGAATCACTACTTTGTGATACAAGTGGAGGTGGTTCCATTGAGGCATTTGATGGCGATTTAGGAACCATTGCTGGTTCTGGTAATGCCGCCATTGCGTCCTCAGCAGATGATGTATCGATTGTGATATATTTTGTAACTGGTGGAGGAGCTTTTCTTGCTGTGTAGTAAACTGGAGAGCACTTGACGGCCACCGAAGGTTTCTTGTGTCCTGGTAAATGTGCAACGGGTGGCTTATTAATTCCACCTCTTGTATAAATGTAGACCGTATTAATAACTTCATTCATCATCTTCGCACCCTCTTCTGATCCCTTGTGTTGTGTTTGATATTGGCCGGCTGGTGTAAAAAGAAGACTACCATCAGGCGTGAACGCGAGTCTTCGGAAAAATGACTTGAGGGTTTCGTTGGCGTAGATGTGAGCATTTTTGACTCCAAGTCCAATCATCGAATATGGTTTTGGTGATGCTTCCATAGGCATGACGGCAGGTAATGGCATTGAAGGAGCAGGAGAGGCTGATCTTCGCATGGACATTGCTGGAGAAGAAGCACCAAATGAAGATCTTCTACTATGACTGATAACACTTGGAGGATTCATTGGTAAAGCCATTGAAGTTGGTGTACCTGGACATGATGGCCCTGGTGAACCTATTGTATTTGGTGTTTCTGGTGGAAATTGTGAACGAAATCCAAGCTCGGGTGGTGCTGGACTATTAGAGGAAATTCGTCTTCCAGGTAAATCCATCTTCAAATTATGTCCAATCCTTTTTGGTTCTTCCCTATTGTCGAGACTGAATTGTCCATCTTTCGTTCTCAAGGTGTAGACGTGTACGGATCGATCGGATGATTGTGTCGCGATATATTCATTCAATGGATCCCAAGCTACACCTTGAACATAATGCTGATGTTCGGCGATTTGTCTAATCAACTGACCTATATGAAATTGATTAGTTCGCATGCAATGACCAAAATTATGGATGGCATACCAGTCTGAGCATTGTATATCCTCGCAACATTATCCATACTCCCAATTATGAAGTACACGGAATCTGGGGACCAGGCCAAATCGTATATCTCAGCACCCGATGATCTACACATATGTTTGGTTCGCCAGGTTTCCTTTTCTTCGAATCCATCTCCTCCGAATGCAGGTGTAATATTTGAAGCTTCGCTAGGTACCCAAAGCAGTACATTTCCGTCGTCTCCAGCAGATGCTAGCAGTTCCCCTACAAGATTGATTAGCCTCATTACATTCCACCTTGGTGTATATGAATTATGCCTTGATACCTTTCGGAGCCCACCTTACTACATTAACTGCTTGTGTGTGTTTTTGTAGAGTAGCTAGATAGTCAATCTTGCGGTCTTCTCCTTCGGATTCTATCTTCCATAACTGTCTTCCAATCAGTATTTCTTTCACATTTCCAATCCGGGTAGATTGAACGTACCCTAACATTTCCATCTCCTCCTGCAGTTGCCAATCTTCCCTTTCCCGCCTTTTCCCAATCGCAACTGTATATGGGAGAATTCTGATCATGCCAGTTGATGATTAAGGGTGTAGCTTTCATTGTGCCGGTGTTTCTCGAGGTAGATAATTAAAGGCCTGGGAATGAGTGTTTGTCCGAGGGATGACCAGTATTCTTTCGTAGTTCAATTCGCAATCCTTCTGTTTGCAGAGTATGGGAAAGAGGTGAAATCAGATGGATATAGAAGAATGATCTGATTGAAGTGTTTACAAGATCTTGAAAAGGGTGTAAGGTAGGACTGCTGGTATTGGTACTGGGGTTGTGGTTTTGAATTTCAGCACGATAGAAACTTTAATCATCCTCTGGAGTTGCAGATGAGAAAGGTAGCCAGAGATTACCTACGTCTTCAAAGAGGATGGAAGATATTGCGGTTGAAATGGCCGTGTAGTTGAAAATGAAATCAACATCAAATCCAGTGAATTCCGTACAAGGACCAGGACAGAGAATGATCAATTGGAGGTTTGAGGAGGAAAATAATAATAATAATAATAATAGTAGCCGTGGTTAATAAGGTAGATGTCTCATAAGGTTGTACAGTACCTAGTAGTACTCAAAGTCCCATGAATAGCCAAGATAAAGTTGTGGGATTGGACTGGGCTGGGCTGGACTGGGGCAACCTTAATTAATGATTTCCTTCACGTTTTTGCGCGTCCAATAAGTTTTACGCGTTCATTGGATTTTTTGATGTTACTTTCAACACTCAATGATTACTCCCTGTGTATGTACGTATTCATGAGAGAAGATAGAAGAAGTAATCGGTAGATAAAAGAGGAAAGAAGGAAAGAAATAAAGGCATGAATCTAGAAACTATACTTTCATTACATTTATATCAATGATTACCTACTCAGGCATCTATCTACCTAGGTCATAGTTATAGTACTTCTTATTCATTATATATAGATTAAAATGTCTTCCTTGGATCTTTCCTATTTCTCCCTCCCCCTCTGAATCTTCTTCTTCATCAATTAAAATGACATAAAATGAAGCATTCGTTGTTTAGAACTACCTATCTATATAAGCTTGTCCAGACCTTCGAGGTTCTCCACGACACCTTACCAACCATACAAACCCCTTCGTTCTCCATATGAGTGATATTGATTGGTTACATGCTCAGCGGCCGCCAAACGGAACGTCGGTCTTGAGCCAGTCTGACTGGATACATCACACATTCCTATCCAGCCTTCTATTCAAGGGGTTCTTCGGATTAACATTCCATAAATAATAACCTTATTAGTAGGAGATACATCACGCGTATATATTGATAGATGATCAAATGCATAGATTTACTGGTGGATGAATGGAATGGCTAGATGAATACATAAAATCATGTGATAGAATTCTACCACTTGGGTCGGTCTTCATATCCTTCTACTCCGTACAGGTACAGATGGATTTGTGCCTTTCTGTACCTAATCCAGGTTACATACGGAGTATACTTCGCAATTCAACTTTCTTTATCGGTCCCAGGACGTCATGAAGAATCATCCTGAGAATTCAGCACATGAACCTTACATATTCCAACTGGCAGTACAGCAACTGCAGTCAAACTAATGTACTTGAGTGGAGGTTTATGGATAACTCGAGCGAGTCGGCACGATCAATCGATTCCGGTTTTGATACCCGCCCTGAATCCGGTGATGAATTAAGCATTTTTCCCGATGCATCTTCCAACCCTTCTTTTTCACATTCTCATGAGTGGATGGGTGATTGGTACCATGTACATCTATCGTGTATCGTGGGGATTATTTTGTCGGTCGGTCTGGTCTGGTCTGGTCTGATCTGGTCTGGGGATTCGTTTTGTTTCGTTGGGTTTGAACGATCATCGGTGTAGGAAGTGTGGAGGACTCACGTCTCGTGCAGGCAGCGCATTGGAGTTTTTGAAGATTAAGCGATGATAGAGAAGGAGAAGAGAAAGAGAAACAGGAACAGAAACAGAAACCGTGGGTTACACAATGGTAAGATTGTCTAGGACCGTACTGTACGTCTCTTTATATATCTACGTCGATAAAGAAACGATGTTGAACCAAGAGGAAAACGATAGCAAGGTAAGACTTAGGTAAAATCTATCCAACACATCATTCTCCTTGATCATCACTGGAGAATTGAATGCTGACCAACCTTTTCCATCTCACCAGTCTTTTCTGACAACCCCAACCCAGGACCATGCATTGACAGTCTTGAAAATCTATCTGTACACGGCCAGATGATTTCACACCGCTCTCGGTCAGCTTGAAAAGGAAGGACGACAAGCCGTTTCGAATTTGGATTGGGGTTCCTCGTATTATTACTATAGCTCACGGCTAGCTTGACAGATTCTATGTACTCTTCAAACAGAGCCAACCTTAGTGATGGATAAGATATCAGGGTTGTTATTGACACTTTTTCCTTTTTTTGCAGAGTTGGAGATAATCATTACCAGCCAGTCTCACTCAACATTGTTGTTTCATGGCATGGTGTATGAGCTAATACACATACACATTCACAATTACCAAACGAGGCATCCCGAAAACCACCATGAGGCCAACATATCGATATGCACGAAATTTAGCCCTCAGGATGGAAGGTTGTGAGTCGTAGACCCAACGATCCGGATGCATGGTGGGGGCGATTGATAACCCTTGATTTTGATATGACCGACCTACCGACCGACCGACATTTAGATGATATGAAATAGGTCGTAGATGGATGAATGATGAGACAGATGAGCATGATTCGTCGCCACTTTGGGGATTTGTAAGATCTTACGGCGGAAAGATGGCTTATTAGGGGAGAGAGACGATATAGATGAGAATGAGGGAAGTATAGAGTATCTCTCTTCAAGATATTGACGGAAGCCAGGTAGAGAAGGGAGTTTGTGGAGAATTGATATACAATATATATATATCCCACTGTAGTTGTACTCTACTCGGCAAGGAAAGGATAGCAATGAATGGCATCTTATCTCATGTACCTTTCGTCATACAAGTAGTAGGTACCTAGGTAGATAGGTAGGTACTCGTAGGTATTCTTGAATGTCTAGACGGTACTCCTCATACTTCTTAACGTTGGAATGGGGACACTCATATGATCACTTCTTCACCTCTTTTGTTCTCGCCCCTCGCCTCACCATCACTCAATGCAAAAACACTCCTCATCGTCGTCGATATCAACCGCGCGCATATCAAACCCGATGTCTCATCCATTCGACTTCGAGGTAATTGACCACTCATATCACCCAATTGATTGAGCTTCCCTTGTTTTCCCTCTCAACGGTTCTTTGACAAGGATATACTAGGGAGTACTCGAGCATGATGATTATAATCATTATTATCTTTCCAACCCATGGATTTGACTCGTTCTTCTTATCCACCCACTCACGTACGTTCCAATCCACTCCAACCCCACCTACCAACATTGATCCCGCAATAGAAAGAGAAGAAAAGAAGAAAAGAAAAAAAAAAGTTTAATAAACCTCGACCATGTTCCCCGCCATTTTCTGTAGTATGGAGTCTCTTGAGAATTTATTAATATCTCAATATAAAAGTCATCTTTCTATCTTCTATCTTTTGTATCGCGTATCGATCTTGAGTCAAGCTATCTATCTCTCGATTTATTGACCAATCACTCAACCAATCAATCATTCCGTCTATCTATCACTCATTTGACATCTACCTTAGCTTGCCCACTCCATCTTTGCTCATTAATAATCATTCACCACCTTCTTCAATTCACTAGCATACCTACCTACCATACATCCATCGTGTATCGTATCTGTTTTTCATTTTTTTCTTCTCTTTTTTTTTGATTGGTACTACCCTTATACTACCCTTACTACCCTTACTACCCTTACTACCCTTACTACCCTTACTACCCTTACTACCCTTACTACCCTTACTACCCTTACTACCCTACTACCCTACTACACTACTACCAATTTATCTTGCCGAATGACTCAACAATACCACCTCCCTCGTCACCTCTTGAGTTTTTGCTGAGCCTGCTGTTGGTTTCCACTTGCAATTGGACCTTCCAAGGTTGTTCAAATATATATCTCCATTTACACTCAAAGAAGAAGAAAGTGGGAATCTTTGGGGGCAATCGTTTCACGTTTGATATTCACATTTTGCTCTTGTGCTTCTCCTCATCCATTACATTCAAGTAGAAATATCTTCCAAAAAAGAATGATCTTCAACTTGACATCTCTCTTCTCCTTCATCTAGACACTTCAAGATGCTCGATTTTAATTCGGGCTCCCTTGCTGCTGCAACTTGCGCTCTTCTTTTGGTCATTGCTCTGACTTTTCCATCCGTCTCTTCTATAATTTCTCTTTTTCAAGCAAAGGGAAAGCAAGTCCCCAATACATACACAGATAATGATGGAATTGCCACCGAAGAAACAATCGCTGCCTTTTCAACAAAAATTCCAAAGACAGTACTCATTATATCTACACTTCTCGGATTTACAACTTCTATAATTCTGGCCGTTTTGGACCTCTTTCATTATGATGGATTGAAGCTTGAAGATTGGCTCAATGTCGCATTATGGGTAAGTCGCATCTTTCACGCCTCTGGGCAATACATATAAGTATCATTTCACTAACTGTATCATAGTCATTCATTCTGATCCAAGCGCTTAGCACTATCTTGATCAGAAGTCCTACCAAAGCATATACAAATGGTGCTCGTACAGCTATCTCCGCTGTCTGCCTCTTTTGCATGTGTCTCTACCAAGATGGCCTTATCGTGGAGGATCAGTCCGCCCAGGTTAACTTCCGTTCAAGTGCGACTTTCTGGCTCCGCATCTCTCAATTGATACTCGCACTGTTTGTCGCCATCTCCGCCATCTCATTTCCACGTCGTCCACATGTGACCAGAGATAAGCACCCCGTCGATGCCATGTATTCCGTTTCTGCTCTTGATAGATATACTTTCTCCTGGGTTGGAGATCTATTGGCTTTAGCCTATAGCAAAAAGCGTCTAGAACTACAAGATCTACCTAAAATGGACCATCATACTAGGTCGAAGGATCTCAGTGAAGCATGGGAGGAAAGGAAGCATACTCGGGCGCTTTGGATTGAAATTTTCTTGGTACACAAATCACCTTTCATCATTCAATGGATCCTTACAGTCTTCCAGGCCTTTGGAAATTTCGCACCTCAATTTGTGACCTTTCAGATTTTAAAAATGTTAGAACGTCGTCAACCTGGAGACGAAGTCCCTTTAGGAGCTTGGATTTGGGTAGCTACATTATTCTTGGTCACTCTCGCTGCAGCTTGGATTGAATCCTGGATGTTCTGGATTTCTTGGGCTGAACTTGCCATTCCAATTCGGTCCCAGTTATCGTCTCAAATCTTCCAAAAAGCCATGAGACGTAAGGATGTGAAAAGTGCAGCTAGATCTGAAAAGAAGCCTACTGTTGCGTCTGAAGAAACTCAAGAGTCGATTGCCCAGCATGGACCAGAGGAAGAAGAAGAGGACAGTGATCCAAAGGGGAAACAATCTACAGTCAATTTGATCGGTGTAGATGCCAAGAGAGTTTCAGACTTTTGCTCATTCAACAACTACTTCGCGGGTTCGGTTTTCAAACTTGTCGTCTCCTTTTCTTTCTTGATCAGTATCATTGGATGGAAGAGTTTGCTGGCGGGAATATTGGCTATGTCTTTAACTGTTCCTATTAACATTTACTTTAGTAAACGTTATTCAGCAGCTCAAGACAGACTAATGAAAGTCAGAGATGTTAAAATGGCAGTTGTGACTGAAGCACTTCAAGGTATCCGTCAAATCAAGTTCTCCGCACTAGAATCGAATTGGGGCAACAAAATTGGTCTAGTCCGAAAGAAGGAGTTGGACGAGCAATGGAGTGTTTATCTCAATGATACGATGTTACTCTTCTGCTGGATCACAAGCCCTATCGCTCTTGCTGCAGTAGCATTGGCAGTATATGCTTACCTCAATGAAGTTCTTCTACCTTCAGTCGCATTTACTGCGATAGGTGTCTTCGTCAATCTGGAGGTTACCCTCAGCGTCATTCCGGAACTTACCACGGACTTGATTGATTGCTATATTTCTATTAATCGTATCCAAAGATATCTCAACGGAGCTGAAATATCCGAAAGTACCGACGATGCTCCCAACGTTTCCTTTGAAAAAGCTTCAATCGCATGGCCATGTGCTGAGGGTGAAGATGAGATGGACGGAAACGAACGATATGTTTTAAGAAATGTAGATGTCTCCTTCCCCGAAGGAGAATTGAGTGTCATCAGCGGTAAAACTGGAACCGGAAAGAGTTTGATGCTAGCATCAATTCTTGGAGAAGTTGATATTCTTGCTGGTAAGGTCAATGTTCCTCGTGGACCAAAAGCCAAAGACCGACATGATCATCTTGCCAATAAGGATAATTGGATCATTCCATCGTCGATTGCTTTCGTTGCTCAGATTCCATGGATCGAAAATGCTAGTATCAAAGACAACATTCTTTTCGGATTACCACTTGATGAAGATCGCTATCAAAAAGTTGTCGAATACTGTGCCCTCCGCAAAGATTTGGAAATGCTTGGCGACGGTGAAAATACCGAAATTGGTGCGAATGGTATTAACTTGAGTGGTGGACAGAGATGGAGAGTCACATTTGCTCGGGCGCTCTATTCTCGTGCAGGTATATTGGTTCTCGACGATATCTTCAGTGCGGTTGATGCTCATGTTGGTCGCTTCATTTACGAAAAAGGTCTCACTGGTGAACTTGGTATTGGACGCACACGTATTCTTGTTACTCATCATGTTGCTCTTTGCAAGGCCAAAGCTAAATATCTCGTTGAACTCGGTGATGGAACGGTTGAAAGTGCAGGTCTTCTTTCGGAATTGGAAGAAGCCGGTACACTTGAACGCATCATCAGCCACGAAGAAACACCGGAACAAATCGCTGAGGATCAAGCTCCTGTTACGGTATCGGAATCATCTACAGTCATTAATCCATCTGTATCTTCTGACGATGAAAACACTGATGAAAATACCTTAGCAAAGGTTGTATCACGAAAGGATGATCCAAAGAAATTCGTTCAAGAAGAGACAAGAGAGCGTGGTAGTGTCAAGGTAAAGGTCTACGGACATTATCTTCATGCTTCTGGTGGATGGTCTTTCTGGATTCTTGTTTTGTTTGCTTTCATTGGTCAACAATGCTTGATCACTGGTAAGATATTGATTCTCATCAGATTTAACTTGGGACAATCACTAACACTTATTCAGGTCGCTCTTGGTGGTTAAAACTTTGGACGTCAAGCTACCAAGAATCTAGCATTACTAACTCCATGTTCACAACTCAGGCCAATCACTTACCCTCGTACGGAAACGCACAGAATTCATCTTTCCAAGCAGAAGCTATCAAACATGACACTACGTTCTATTTGAGTATATACGTTGCTCTTTCGGCAGTATCTGCTGTTGTAGGAACTCTCCGATATTTCTACGTTTACACTGGATCTATTCGTGCATCTAAGATTCTTTTTGAACGACTTTGCTTTACAGTTTTAAGAACACCTTTAAGATGGATGGACACAGTACCACTTGGTAGAATTTTAAATCGATTTACTGCCGATTTCAATGTTGTTGATGGAAGATTGGCCAATGATTTTGCATTTGGGGCAAATAACTTTTTTGGATTGATTGGAATCATTTGCACCGGGTATGTGTATCGGAATCCTTTTTTTTCTTTTACATAAAAACTAATCATGACAGTGTAATCGTCTCTCCATGGGTACTCCTCATGTCTGCAGTTCTTTTGGCAATATGCGTCTATGTTGCACTTCTCTATCTCCCTGGTGCACGTGAAGTCAAACGTCTCGAATCAACCGCCAAATCCCCCATCTTTGAACAGTTCGGTTCCGCTCTTACAGGTGTAGGCACAATTCGCGCATTTGACAAAACAGATATCTATATCAAAAGCATGTGGGCCAAAATCGACGATCATTCAACTACATTCTGGCATCTCTGGGTCTTCAATCGATGGATGGGATGGAGAATGGCTTTTGTGGGTGGATTATTCTCAACGATCGTGGCGATAGTCATTATTTTGCTTCCGGAAATTGATGCTGCGTTGGCTGGATTTGCGTTGAGTTTTGCGCTGGCTTATGGTCAAACAGTTATGTGGACTATTAGACATTATACTAATTTAGAACTTAATATGAATGTAAGTCTTGACGATTTTCTTCTATTTCAGGCATTGCAGATGGGGAAAGCGCTAGGCGAGGATTGTGGAAAGTTTCTCGAGCGAGGGTGGGAGGTCTCTCTACAAAGAACAATGATACCGACTGTGGGAGGTGATGGACGGGATGGGGGAATGCCTTCAGGGGGCAAGCCCCCAAACCCCCATTTGCTCGCTGCGCTCGGTTTTTATATAATCTTTTTCTGCCTCCATGGCAATGGCCCCCGGAGGGCCAGCGGAGCGTCATTTCGTTCGTTGGCAATTACTGACTTTTCAATATTATAGGCGGCAGAACGTATCGTTGAATACTCAAACCTCAAAACCGAATCTCTAGAAGGATCGGATCCACCAGCAGCATGGCCAACTGAAGGTCGACTCGAAGTTAATGATTTGATTGTCTCATACGCAGATGATCTTCCACCAGTTCTCAAAGGTCTTACTTTCCGAGTCGAACGTAGTGAAAGAGTCGGAGTAGTAGGACGTACTGGAGCCGGTAAATCTTCATTGACACTCGCACTCTTCAGATTCCTTGAAGCTCGCGAAGGAACAATTCACATTGATGGTCTCGATATTTCAAAGATTAATTTGCATTCGCTTCGTTCGAGATTAGCGATTATCCCACAAGATCCAGTACTTTTCTCTGGAACAGTTAGATCTAATCTCGATGCTTTTGATGAACATACAGACTCGGAACTTCGAGATGCTCTAGAACGTGTACAGCTTATTCCACCAACTGGACAAAACACTCCCTCAACATCCGGAACATCGACTCCTTCGCTCTGGAAAAACAAGAATCTCTTCACATCCCTGCAATCCCCAATTACCGAAGGTGGACTCAATCTTTCGCAAGGTCAACGACAACTACTCTGTCTCGCCCGCGCTATTGTTTCACATCCGAAAATCATGGTACTAGATGAAGCAACCTCGGCAGTGGACATGGATACCGATGCATTGATTCAAAGATCTATCAGACAAGAATTCACAGATAGCACATTGATTGTTATTGCACATCGACTTAGTACGATTGCGGATTTTGATAAGATTTTGGTATTGGGCGAGGGCAAAGTGGTGGAGTTTGGAAAGCCGAAGGAGTTGATGGAGTTGGATGGGGGAGTCTTTAGAGGAATGGTACAGGAGAGTGGGGAGAGGGAGAGGTTGGAGGAATTGATTTTGGGGGAGTAGGTTCAGGGAGGGGGTACTACCGTAAATGAGGATGTGGATAGAGATGTGGGTTTATGAACGGGACGATGAATTGGTCGAAGAAAATTAATGAATAAATGATTCTTTAGCGTGGATAATTGCATATGCATATCTCAAGACGCATTTTGATAGATATAGAATTTCAAGATGATTTTTCTATCAACGAATGGCATAGGAGAATTCACTTGCTTGCTTACTTACTTGCTGATGTGCATTATCTACCTAGCGTGTGTAGCTTCTCACGGATCAAAGATTAGTAGTTGTGTCTGTTTTTCTTGTTCTCTTTTGCTGGAATTGAATTTTGCAAACTTTATTGTCGGAAATGAAAATAGGAGTCGGAGGTTATGACTGATGAATGATGAATAGGCAGGCTGATTCGAAATCGAGTAAATTATTAAGATGTGCCTTTTCTTTTCCCCTCTCTCTTTTCTTCTTTTCCCCCCTCTCCCCTCCCGAGAATAGCTCCATGCATTTATTCAGTCCCTCGCTCGTCTTTAAACTAATGTGAAAATGTTAAGTTATGCGAGAGGGGTTGGGAGGGATGGTGAGGTAGACAGATGGGTGGGCGGGTAGGTAGGTAGGTAGGTAGGTAGGTAAGTTTGGAGATGGGAGGGGAATGGAGGGGAATGGAGGGGAATTGTTTGTTGGTAGATTTAGATTTACACTTTGGTTGGAAGGTGGAAGTTGGAAGTTGGAAGTTGGAAGTTGGAAGTTGGAAGTTGGAAGTTGTGAGGAAAGGAATGGAATGGAATGGAATGGGAAAGGTGGATGAGATGGGTAGGAATGATTTGTTTATCAGAAGATGTTGTAGGATATTGTAGGCTTGAGTAGATAGATTAGGTGGATAGTTTGGAGGTGAAAATAGAGATATGGATGTACGAGGATATGGAAAAGGGTTTGTAATGGGTCATTGAATTGATAGGTTTTTTGCTCTGTATTTTTTTTATTTTTGTTTTTTTTTATAGAGGGGGGATGACGGGAAGGAAAGGTGGGAAATGGGGAAATTAACGTAGTGGGTTTCTGATTATGTATCTTGAGGTTTGTTAGGAGATTATAGATATGGTATGGTGCTCGATGGATCGATGGATTGATAGATACTCGGTGATGGTGATGATGATGGCGATGGTGATGTGCGGGTGGGAAAGATTAATTGATACTCAGAACTTATCGGTGTGATATTGGAGAGGGAAGCTTAGGTGAGCATGGAAGCAGTACCGTATGGGGATAATGAAAAAATTGGATTGATGCTCGTAAGGTGACCTAAGGTTTGTATGTGCGAACCATGTCTCGTCTCCTCTGACAACACGGAGGCAAGAGAAGTAGACAAGGAGCTCGAGATACCTTTACCGTATAGTGGTTTGATTGTGAAATACTTAGGTACGCATCTCTTCCGAATTCGAATGCGACGGATGGGAATCGATTGTTTCCCTTGAGACTAGTGGATGTGCGAGATCCGAGCGGTCGCAGACTCAAAGTTGTCGTTTCCAGCAGTGATACTATCCATACAAGATTGGTGCGGCTGGTATGCGAGATGGAGAAGGGATGGTTCAGCTGTGGAAGAGAACTCATGTTGAAGTATGGAGAATTGTCTAGTGGCTGAATTGGTCCAGATGATAAGTGAAAAGAAGAGTCTCGAAATTGGTTGTCCTCCAGTTTCAAATTTGTTGCAATTGTCGTGCAATACATGTTTCTTGCTAAGAACATAAAGCAAAAATACTATGAATGGATGTCAATGGAAGAGATCCTTGTGCTAACCTAAGAAGATCATCCCCCATACCACAATAAATAGAGACTGTAGGCTCTGGCACAACATCAAAATTAACAATTGATAAAAATATAACTCAGATCAAAGTTTTCTCGTCCTCCTGAGGGCTAGAAGATCAACAATTCTAGAGTATTCGACATGCTCCAACAAGTGATAAACCTTCGTGAAGTATGTTGGCCATCTACCGGCGGATTGGAGATATCACACGGTCCGCTTAGACTTCAGTCAAACCGCACCCAGCAGTATGGTGGAATTCGACAAACTATTACCGAGCGTGAGGGTAACATAGTATTAGTGCAAGATAATGAGGATCTAATAGCTCAACACATCCGCAATACTGACAAAAAAGCTGCTGTATGTCCAACGAGCGCATCGAACATTCAACAGGCCAGATATCGTCAACATCATTTCATGTTATCATTACACCATGAAACAATGGTTTTCCTCTAAGGGGTTTGTAATTTTTAGCGAGTTTATTGTCCCATTCTTCCCGTTCTGATCAAATGGGAGTCAGGGATACTAATACCAACCAACGCAGACCAGCAGCCACCTAGTCATTTCATGCATAAGGCTGTGATTCTGTAGACTTGCCAAGACAAAGCATACGTAGCCCCTACCGCTGCCAATTTTTGATATCTTTTTCTTGGCTCGCAGTTATGTAGCAAATCGATCATGAAGAGATCAGATTGTTAGCTTTCCGAATGTCCATACACTTTCTTTTGTAGCACATGCATCTTGCTAAAATAGGTTGCCAAAACTTAAACCCATGAGTCGTATTCAGTACTCGAGTGGGCATTCTTAAACTGAAAAATGAGTACCGCCCGCGGTAGTTGCTCTCGGGACCGAAACTTGCCAAGGAACGCGTGCCAATCATGTCCCATAGATCCACTTAAACGTGCGGGTATGCGGGTGGAAACGCCACTTCCATAAAGACCCTGACCTTGATAGGTCGGCTATTACTCCGATCAGATCTGAAATGGTACCAGCGATATTCAAGGTACTGTGCAGGTCTTCCAGAAGCTGGCCTCGAAAATAGCAGTCAATCTTGACTCCAAGATCATGGAAAGCTTTAAGAAGTGAGGATCGCAATCCTTGATCTGAGGGGTATGACACGTTACCCTTGAGGTACTCAAATATAGAGACAATGGCAGATGACCGCGCTTCACTTCTAAGTCTTATATTCAACCGAGGCAACAATCAGCCCTCAGAACATGTCGCATTTGACAGCGGTCAAATTGATCATGAGTGGTGTATTGATCAAGTGTGGGCAGTTTATCGTCCGGATTGTATAATCATGTATAGCCGAAAATACGGAGTACTCACTAAATGGGACAAGCACGCCGCGCATAGAAAAAACATCATTGGCTTTCCGCGTGCTCATCTATCTAATCTTGAGAGCACAAAGCAAGACAATGGAAATCCTCTGTCAACAGTGGGGCAATGAGTAGCGAATTACGATGGCCCGGAGTAATGAGACACCTGTACTAGGTTCCAATTTCACATTCCAGCTATTCATGGATTTTTTTTAAACCTTATGATCCGCCACAGCGTGTCGATATCGAGAGGCTATTGAGTAACGCTCATGTGGCTCTAGATATCAAACTAGATCATAATGAGCTCCTACAAATGGATCCCGCATATGCTAAACGATGGCTAAATCTTTTGGAGACGGAAGGTCATTCAAGACCCGAGCTTTAACTTCAAGAAGCACCATATTCAGACGGCCGACCTTATCAGGTAATTGATGACCTTGTGGAATTAGAGAAAATTAGTCTCCGAAATAAGAAGCTTAGAGGTGTGTACTACTCAACTGTCATCGATAATATCACTAAAGGCGAGCCTTTCCCTTTGGAAAATTACAAAGCACTATGTAGTTTAAAAGTATTACTTTATAACCGCATACAAGATCCTCGGGCTGTAACGGGTTACGTTTTAAGCCACAGACCTAAATTTTCCAAAAGTAGCGAGATATAAAGACCCCCTGCATTATTTCCCAAGCATGGTAATAGGAGCTCCTGATAAAAGATATCGACTCAATATGTTACTGATGTTTCAATATCCGAATGATTATTTCCAACAAGCCACTAAAGAACAACGCGCTCGAGTTGACGAACCTCTCGCATTGTTCTATTCTGATTGGGTTACATTACATGAGATAGACAAGATGATAAGTCGACACGGACGACATAAAATACAGCCTCAACAACACTTACAGGAAAATTAAAGTGAAGACGCTGAGTCAGATACTGAAGATTGACACCTGATAGAGATGGAGCTTCATACTAAAGCTTTTAAAGAGTTTTCGAAGCGTCTACTCCCGAGCGGGAAAAAATATGAGACACGAATCGCTTGCGATATGAAGTCAAGGATTGCCCTCTCCAAAATGTGGAAAGGAACCTGAGACTTTTTCAGAGCGACATTGGAACATAGTGGCGTGAATGACAAAGATATTAAGGAGGAGAGAAATGCTATCTTTCCAGATATCAATGCAGATCATATCGCAAATATCAAGCTAAAGTATGACACCTTCAGGGCCAGAATAGAGTCAGATCCGCAAGCGAAGAATATAAAAGGTAAATAAGGTTGCTACGGAGGTTCAAACGGTTCGGGGCATTAAAGAGTCAACTACGTTTCAAGCCCCGCGTAATAAAGAGAAGACCAAGACGCAAATAGTAGCCTCAACACAAGAGGGTGATACGGTACAAGCAGTACTAAATGTCTCAGCGGTCGAAATTTGACTCAATAACGACCGGGCTGCGAATCAAAGTCGATGTAAAGACGCTAGGTGTTTTCACCGCTATGCACTCTAGTCTAGATGGTGGCCAAGATACTAGCCCTGTCTGCTGGAAAGATTTCAGACGCGCGATGCGAAAAGCTGGGTTTGACTCGTGGAAAGGTAGTTGTTCTGCGGTCGAGTTTCAAACTGCCGCACATCTTGACTGGGGCGATAGCAAGAAGATTGGCTGCCACAGACCACATCCAGATTCGTATTTTAACTTCATCCAACTTCGTGGTTTGGGAAAGCGGCTCAGTAAAGATTTTGGCTTCAATCGCAATACTTTCGTTTTAGAGGAACATCGGTGAGTACCTTAACCCTCGAGTACAACTAAGCATGTCAATTCTCGAGCTTCCGTAAGCTACTCATACTTCTCCGACATGCGTCTATGCACCGTCATAAGAAAGCAATAGCGGATGCTTCGCAACATATATGGGTCCGAACATAGTTTGACGTACGGATTTCGGAATGCCAACCGCACTCATAACTTCCCATCCTACTATCCCCATCATTTTGATTGAATCAGCGCCTTCTTTCGCAAACTTTCACAGCCAAGGATCGTTCGCTGAATACAAGCCTGCATAAGTGTTCCGCAGCCACGACAAATCATTCCATCTATAGCTATGATGTCGGTTCACCCAGCCTTTCGGCATCTGGTATGTTCGACATGCATGGCATGGAGGAGTTGCATTTCCTTTTCTTCCCGTCTCCATTGTTTTCCCTATCTCCTTTCGCCTTTGTTGTTTTGCTAGGTCTTCAACCTCCATCATGTACTCGTGTTTAGGATATCTTCCCATAATGAACACCTATTTCTCCACAACTATCAAAACAACCGTGAATTAAGTATTATGATTCCCTGCTATGCGACTCGTAACATCCATTGCAAACCCCCAGCGCTCCTCGACCCATATATTATCTGTTTCTGCACATTGTGTGAACCTGGTAAATATTTCGCGTCTCGAACATCGCTCGCTCGCAGCGCATGCTGAATTCGCAAGAAACCTATGGATGTTTGATAAATTAGTAGTTAGCAGCCCGCATCATCACCACTCATCCATCCGTCCACAACAGTTCCGCGCCCTAGTTGCTCCATTATATCATGTCATTCCAAGACGCGTAAACCATGCAGAACTATGCAAACTGCCCTCCAGCAGCAACATCAGTGTACCTAGGTAGCTCCACCTACACACCAACCAAATTGCCCTACCCTACCATCTCTCCACAACAAAATAATTGGCATCGGTCCCTGCACTGGTAGAGCAAGAATACATACACCATAAAAGTAATCATTCAACCAGCACTCGCATACATGCATGCAAGCTTGCAATAAAGAATTCGAAGTCCAACATTCGCGATCAAAGTACTTCCCAATTGAGACTTAAGGTTTGGTAACCTTATTCGAGAGAGCGAAGTTAAATACACCATAAAAACTACTAATCACCCAGTACCCCCAAGCTCGGCCCGCACCAAAGAATTCAACGTTCGACGTTGAAGTTCGCGTTCGAGGTATGTAGTTCTCCAAGGCATGAGGCTTGATAACCTTAGGTAGGTATTCAACGTCAACATTCACAATGCGGCGGAATGTGCCCCAGGGATCGTAAAATGCGCCGTGCGTTCACACATCCACCCAAAATTTCCAACGTCAGCTCATGATGCTCTCTCTGTCTTGGGATTCGTAGTAGAAGGGAGGGATGGGATGTGATGGGGTTTCTAGGAATGGAGCTTTGTGGTTTGTGATTTGTTGTGTTTGTGTTTGGATTTGGGTTTGCGGTGGTGAATAATTGAGTTGGGGGTAGAAGAAGAAGAAGAAGAAGAAGAAGAAAAGAAATTAGTGTAGGGAATGGAATGGAGGGGTTATGTACTAGGTAGGTATGAAATTCCACTAGCTATGGGGAGAGGTGATGTGGTGGGTGATGTGCTATGGTGATGTGGTGGTGATGTGGTGGTGATGTGGTGGTGATGTGGTGTGGTTTCTGCTACTTCCAAGGTCAATCAACAGTGATGGGTATCTCAGCAATCCACCCCATTAAAGCACTCTCGCTTTATTAATAAGTATTCTGGAATCCTCAAAGTCAGGGAAATGACTTGAACTTCCTCAAGTCGTATACTAGTAAATACAAGAAGAAGAGAGAGATAGATAGATCAGAGGGAAAAGAAAGACGGAAATCACAAGACATATCATGTTCATCAAATGCATTCACAAGGGAAATCAGAGTACTTGTACAAAATTGTTATTACACTATTCAAGCCAAGCTATTCCTCCACCAAAAATCCTCCTCGATCGTCACCAAAGCGGAATTTTCGTACAAGTCAAGCCTGACTTTTTTTTTTTTTTTTTGGTTGTCGTTTTTCGTGTTTTTTTTTGGTGTTTTTCTTTTTCGTGTTTTTTTTGTTGTTTTTCGTTTTCAAGTTTTTTTTGAGGGGTTTCTTCAACACCACCAAGTTTCCTTTGACCAAAGTCAACTCCAGCCCACCTAGCCTAGAAACAAAGCCGATTCCCCCGAATCAACCTATGGTGAAGATAAAAATGCAAGAAGGGCCGCAGCCACGAAACTCCAACCAACACACCACACCACAACCACCACAACCACACCAACCACCACCTCAGAATCCCTAGCAAAACCGTCCCACCATATCAGCAATCACCAACAACTCACAATTACCAGTCAATGTCGATCCTGTACCCATTAATAAAACCCCACTCGGTTGTAATATTTGCTTTGAAAGACAACGAGGGACGTCCCGTGTCTCCCTGAGTCCCATTAGGCTAAGTCGGTCACGTACCCTCTCGGGTGTGCCTGCCGTCCTGGTGTTTTCCTCAGGCTATCGATGATCATGTGAGAAGGAAGTCAGGGGGCTCTCAAGCTTCCTGCCGACGCAGCCTGCTATATTTACACCGTCCTGACTATTACTCGATCTGATCTCCCGTCAGAAGCTGCATCCTGTCGTGCCATCGGCGACCGGGACGTACAGCTCTGCGAACGAAGAACCTCCGCACTAGACGTATGGTTCATCGAGGGAGATCGTATAAGGATCAACAACAAAGTTTGGTAGTATCAATGGAGGGAGACGAAGACATGGTAAGTGGAGAGGTGGATCATGAAGACATGGGTTCCCGCCCCACCAGTTCTTCACACCTGCTACCACACCATTCCGGACTGCGAACGCCTGTTTGGGGGTTAGAATTGGTCATGGTGAAAAGTGAAGGTAGGAACGGGGAGAGGAATGACGGAAATACATACTTCTTGCGATAAGAATAATAAAAATATTTGTCGAACCGGATAAAAATGATAATAATATTGTCGAGAAAGGAAAGACCGAAAGGAAAAACCGAAAGGAAAGGAGGAAGATGAAACAATTCTGCAAGGTGTGTTAGTATTTTGGCGGTAGTGCGACGGCATGTTCAAGTTGGTGACTTACCGAAACTCGAACGGGGACAGAGTCGATCGTGACCAACGAAAGCACGCAAAAGGAAAGAGGAAATCGATTCTGCAATGGGTGTTAGCAATTTGTTGGTGCCACCATGTGTCCACGTTGGAAACTCACCAAAACTCGAACGGGTCAGAATTGACCGTAATCAAACAAGCGTACGAGAACAAACACCTGTGTGCAGTTAGTATGATGTTCAAGTGATGGTGCATGTGAGGAAAACTTACATAAGAAAGGTCGGAAAAGGGTGAGAAGAGACCAGACGCAGGCGAGAATAGTGCGAATGGGTCGCTGGTGGTGGTATTGAAAGGACCAGCGTGTTGAGTTACAAAGGGTAGGTGGCTTTGTATTGTCGAAATACCGAACAAGTGATGAAGATCGTGATCAAAGGGACTCATGATCTTGGGTCGAGACGAAAAGATGCGTCGATTCTTTGCAGCGGCCGCTACAAAAAAAAGACACTCTGCAAGTCCGAATCGCTTGTAAGGTTGAAGGTGACCAATGGTCCACGAGATGAGCTTGTCGAGAGAAATCGAGGTTGAGAAATTTATGCAGTTGGCGCTACACAGAACTCTCAAGGTCGAAAACTGTCGAGGGCTCGATCAAGTGGTTTGGTCGATTGAAGGGGAGGAGACAACGAGTGGTTCAAGAGACGAAGTAAATCATTTTCAATTGCAGTTGGCGCTACAAAAGAAAGGTTGATAAAGTCCTTCTAGAGAAAACTCGTTGTCGAAGAAGTCGAGGATACCAGGAACAGAACAATGATCGAGATCGATGGATAAAGGCACTCAATGATTGAACTGTTGGATCAGGTCAAATTGGTCAATCACTTGCAGCAGGCACTACAAGCAAAAGGCAAATTGAGCCGAAGAAGAAGGTATCGACGCACGAGAAGATATTGAAGGATAATGAAGAACAAAAGAATGATCGAGATCGGTAGGCGGAGGCACTCGATGATTCTAATGTTGGACCAATACCAAAGAGATCAATCTCGTGCAGCAGGCACTACACGAAAGAGACCAAATTGACATGGCGAAGGTTGATATCCGACAACGAGAAAGGAAGAAGAAGGGAGCGGAGGAGGGATGACGAAGAACAAATCAATTGAAGAATAAAAAAGATCCAAGGCGGCACTTTGATGATTGAGATGTTGGATCCAGACTGGAGTTTGTTCGATTCAAAGCAGATGGCTGGTCCGCAAAGAAAAGAACAAAGTCCAGTCTGGAAAAGATTCGTGTCGAGAAAAAAAGAAATCAGAAGAGGTACGGTGGATGGGGAAGTATTTAAGTTAAATGGGAATGGGTGTCGGTGCGCTAGATCACTTCGCTTGAGTGATGTAAAATTTTCTTCACTGGCGGCTTATTCAAGTTGAAGATGGAGAAATGAGAGGAAAGTGAGAGAAAGTGAAGGGAAATGAGGCGGAATACCTTGTCGGCGTGTGTTGGGGAATGAGATGTGCGCCAATTTTCTTTCTTCCGACCTTGTTACTCTGCCGTCTTTCCGATAAGTCGTGCCATAAATGACATGGAAAGTGAATTTGTTCTTTGTTTTTTTTTTCTTTCGGCAATTAGGTGTAGCAGAAAAATGGCGCAATCGGTGGTGGTGAATTACTTGTGAATTATTGTGACGATATCACCAATAGAAAATTTGGTTGGGGACGGCAAGGGTGGGAAGGCAGTGCAAAGGATGAAATTTTCATTCAAACTGTCAAATTTACATAGTATCTCGAGTGAATATCATGAGTCAATGACTTATGGGAATATTTGGGAGGGTTTGGAGGGCAGCAAGGTACCTCGGCAGCGAGGTGGATTGATTGTAGAGAGTGGGAAGTGGGAAGTGGGAAGTGGGAAGTGGGAAGTAGGAAGTGGGAAATGAGAAAGTGAGGGGTTCAAGGTTGGGAATTGGATATTGAAGTTGAAGTTGAAGTTGAAGTTGACGGTGACGTTGTAGAGTGAAGTCATTTAAAGTTGATATGATAGTCGAACCTGACGTTAACCCTTGCTGCTGCTGCTGCTATTGCTGGTGCTCCTCTTGTTGACCTTGATATGTCCCAATTTATATCTTCAAGTCTGAGTTGCAAGAGAACTTCCAAAGAAAGCAATCACCGTCTATCTACCAATCCTTCCTCTTCCTATGACCATACCCTCTTCTCGTTTTCATCCATACTCTCATTGACGTCACATGATGTAAATTGTGAATCAAGAACTCAACATCAAGTGATCCAAACAAACTGTTCCATAAACACCGCTCTTCACCAAAGGATAGCATCATTCGCGTAAAGTCAAAGTGAAGTCAGAATAACATCAACATACAAGTGGCCTCATAAGACTACCTACTCAAAGCCTCAACCCCAGAAATCCCCATGTATTCTCTCTATAGCAAAATACCCTACTTGCCATTCATCTCAAAGCAACCCAATTCACAAGTGAAAACCATACAAATAATAGATCAATGACATGAATCCAAAGTGAGGTTGATATGATACGTGCAAGTTCAAGAATCAAAGAGTATGGTACGTATAGTATGTACATATAATCTATGTCAGACATATATATCAATCCCAAGCTAATAAATATCCATCTTCTCTTCCTGTACTGCTACGTAGACACATCGGTACTTTTATTGCCATCATCCAATATACTTATTATTATTACATTACTGTGATTTACAAATACCAATCATACACTTTTATTAACATATCACTCCCTCCTTCCCTACCCACCTCCCCACCAAATCCTCTCATCAATTTCACCCATCCGGCAAATTCCTCACGCCAGACACCGCCATACACCAAACACCATCATCCTCACTTCCCCCCTTCCTCACGTTACTTCCCCCGCACCCCTTCCTCACGTTACCTCCCCCACGCCCTCCTCTCATTGGTCCCCCTCCCCCAAACATCTCTTGTTGCACATCTCAAAAATCAATCACCTTTGCCCTTCACCAGTACCGTTCACCAGCACTTTTTCCACAAACCTTTGCAAAAATTACATCGTCTGGGAATAAAAACACTTTTGAATTTTATTCCCGATTGATATATTTGGTTTCGGACCTTGGATGGAAGATGATTTCGGGTTCGGGATTCGGGTTCGGGAAGGTTGGGCGGGAGGAGAAGGGTGGGGTGTTCCGAGGAGGCATTTGAAAGCGGTGTGAGGTGAAGGTGGGGTGTGTGTATGATTACTTGGATTTGTATTCCTAGAGAAGGATTGGAGGGGGAGGTAGATGGGTAGTGACTGGCTGTATCGTTTGCCGTGATATGGGAACGAGTGAGTATCTCAAAGGAAATGTGGCATGGAAGTGAGCTACCCAGCCAAGCAGGTGGTAAAGCGCAGGACAATCATGTGTCAGAGGGAAAAGGATTTCATCATCATGTTCATTTGGCTCCGAGATGTAGATGGAAACTTTGGTATTGTAAGATCTTACATTAAATCTTTCTACATCTATATATACATACTAGGCACATAACAAATGAGAATATCTTATGGAGACTAAAGGACAATAGAATTTATTACATCGAATCGAGAGACTTCTCCCACATCCAACATCCAATATCCAACACTCAAACTATCTCACCGAACCTTCATCTCAACTCCACAGCTCATCTACACACATCCTAACTCTAGCTCAATGCTACAAATCAACCCCCTCATCAAATCTCCAAACTACATACAAAACAGCTGGCCACATTAGATTCCCCCCCAGTATACCTTGCCACCAACAGATACACACACAAATTCCTCTCAATCATCGTTTCATTCCCCGTCGGCGTCGTCCTCGCTACCAACACATCGAGCGCCACCCCCTGTTCAACCCATCGAACCAAAGCCCCTATCATATCCACCGGATACGGCCCATTACCACCCAAACAATTCTGCACACCCGGCACTTCAAAGAGTCGGAACAACATCTCTCACGTTCAAATCTCTCTGCTCGACCAAATGATAATATTGTATTGTGCCACCAAGAGGATTAAGTTGGTCCGATAAACCATGCCAGGAAATCATTTTCTTCCCGTCTCTTTAAATGTCGAGAGATCGGGATCCGCATTTCCGATGATCGATGCATGCATATTGTTGGACGGATGAATGTATCAGACGTGCGGATTCTTGCTGGGTGGTAATGTCAAGAGCAAACGATGCATTTTTCACAACAAACAGATCAATCCAGTCGGATGCGAATGGAGCGGGAAAACCCACACCCTGTGCATTTCCGTCCGCGCAAAAAGTAATGACAGTGCCGGTGCTGAGAGAACTCGAAGGATCCAGCCCGTACCACAGGAAACTACCATCCTCGGCTCTGGGACCCTCCCAAGCTGCTTGAGCAACGATAGCTGCTTCCGAGGAAATCATCGTCGTGCTTCCATCTGTGCAGCTGACGTTTCTTCCAACTGTGGAATTGGCGTGGAAATTGCAAAGACCAGGCGCGCTCAAGATACCGTCTGTAACACCATCCAGACCATCGCAAGATTTGACTGCGGCAGCGGTAATGGCGTCGGATTCGCACGGGCTAGGGTAGACTCCGAGGTGGTTCATGAGAAATTGAGGCTAATACCTCGCAGGGACCAATTCTGCTCAATGAATTCCTAGCGCGCTGGCTAAAATTCCATCGTACCCATCGGGATAGCGCTGAGCCATCATCATCCCCTGTCTTCCACCCGTCGAACAGCCATTCCAATATGAGTAATCGGGATTCTTTCCGTAATATGAAGCTGCCACAGACTTTCCAATCATCGTCATCCCATTCACGGTGACCGAAGCGAAATCTTCAAGTAAGTAAAGATTGACATTTCCAGGTGATACCTGAGCTCATCAATTGGTTGCGTATAATTCAATGGTGGTGAGATCATTATTTTCAACATAGTGACCACCATCTGTACCAGGTGCATGTTAAATTTAATCACTTCTAGCTAGGAAGACTTCTTCCTGGACTTTGGCTAGGGGTGGGGATACGAAATCATGGTTATCTATACCTGGGTATGTAAAGTTTTCCACCTCCCCTTCTCTTCATAAAGAATGAATAGTCTATGAACAAGTTCACTAAATTGGCGAAGGCTTGGGTCTCGTGAGGATCCAGAAGCCCTTTGAACGTGTGAGGGAATGGGCACCATTGGATCTATATATAATGTAGAAAAGGGCTGTGCAAAGAAAACTTCTTACAGTATACGGGGAATATAATACCATTCAATTTTCCCTATTAGCTCCGTCGTCATTCATCTATACTAAGTCTCAAGAGAGAAGTGCCAGCCCTGTGATAGTCTGTCAGTCTATCAATCGAAAATGATCCAGTATGCACCCACTGGTGTAAAGAAGCGTGAAAATTACACGCATAAATACCAAGCTCAAGGAAAGACTCATCACTATATAATACCACAAGCAACAGTCTGCAGGGACCCGAGTCTTTTGCCTACTTTCCGTGTGGAGTTGCAAGAAGGTTAGCTAGGGCGGAAAGCTTGGCTGTAGATCATAATCCTCTTGTGTGCTATTGAGTGTTACCCATACTCCTTGCTCCTTCGATATCGCACACATAACCAAATGAGGACGACTGTTTGAAATTGTGCGAAATACTCTTACTAAAAATGAAACACGTCGTTAAAGCTGGAGAGACTAGTTTACCATGAAGAGATAACACATCCAGATACTTTAATTCAAATTTAAATTCTCAGACTCATTACTCAAATCCATTCATGATGCATAAACACAAATCAAATCCCAACACTTTTCGAATGAAATTTCAATCACCGTACCTCCCCCTCCCCCCTCTCCCTAACGATCCCCAATCCCTAAACCCCCTCCAAGCCCTCAAAAAGCGTAACCCCCCATTCCTCCCCCGGATTATTAAACCTACTCAACCACTTCCTCCCCACAAACCTCAACCTCGTCAAATCCGCATGCGTCAACTCACAGTCCCCCGCATGCAAATTCTCCTTGATCCATTCCTCATGACTACTTTTCGGAATCACACTAATCCCTCTTCCCATATTCCATTTTAGAGCTACCTGAGCTGGAGTGCAATTTCGTTGCTCGGCAACGTCAAGGAGGATGGGGTTTTGGAGGAGAGGTGGAGCTTTTGGTTTTGAGGAGGGGGGGCGGAAGAGGGATGTCCATGATGCCCATTGGGATGAAGAAAATGAGAGTGATGTGGAAGACAATGATTGATAAGTGGGGTTAGTATTTCCCAATGGAGAATAAGCCGTCATTTTAATACCAAGAGCTTTATGCGTCGCTACCCACGCCGATTGTTGTAAATAGGGATGGAGCTCCATTTGATGCGCATATGGCATCGTACCAGTCGACACGACATTCTTGAGTTGGAGCGGAGAGAAATTCGATACCCCGATATTGAGAACACGAGATTTGGGAAGGGAAATCATGGATTTGTAAGTCTATTTCGTGTTAGTCGGAACCCGAGAACGTGGAGAAAATGAAAACGAACCTGGACATGATCGGGATTCTTCGTTCCATTGGATGAGAAACCAATTGGCCAGTGTATGAGATATAGATCCAGATACTCGAGGTCTAGATCTTGGAGAGTCTGATTTAACCCCCTTTCCACATTTTTATAACTTCCATGACTATTTCATCGAACAATTAGTGAATTTTTTTTAACCAAAATCACCCTCAATCAATCATCCCCATCTCAAACCACCCCGTGAAAAATAAAACAATAATAACATACTGATCATTCCAAAGTTTACTCGTCACCCAAATATCCTCTCTCCCCAACCCAGCTCTCTTCATCCCCTCTTTAATTCCCTGTCCTACCGCCACTTCATTCCCATACGCCGCCGCACAATCAATCTGTCGATATCCAATGTCGATTGCGTACGCGACGGCTTCAGTGGTGTTTTCAGGAGAAAGATTTAGATTCCATGTTCCGAAACCGATCAGAGGTTGAGGAATCGTTTGTTTTTGGGATGGTGATAGCAAGGCGGAAGATGGTGGTGTGATCGGATGTTGTTCAGCTGAGAGATATAGGGCGTTGATGATGTTAGAAAGGAGGAATGCGAGAGGAAGGAAATTGATAATTTGCATGATGGATCGGATTCAAGGAAAACAAAATAAAGATTGAATTGAGAATATATTCAGTTCTGGAAATGGAACCTCATATATCGTGGAGGTTTGGGTTCAGCTGTTTGTTTTATACTAGGGTCGGTGTTAAGGTTACCTTACCAGTTATATAAATTATGACGATGACGTTGAAATGAACAAGGGTTCACATCGCTGTGGCGCCAGCGAGACTCCAATGCATTGATATCCGGTAGATTGAAGTACATGTACTCGGAGTAGAACACAAACAATAATACAAAGAATCTTGAAATTAAAAGCTACCCATTATATTGTAAGTTGTACTCAATCAACATTTCTTCCAGATATGCACCAATATTCATCAAACAAACCACCTTGATCCGCAAAGACAAAGGCGGTGAATCTCCATTTGCTAAGCTAACCTCGCCATACCGTGTGATACAAAGCCCAAATTTCACAAGAGAGGAATGAAAGTCAATCATCAGAACGGTACAAAGACCAGGTCCGTCTAGTAGAATCATAAAATTCAAATCAACAAGTAGACAAAAATTAATCATAAACAGAGACAAGCATCAAGCTTTCATCCTCAAAATCCTATAAAATATCCTACGCTACCACATAAACATTAACCCCTTACTCCATGGATATCAAATCCCCATTTTCATAATCATCATTAAACTCATCGAGACTAGATAACCATCGCTGAATCAAAACTCAGAACATAAAATCTCGATCCTATACATCTTACTTTCTTCCCCTCGCCAATAATTTATCCCCCAACTCAGCTACCGCTGAGCCCCAAGAAACATTAGTTCCATCTCCCTTCTCCTTAGCATAATTGCCTAGTCTATTAAGAAGGAACTCCCTCATCTTCGGTTCATTAAACCTTTCCCCATAAATTACTTTTGCAACTGGGGAAATCTCCACATCAAATCCTTCTTCCGTGCTGTGACTAATGAGACTGAAAGCTAATTCGACCTTTGTATTAAGAGCCGCAATCAATAACTTTGACTTGACGAGGATAGAGTTATCCGATGTTTTGGTGACAACAGTTGGGCAAATAATATTAAGTAGATAAATATCATCCACCACTCTTGCGGCTTTGTTCCAGGCTACGCTAACAGAATTGAGCAGAGTCTTGATTTCGGTTTCTGATTGTGGTAATCCTCGAACGTGATCACGGATGCATTGAAGGAGAAATTCCTTTTCGGGGGTGAGGGTTAATGGATTGTATTCACGATTGGCGGCGATGTACCAAAGATCGATTCTTGAATTTTCTGGCTTTTGGGTCTTGCTCGAAGCATTTGACTTGAATGCAGCTGCGTCGAATACAAGTTCAATCTCCTTTCGATAAGTCATTGAAGTCGTTGTTCCAGAGACACCGGTGATAGTCCAACCATGCTTCTTTTCAAGAGCATCCACTTTTGCTAGAAAATTGTTAACGATGTTCATAGATTATGGCCAGAGACTGGCACGTACCTTTAAGATTACTAAGCTCGCTCGAACTCCAACCTCGGCACTCCTCTCGAATCTTTTCCGCTTCACGAATTTCTTCCAGGAATGTTGCCTTTTTTGCAGTGCCACCTTCAATTTCAATTTCTTTTGCTTGAAGTTGTTTCTTCAATTCCTCAATCATGTGCCTTTTTGCATCAACATCAGCTTCAACAATGATCAGCTGCTGTCGAGCTTCACTGAGCTCGTCAGGATCACAGCTAGCAATTTCTTCAGCAGCAGTCTTCAGGTTGGTCTCCTCATGTTGAAGTTGCTGAGCTCGTTTGACCATCTTTGGAAGCACAGCATCTAGTAGTGCTTGTTGTTTGTCCAGGATTTCTTCATCATTGATCATGCCTTCAGCACTTCTAACGAGTTCATCCTTAACAGTCTCAAGTAATGTTGATCGCCAATCATACCACATACCTTTACTGAGAAGACGGGAATGCGTCTTGACATTCTTGAGTTGATTGTCCATGACAACCTTCATATCAGCCGGCGCAGAAATATATTCACGGAATAGTGGAGGGTTCTCCTCGAAGGTTTCACTCTCGATCTCGCGAACTGTTTTTCGACCATCTGATATATACTTTTTGAGTTCATGACAAGCCTAATTGTGTTAGTATGACCATGCGCTATCAAAAGGAAATTGTCTGGATAACTTACATGCTGGAATAACTCAAGCATAGGAATGGTAGCAGCACCCGCCGCAACACAATCTTCAAGTGAAACCTTGGCTTGATCGGACAGTCGATTCCTTATCGGTCCATCGCTAGACCGTTTTGGTGCAATTGTATGTCTTCGTTTGGTAGTTGTCAATTCCATGAATCGAATACTTGTCATATTTAAGAAATCCTGTAACTGTATGCGCTCATTGTCCAAGGTTTCCTCGGGTAGTTTTGGATATTCGACTGGTTCTGTCTCCTTGAACGGAATTGCCACAGGCTCAGCCAAATTGGCTTCCGCATCTTTGAAACGTCCTTGATCATGTGGTGTGGTAATTGTGTCCCTGATGGGCGAAGTAGTGAGAGTAGGAGTGATAGAAGGAACAGTCGAATCTTCCATACTCTTTCGGCTCGACCGGGTTAGACGACCAGTTGTTGTTTGTTCCTTAGTGGGTGGCCCTTGGAGATGGACATTCTTCACAGGACTGCCCTGATGATTTCTCAGTCGCTTCATACCACTCTCATCTGAATCTGAATCATCCTCATCCAACTCAGCGGGTCGTTTGCCCAAAAGTCCGATTGCAGCACCAGCATGTAAACTCTTGCGGCCTTTCATTGACTTCTTCTTAGGAGTTAGACTGCTGATCATTTCCTTGAGGTTCAGAGTTGCGTCTTTTTCTTCTCCTTCACCTTGATCCGCTTCACGCTCCATTATCTTACGTCCATTTTCTCTATCTTCTTCTAATTCTCGCTCCCTGTCAACTTCCGCTTCCATGATACGAGGATCTTGGAATCGTACACCACGATTCAGATCAGCTGGCTGGGTAGGTGTAAATGATCGTGCCTGTTCTCCAATCGATCCGCGTCGGTCTAGCAATGCAGCAACTTTTGGTGACCCCAGTCCTATTCTATCGAGACCAATGCCAGTAGACAATCGTTTTTGCGGTGTTAGTATAAAGTTAGGTGTTGCAAGGCCGGTATTGCTGTCTTGCTTGAATAACTTATTGGGTGTTTGTTTTTTAATTGGAGTTGTACGAGGAGTAGAAGATGATTCTTTGAGGTCAGGCTTGAAAAGTCTCTTTGGCGATCCTGTACGCATGAGGATGTTTTTGGATGGTGGAGTTTTGCCAGGATGAGATGGTTGAGCAGGTTGTGGAGTGAGCTGTTTTTGTGGAGTGGTAGGTTTCTTGACTGGCGTTAACATCTTAGACTTTGGTGTAGACTTGGGCGTTGTAGAGATTCGATCCATGCTTCTACGAAGACCTTTTCCTTTGAATCCGGCTGTAAAGCTTGGGCTGCGACTTTCTGGTGCCGCGATCAAAGCATTATGGTTAACGGGCTTTGGTGGAGAATTGGCGGGAACATCTACTCGAAATGGTGAACTACCAAGATCTGTTTCCATTTCCATAATCTTCTTGGCTTGATTTCGATCTCCAGCATTCAATCGTGGAAGAATACCACCTAAAGCCTTGGTCATTTCCATCCCAACTGTTACATCCATATCCATTTCCTCGGTCTCGTCCATAGTCGGAGGTATGATACGACCCACCGCAGTAGTCATATCCATGTCCATATCCATTCCCATCGTTTCATCCCCGGCTGCAGAATCTAGGCTTTCGCGATTTTGGCTTGACTTTGCGTTTGAAGCCGTCGATACTCGTCTTTTGTTCTTCGCCGCAGGTGGCTGTGATAGCACGCCACCGATTGCCGATGTAAAATCCATGCTCATATCCTCATCTTCGGAAACCTCCTCATCATCTTGAGCTGCATGAATTCCACCTATAGCAGCAGTCAAGTCCATGGTCTGTTCTCCGAATGCCGACTCTTCACCTGTTGATATTCTACGAGTACTTTGACAACGGCCCGCTGGATTGAGTTTTGCTCCAGGTTGGTTGTTGGGAATAATGCCACCGAAAGCACGAGTGACATCCATAGAAAGCTCGTCATCTTCTCGTTCTTGACCTGGTAAGATTCTACCAACTGCACTTGTCATATCCATATCCATTGTCATCTCTTCTCCATCTGATTGTTCAGCATCTTGCTGGATATTCGATTTGGATGCTGATGAGAAAGGATTTACATTCTCTTGGTCTACTTGTGCTTCTAGAGGGGCCTTCTTCGCCCATGGAGCAAAGGAGGCAACGATCTCATTGTCTTCACTCATTTTGGTATCTCCTTGTTCATCGAAACTCATTGCTGGTGTACCAGCTTGGTTTGCAGCTCGCCTTAAAGATTGTTCTAACATCGTATCTGAACCGACGCTAAAGCCTGATTGAACTGATGCCATTGACATATTTGTTGTTTCTCCCCCATCCATAGTCATTCGGGTCCCATCGTCATCATCATCCGAATCATCAGAAGCAAATTCATTCTCTTCGATATCTTCAGCACCCACAGAACTCCCACTCATAGGACTGGATGAGAAAGCGTCGTTGGGGTCATTGAAATTCATAGGAGGTATGACAGAACTTCTGCGGCGCTTCTTTTGATGTAGGTCGCGTTGATGTTCTGGTGACCCACTCGCTGTGTCATCTTCGATTTGTTCAGGTGGTGTTGATGGAGGCTCCGAAGGGTCTGAGCTAGGTGGTCCAGAATTTTGCTGGTGCGGGGTAGTGACAGAGTCCCCAGTGACATTCGAGGCCTGGCGGGTGGAATTTGTGGAATTAGACGATGTGGTAGAATCTTGATATTCTACAACAACATCCCAAGTATGAAGTGTTGCTTCAGGCGCAAATGAAACACGTCGATTAGCAAGAGACTTGCGGCGGGCATCTCGTCTAGCATTAACTTCTTTCTGCATATCAGCTCTTTCCTTCTCCTCCCTCTCTCTAGCAGCAGCTTGCTGCTGTTCCTCCGTTCGCAATGCGACTCGACTGTCATTGTTGGTCTTCGGCATTTCGATATGAAATGGATCATCAAGTGCTTCGGCGCCTGATGCCTTTGAGCCAGCGTCAACACCAAAATTGATTAACTCAGAGCTTGGAAGTGGTGGTGAAGGTGTTTTGGTCTTTTTTGGACTCGACTTTTTGTTGGGGTTATGCGCCGGAATCTCACGGAGAGGTGGCATAGTAGGTTTTAGGATGGATCTGGGAGGTGGTTGAGCTATCGTAGCCAGAGACTATACATTCATTTAGCCAGGTTCTTGACTTCCACATTGTGTGAGATGCTTACCTTGCGACGATTGCCAGTGGTATCTTTCAGTGCATCTAGCCCGCCAGGGCCTATACTCTTACTCCTCTTCTTTCTTGCTGGCTTCTCGATTGGAGTCCTTTTTCCAGTGAGAGCTCCAAGTTCCGCCGTCATATTTTCTTTGTCTGCAGGTATTGCGGATAATGATTTTCTTGATTTTGGGCGGCGAGTCGCGGGAAGTGTAGCTTCCTCCAAGGAAGACATTTTGAATGTCGCCGAATGTGAATTATTTCAAGATATCATAAATTATTCCCTATATGCTAGTTATGAAGTTTGGAAGAGTAATGTTGAATTCTTGTCTTAATGTTGCTATGCCGAAAATGAAACAAACCCCAAATAATTCAAAGTAAACAAACAAGTCGCGTTCAGATCCAAACGAGAAACTCGGTCCAACTTCGGAAGTTAATTCACAACTCAAATATTCATAATAAAATTATTCAATCACATGATCTTCATAAGAGCATCCTCGCTTAGCCGATTACCTTAGCGGCACACACATTTCGAGAAAAATTGGAAATTTACAGAAGCCTTCAATCGACATTCCTATCGACGACCACCACGAATTTGCGACCTATCGACCAAATTTCGCAGCCATGGCCACCGAACTTACCGTACAATCGGAGCGCGCTTTCCAAAAGCAACCTCACATCTTCCTTAACTCTAAGTCGAAGGCCAAGTCCAGCAAGGTTGGAAAGGGTGGCCGCAGATGGTACAAGGACGTTGGATTGGGATTCAGAACCCCAAAGACCGCCATTGAGGGAAGCTACATCGGTATGTGGATTTTTCTACAGGTTCTTGGAATCGAGGTGGAATCAAACAATGCGACACGGGAATTTGGAGGCTGTATCATATTTGTTCGAGATGGGAGATTGAGGATTTCGAGTGGTGAAACGAAATATGGAGGAGATGTCGAAAATTGAATCGAAATCGAGCGCGATGCTAACAAGAAATTCTCAATAGACAAGAAGTGCCCATTCACCGGTCTCGTTTCTATCCGCGGTCGTATCTTGACCGGAACTGTTGTTTCCACCAAGATGCACCGTACCCTCATCATCCGCAGAGAATACCTCCACTTCATCCCAAAATACGCCAGATATGAGAAGAGACACAAGAACCTCGCTGCCCACGTTTCCCCAGCTTTCCGTGTTGAGGATGGTGATCAAGTTACAGTTGGACAATGCAGACCATTGAGCAAGACCGTACGTAATCAATTGCGCAGACACTCAGATTTCTCTTTATGAATTATATTTCATTTCCACAAAGCAGAAAGAATGCACTTAACTAATGAAATTATAACAGGTCCGTTTCAATGTTCTCCGTGTCCTTCCCCGAACTGGCAAGGCTGTTAAGTCTTTCAGCAAATTCTAAATGGGTTCTTTATCGTACAAGGGGTGCATGTGGTTTTCGGGATGTTGATCAGGAGGGTTGTGATCATATGAATACTGGAAAAGCAGCATGAAAATCATGTGCAATAGCTACGGAAAAGTAAATCAATGCCACGACGTTCCCGACACAAGACTTTGCGCGATTTGAAGCTTGGTGATGTGGATTGATATGATCAATGATATAATTTCAAAAAAAAAAAACAAGCTTACCCCAGATTTCAAAGTTCCAAAACTCTCATTGCTACTGATCTCTTTGGTGTATTTATATATCCACATACGTTCGCACATACTAGGTACGAAAAAGAAATGGATTTGGGGTCAACACAATATCAGGAAGGATAATGGTCATATATGACCCAAGAGAATGCGTTTCAGCACGACGGACCCCCAAGATTGCGGCAGGATATTAGCTCTATGTGCAGCGTCCATGCATGCCGTGAGTCGTCCAAATGGCCATGAATTTTATGATCAATGTGTTGAAATGGGAATCAAGACAAGAAACGTTTGCGACGACACAAGTGACTGTACGCATCTTCATAGCATTTCAATTAAGTTGCAGCGATTTGAATTTCAAACTTCCCATTATGCCTAATTATACCCAGACTGGTCGTGATGCGTCAGTATCAAGTATTGATTAGGAGTTTATTGATAATCATTAATAAGATGTCTACTCCGTGGGCGCCGAATTAATATTGACGTTTAGATAATTTCCGGACTCAACCCCATCCTTGGAGATGTTGTATTTTATAGAAATGAATAGGCGGTACATCTTTCTTTCGTCTAGCGTCAAACTTTCCCCCTTATTCTAACTTTGGGTTAGAATATTGATATGCGAGGTGAAGCTTTCATCAATAGTGTAATCATCAAATAAGCTTCTAGCTCCTTGATTCTATATGGAGATTAGACTCTGTGGAGGGAGCTTCCAAGTTCTATTCTACCTAGGTACCGGTATATCTTGTATCTATTTACTATCAGCCACAGCTATCAGCCACTTCTTTATACATTTTAACTTTCGGTTTCATTCATATTCATATTCATTTTCATATTCATTTTCATATTCATTTTCATATTCATTTTCATTTCCCTTGATTCTACTATCGAGGTCCGAAGCACTATCAATCAATCAATCAATCAATCTTCATCTAGACGACTTGGACCTACCCAGTAGATTCTCCCACCCCATCCTCCATTCTTTGTCACAGACATCACTCTCGCGTTCTCCATCAAAACCATTACATATATTGGCCCTTCTCCACTCTCAGAATTTACATCCAAAAAGTCCAGTGCACACTCGAGACACTGCACAAAGGGGCAACAGATCTCTCACTGCCCTGACCATTTACCGAATGCGATGAAATCCCAGAAGATTCGAAACAACAAAGAATGCACCAGCCAGTAATAGAGACTGGTCCTCGAAAGCATTGCTTAAGAATCAAATATTGTAGGTGCTCAAATTTAACTTCAAGTCAGCAATCTCTTAGCAATCAATCATTTAACACTTCTCTAGGTATCATCCAGGTAGATCGTAGCAAGCAAGTATTGAAAAACACAAAGACACCCCGTCCGTCGTCCCAAAGGATTGGGTAATACATATATATATACATATATATATTTATATATTACCAGTACACAGATACCTATATATACTCTCCGTACATGTCCCTAGGCATTTATACTTTCAGCCCTGTCCTATCTGGCTGTATTGGGAATCTTTCTAGAATTTCCAAGAGATGGATGATTGAATGGATGAACGACCTCCATGCATTGTATGTACTCGCTCACTCATTCACACTGTATGTATTTGTAACCTTGGATTTTCTTTGGGATAAATGCTAAATAACTTATTACGAACGGAGTCTTTTATCATTTGTAAATTCTTATTTATTCATTCATTTGGGTGAATAACCTCATTTCTTTGAATATCCAAATCGCTTGAGCATATCGATCGAATTACGTTCCTTTTACAACTATATTTTACCCAAAATTTTATCATCTATACCCTCTGGACCATTTCTCTCACCACATATACCCTATCATCAGGTCTATCTATCTCATGGCGATCATCAACACCAAAGAAATCATAATGAAAGATCCTCTTTCCCCTCATTCCTCACATTTCGATTTCGGTACTCCTCCTCCTTCACCACCACCATCAACCACCACCTCGAAATCTCCATGTCTTCCTCCGTTCACATCAAATTCAAAGACTAGTTCAACAGTCACGCCTATATCCGATAAATATTCGACTTCGAAACCATGGTACCATACCACTATTGGAAAACGTTTAGGTCCGAAAGCACGTGAGTTATTGGAAAATTATAGTCATATACCTCCCGAGGAAGTAGATGCGCATGTCTATAAAATGGTATGTAAGATTTCTAGGATTACATTCCCATCGTTTCATCCCACTCCTTTCTTGCTTTTCTTTTATGTCTTTCATGTCTTTCAAATCATTTTGTTTTGAGTGAGAGAATGAGATATTTTTAGAAAAGAAAAGAATCTTGAAGAAAAGGGATAAAATCTTGAACAAATAGAAAAAGAACCTACATTCCCCCCTCCCCCCTGCCTTTCTACCTACCTACCTTGCCCATAGAAAAAGATGTCTAAATGATTAACACCCAATCTCTACACATAGCGCGATCTCCTCTGGAATCAAACCCCCTACCCTTCCATCGGGAATTTTTCCTTCCTAACCCTGCGTCTACTGACTCACCCACTTTATCCCCGCATCGTTGAGATTCTCTCCACACCATCTACACCTTCTAATGCACCGGCTCTTTTTCTTGATCTCGGTTGTTGTGTTGCACAAGAGTATGTTCATATATCATTAGTCGTCGTTCATTTCCTATCCATCATCTCACCTCGTCTCTTCTTCTCATGCTCACTTACTATCCCAAACCTCCTCCTAATCATTACTTTTCGCCCCCAAATTCATATTCATATCGATACTGAAGCATACTTTCACCACAAAAGCTAAGCTAATACAATACAATCTAGACTCCGTTCTCTTGCTTACCATGCCCGTATCCCTCCCTCTCAACTCTACGGCACAGATTACAACGCCTCCTTCCTAAAATCCTCCTACAAAATCTTCCTTGATGCTTCTCACCCCCAATCCCAATCCCAGTCTCCATCTCAATCCTTCACTCTCCTCCCAGCCAATATCCTCGATCCCAATTTCTTCACTCTCACTTTCAGAAACCACATCCATTCCTTCTCCATCATCCACGCTTCTCTCTTCATGCATCTCTTCACCTGGGATCAACAACTCCTCGTTTGCGCTAATATAGTCAAACTCCTCAAAAACACCGAAGGCGCCCTATTCGTCGGGTGTATGGTGGGGAAACAGGGAGGCGGAACAGGGGAACAGGGGAGATGGCTTCATGATGCGGATTCATGGGTTAGATTGTGGGGGGAAGTTTGGGAGCAAGTAGGTATGACGGGGAGTTGGAAGGTTCAAGGAGAATTGAGAGACTTACCCGGGGATTTGGGAAAGGAGGGAGAGGATGAAGAGGAGTGGGAGGAACGTATGGTGGGGAAGGAGGGCGTGGGAGTGGGCCTTTTTGAATTCTCGGTTGAGAGGACGGGAATGGGGAGTAGAGAGTCGAGGTTGAGGAATACGTGATTGATATACATTTATATATATATGGATGTTTGTATGTTTGTATGGAATTTCTATATGGGCAGGCGTGCAGCGCAGGGATAATCCAATGTTAGTATTGATTTGATTTCTATATGCAAGTGTATGGACGATGAATTGGACATGGATGGATATATGAGATAGTATAGATAGGAAATGAACTTTTTCACGAATATAAAAATAAACGATACAAATATACATATATAACCAAATACCCAATCTCACCTGACCTAATCCAACCTACCTGTGTCTCCCATATCCAGATAGATACATCTCCTCAAGTATTTATGTGTATATGATTCACGCACAGCAATCCACCATCATATCGCGTCACGTCACATCGTATTACAACGCAATACAACACAAGCATGCACACATCCGAACTCGAACCTGGACCCGACCTGGACCCGACCTCGCCCCCGAATTTGAATCTAAATGTGAATTAAGACAGTGAGTAAGTAGCCCGGTAAGCACATCTACACGAAAGAATTTTTTCCTTTTTTTTATTTCTTATCTGAAATCGACTTCCTCATGTAAGCTGATATTATGAGTGATATTGTGTTGGGATTGCAATTGGGGTGGGAATTGGAATGGAGATGGGGATTGTGGCCGGTGTTCTGTGGAGTTGTGCTGTGGGATGGGGAATGGGGAATGGGGAATGGGGAGGGAAATAGGGGAATGAGAGATGGAGGGGATTTGGGATTTGGGGATTGGGGATTGGGAAAAAGGAGGTGAGGGGGGGGAGAGCTTGAATGTAAGGTGGAGGTGGGAATGTGAGGGGGGGAGGGCAAGAGAGGGCAAGAGAGAAGCGGAAATTAGAAGAGTGGTAGGAGTGGAGATAGAGATGTAAGTTGAAGGTCGAGAGCGGGAGAGTGAACAGTGCAGAGCGGAAGTGGAGAGATGGACATGGAGAGTGGAGGTGGGAGAGTAGAAGAGAGGGAGGGTGGAAGTGCAGAGTACAGAGTGCAAGTGCAAAGTGGAGAGTGGAAGAAAGGGAACTTGTCAATGTAATATGGTGTAATATAGTATATAGAATATCTAGCTTCCTTCTCCCATGTTTTTAATAATTGAAAAAAATAGACAAATGAACTGTTAAATATCTTGAGATTTGGATTTAGATTTAGATTTATAGGGAGGCATTCTAAAAAAATTCTTATCCATACATGTATGTATATAGTGAGTAAGTAGGTAACAAAATGATTAGTATTATGATTCAATGTATATATTACAACAACACCATAACCGATATCCCTACATCGTGCACGCCCCTGTATCGTGCACACTTTTATTTCTTTTAAAAAAGATATTCTAAATTCAATATATAATCAATCAATTATTGAATTCTATTAATAATTATAAAACTATTTATTTCTTATAAAGTAATTAAATGTTACAAACGGATTAGTAACAGGCTGTAGAATCACCAACGTATAGGCTATAATGGTACTATAAGCCTCGGTGATTCAGCTGCAGTATACCGGGGGACGCTAGGCACCCAGGAGAGCCTCAGGCACGTATATAGTATTAGTCATAGTATACCCTAGAAACATAGGACATAGTTCCCAGGACAATAGGTCCTAGGAAAGACAGAACACAGTAAGCAAGAAGGCTTCACTAGGATTAGTAATGTCCCAGGGGATTAGCCCCAGGACAAAAGAATAAGCTAGGACACCAAGAGTCACGGGATTAGTGTCCCGTGATGGACAGCTCAGGAACGACAGCGCTCCAGTGTTACGGGAGCTGCCTCTAGGGTCACGTGGAAGTGTCTAGAGTTCTCTCGAGGTGGTTTAGACTAGACTTCAAGTAGGAATTCAATAAGGTTGGTAACTGGTTGCAATTCTCGTAACTATAGTAATGAAACTAATGATTGTTCTTGAGCACGAAGCTCTACATTGTAATGAAACCCATTCCCTTATATAGACCTTCGTTCTCTCTCCTGGTCCCTAGGACCTCTCCTATATGTTGGATCGTTAAGGATCGCAACGCGCTCCAGGAGCGCTGAAGCTCCTTGACGCTCCATCACGTGTAATTTATGTCATGTGACGCGGTATGTTGGATGCCGTCGTAACATCCAGGAGCGCCCGGCTGTCCCAGCTGTCCAAGTAGGACGAAGATCTATATAAGGGAATGGGTTTCATTACAATGTAGAGCTTCGTGCTCAAGATCAATCATTAGTTTATTACTATAGTTACGAGAATTGCAACCAGTTACAACCTTATTGAATTCCTACTTGAAGTCTAGTCTAAACCACCTCGAGAGATCTCTAGACACTTCCACGTGACCCTAGAGGCAGCTCCCGTAACATAATGATATTAAGTATACAGACTATTTCATAATATTTACTAATAATTCGATATCAACAATTTTCGTTAAATTAAAACGAAAGAAAGTTAATAATTTAATGAAAAATAATATTTTTCAATTAGTAAAGATTATAAATGTACCTGAAAATATAAGAATATTCAATTTATAATTTATTAATGAGATAAAAAATAAGAAAATTAATAAAATATTCTTAAAATCCTAATTAATAATATAAATATAAAAGGATTAAAGAAAAGATATTGTTTTGATACAGTCATTTATAATATAATAAATTAACTAATAAATTATACTATTAATAATAATTATACTCCTAAAGAATAAGATAATTATAAGCATTTATAATATTATATAAGTATATACATAATTAATATCAAATTTAATTTAAAGATTCTATATATGATTATTAGCGGAGATAAACATTCTAGAAGGTTTTATCCTATAAGTAATACGATTATTATATAACATTCCGAAAGTAAATAATTATTAGTTTAATATCTACCATAAGTATTATACTAATATCTTTAAAATAGTATAATCGATTTATAACTCATATCTTCTATATATAATTAAAAACAATATAATATTCGACATTATAGAACTATAAATAGATAATATATTTATTATTATTAATAACGAATTCGCAAATTGTAAATAAAAAGAATTCTATAATATTAAGTTTATAATAAAAAAGTATGAAACACTTATACCAGATATACTATTTAAGTTCAATAGTGTCACGGGTTCAATACATAGTTATATGAATGTCTAAGACATCCATCCTCTATATAGTCGACACCTCTCCACCTCCTTCTTTACTCTTTATAAAATATTATACATCTTACCTAATATCTATCCCTTACATTATAATAATATATTCTACTTTATAAAAAAGTCTTATTACAATAAAAACAATTCAATTCTGAAAAGAAATTCTTTATTCCTATTTTTACCTACTTAAAACAAATCCTTTTACAATTTTCATAATCTTTTACACCTTTTACACCTTTTTATTTTTACTTTCATCTTTATCCTTATCTTCATCTTTATCCTTATCTTCATCTTTATCTACATCTTCATCTTATCCTCTTTATTTATTATAATTAATATACTAAATACTTCAAGTATTAGCTCACCACCACCTATTTTACCTAAAATACTTAAAACTAAAATCAATAATACTTTTAATTAATAATAATGGATTATAAAAGAACTATCTAGTCTTTAGGATCATAAACTTTACAACCCCCTTCCTTTATTAATATTAATATAAAATCAATAGGATTACTTTAATTATTTATATAATATTATTAACTATACACTCGATTTACTTTTTATTATTTGATAAATATTCAAATAAGATTTGACTATAAAATATTTTCTTAAGATTACTATAAATAATTAATTAAACATTCAATTTCAACTAATTCAATTATTGCAATCCCAAATCACATAAAATCTATTAAACACTTTTACTCAAGATAGAACTAGTTAATAATAAACTTTAAAGAATTCTAAATATTTTTAAAAAAAGAAAATAAAATTAATATCTTAATAAAAGAAATATATTATTTAGAAATAAGGCTTATAAATTTGCTGAATAATTGATTTAATTGTTTTCGATACAGATAGAAAGAAGTTTTTATATTTAGTCTTTTTTATTAATGGTCGTATACGTTAAAAAAGATTAATTAATATAAATAATATTATTAATAAAACCTTAATCCATACTACTAGTGATTCCTTTCTTAACAAGCTTGATGGGCTTTATATCTCAGTCGATATGACACACGAAGTCTCAATTCAATTTAATAAATTCAAAATAACTAATAAGATATTTTTTTCGATTTTTTATATTTAATTAGAATATCTTAGTATAGTATATTATAAGTAATTATATGAAATAATTATAATAATGAAAATAAAAGTTTTCTATAATCTTTAATAATTACTTATATAAGATTCTAATTTTTATTCTTTTACTAATGTTAATAATTAAAAGTAAAAGTTTGAAGTTTAGAGTTAGAATTTATAAAAAAATAAACATCTTTTAGAATTAAAAATGAACTCAAACTTTATACAATAACTATACATCTTTGACTAATACATTATCCATTGTACTAATATTATCTAATCCTATAAATCTCGATACTTTCAAAATACAAGATTAATAATAAGAAGAGAAATATTAACTTAATCTCTACTATTATTATAAGAAACCTGATTACTTAATATGGAATTGTAATATCAAAAAATAAATAAATATATAACAAGTAGCTAAAAAAGGCCCAGGATTCATAGGTCTTTAAGAAGATTTTGGCGGCCATAGGTTATATCAAGGCATTCTTATTAGTCGAGGTAATTAATATTCTAATTAATATTAAGATGAATTTTATACTTGAAATGATTTTTAGGAATATAATTTTTGTAGTTATAATAATAATAATAATGTTTATATTATATTTTATTTTAAATAATAATTAAATATATTTTAGAGATTTATTAAAACTAAATCTTTAACACCCTTAAAAAGTATATTTAATACTTCACCCCACAATATATTAATATCTTTAATTAATAATCACATAGGAAAAGTTCAATCTTCATACTAAATCACTTATAAAGATCATTAAAGAATATTAAATAAATAAGATGAACTGTTGTTAGCAAAGAGTCTTTATAGTTTAATATTATAAATAATAAATCTCTACTTATCAAAATCATTATATTCTTAATATATAAATCTTTTTTCAATATAATTAATTTAATTAATAATGAATACTCTAAAAAAGTGTTTATAGATTAATCTTTTGTTATTAATTATAAAATATATACTCAAACTTT